GGGAGCCATAAGGGCTAGGCCAAAAAGGGTGAAAGAGACCTAGGCGTAAGATGCCTAGGTCTAGAGCTATAGAGCTAGGGCTCTAAGCTGTGAAAGGAAGGTCCAAAAGAGCCGTCATATCATACTATGTATGTAGTATGAGCCAGTGGGCGGAAGAGAGCCGTCTGTTCCGTCACACATTGAACTATCGATTTTGATCTTTCTTCATATATATCGATAATACTGAATAGTTCTAAACTTGAGTTTACAGGGGTAGAAAGAATGTTTCGAATGATTGCTTTTAAAATCACCTTCTTGATAGCGATAATAATGGAATACTTTGATTAAAGCTTGTTTATTGACACTATCAATTCAATATTGTTGTTGTTTATTAATAAAAAGGGAAAATTGGATATTACTGATATTGGCTTTTGTACTGAAACGATTTCAAGGAATAGGAGTATTATCTAATAATATAGTTTGCCTCTTTTCAAATGCTAATAACAAAGAATAGTAAATTCGTGATTTTTCGGAGTATTTGCAATAATTGGCATTATAGGTATCGAGATGTTGTTACTCTAAAGAAAGTTGAAAAAAAAAGGGTTAGAAAGATATAATGAATATGGAAGTGAATAAAAACAGATATAATAATTTGATTCTATTAGATTGAAAGAATCTAAGGTTTTATATAACTTTCTATAGATTTGAACTTTCAAATCACTCAAAATAAGTCTTTTCCATTTCGAGACTTTTACTAGGTCTAGATATTCATATCCAATTATCTTTTGATTTTTTATTCTTTTTTGATTCTTTTAAAAAGTATATAAAACAGTATGAAAAACTGTATATGAATCTGAGTTACAATTATCTATACAAAAGGTAGAAAGTGATTGATAGTTATTCAAATAAAGTGATAGTATCTTGTCAAAGGCAAAATCAAAAAGATAAATTTCAAAATCATTATATTATATTATATTCCCGATTTTGATATCAGCACAATATTAATAGCTTTCAAAACAATAAGCTTGAATACAAAAGATGCTTGGATATGCCTTTGTAGAGATTCAGCTGATAAGGATTAGGATTAGAGGTAAGACACCCTAGTTGACCTCAAAATATAACGATATTTATAATCAACCTGGATTATAAGGTATTAACTCTTTATTAAAATATGGTTTTTTCTTACCAAAATATAAACTTTTCTATTATAAAATAATACCTTCCTAACCAGTTAATACGTTAATTCATTATTTTTCTTTCTCCTAATACTTATCATTTCGAGAAACCTGTTACCTGACCAGATTAGAAGAATTACTCGCTCGAGCCTTGAGCAAGGCTCCTTGACATGATGTGATGACATGTACTTCACTCCTTAGTGGGTGCGATCGTACTTGCTTTCCTTAGAGCTTCTCGCTTGAATTTACCTCATATATATATCATGATATTTCAAGGGTTTAGAATTTTGAATCGAGGTGTAGATAACAGAACTAGTCTCTAGAGGGAACTTGAAGTTGTTGATAATTCAGAGGAGAAATTAAGTAGTGGCGGTAAGGTAAGGTAGGTAGGTAGTTGTTACTTTATTTATTTATGTATAAGATGCGAAATCTCTGATTTACAGGACCGGACTTGCTTTCAAGTAGTCTGAGTACTGTTGTGTGTCCAAGTATGTATTGGCCATCGGATGTCGGATAGTGTCTTCTCCCATTATTTTGGCACTGGTATGGAAATGGTCCAACACCGCACGCAGTATTCGGTAGCACTAATACAATATACATCAAGACTAATGAGTTTATGTGCTCTCGCTTTCTCGATTTGCCCTTTTTACCAAGGAGTCAATCATTGTGTCCGCTTTTGCAATATTGTCGATCGAATATCAATGAATGAGGAAGTGAAGAAGGACGGGAAATCAGGAGTTCAGAATGATGTCTCAGTATAATTGGTTGTAAAGGTGGAGGGGTAGAATGATCAATATGGCCGTGACTCGATAGACGGGATTGAATTGAAGGAATGTGGTAGCTATGCCAATTCAAACAATCAACGATAAATGAGCAGCATTCCCAAATGACCAGCAGACTTCTGAGATCTCACCAGTCAATATATCAGAAGATACAGCTAGGAGTTCTAGAGAGACAGCAAGAAACCCGGACGAGGAATTTCTCCAGAACTTTCAAGAGCAGTCCAAGTTCTCAGAACTGTGTAAGAGAGTTCTTCACTGCTCGATACTTAGCACCACTGTGCTGCATACCACCATAACGTCCCTTGTCTTGTCTAAGCAGATACGAAACACGGTTTTGATGTTGGATATGGAACACTTTACCCACAATGCAATTGTTCAATAGCAGTTTTGCTGTTCCGATAACATTTCATATATTTGTTAATATACTCAACATCGTATTGCTCAGCACAAACAATCACACAGTGCAACGCATAAACGCGTCTGGTCGGCCAACAATTGATCCAGTCCATGTCCAAAAGAAATGTGAGTCGATTTCGCTACCCCTGGCTGGCGACACAGATTCTTCATCAACCTTTTAGACATGAAGCTGTAGCAGATCTTGGGTATTACTTTTATATGTCTCTGCGTTCTCTGTAAGATGAATTCTATGACTACTAATATAACAGTGCTGATGAAGTTCCATCTAGATACTACTTGACAGTATGTTCGGACAGTGTTGCTCATGTAATATTCCCAACTTGCTTTCACGGTGATCAATGAAAAGAATACCCAGCTTCTCACGAAAAAGAATCTTAGGGGGTACGAGTGGGCAGAAACTGCGCATAGATATATGATAAACTACATTGCATATTATGATGAGCTTGGCAACAGAGATGTCCATACATATATAAGAATAACAGATACCTTCAATTCGTACATCTTCACACCACGAGATCTAATATCATCCCTCATCCCCTATACCACCATGAGCAGTATAAACCAGACACTCAACACCGAAGCGTTATTGAGTCTATGAAGACATTAAGCATTCATTAATCTCAACTCATATACGATTTACCTCTCCGTTACAATCCTGCAGACTCGTTACATTACTCCCAGATCCATCACTCACAAATGACAATGCAATCCAGCACCATAAAAAAAGAGACAATAAATATAAATATAACCATAGAATTCCCTCCCTTTCGAGCTCCTTTCGAGCCCTTTTATGAGAGGAAACTACTGACTGGTACCGGTATTGACTGGTACCGTATTGTCACGATTATGGTTGGAGTGGAGTTATGGAAAGCGGATTATTAAGGCTAGCTTAGCGCCACTTTAGCATGGACTTACTTCTATGAGCGCGTCCTCCAAACCTTAAACGCGTTTGTCAGCTTTCAATTTATATGATGAACCAATTTCATTACTACACAATCACCAATTGCTCAGCATGGTTGCTTGCCCTATCTGTGAAAAACAGGTGAAGGCCAAAGACATTAACAGTCACATTGATTCAGGATGTGAAGACTTTATCGATATTGTTTCTCCCCCACTCACTCAACAAAATTGTATCATTTCACAGAAACCAGCTTCCACACAAAAGCCTTCCGTCTCAAACTTCTTCTCAACTCCCGCGGCTAAGAAGGCAGCATCGTATCCCACGTCCAAGATAGATCCCAGTCCCACACCTAGTTTCCCGCAAAAAGTACAGGTTAATGGAAACGCAGCTGGAAACCAGACAGCTCGGCGGCAAGTCGATGGAAGTGTGAGTGAATCCCTCACGGTTCAACGGAAGAGATCATTCGACGATGTTGAAGCAGGAACAGAGGTGAAAAAGGAAAATGAAACTGTAGATCCGCCAGCAAAGAAGACCAAGACCAATGCCTTTCAGAAAGCCGCTCCATTGGCAGAACGAATGCGCCCAAGAAGTTTGGATGAAGTATATGGGCAGGAGCTAGTTGGACCTCAAGGAGTTCTGCGAAGTCTTATCGAACAAAATCGTGTGCCGTCAATGATACTGTGGGGAGGAGCTGGCACAGGGAAGACTACAATTGCACGGTGTGTGGCTGCGATGGTGGGGAGTCGGTTTGTCGAAATCAATAGCACGTCCTCTGGGGTAGGAGAAGTTAAGAAGTTATTTGCCGAGGCGAGAGGAGAATTGGGCCTTACTGGGAGGAAGACGATAATATTCTGCGATGAGATACATCGATTTTCGAAGAGCCAACAGGATGTGTTTCTTGGACCTGTTGAAAGTGGGCAAATTACATTGATAGGAGCTACGACTGAGAATCCATCTTTTAAAGTCCAGAATGCTTTACTATCTAGATGTCGGACATTCACGCTGTCGAAATTGACAAATGCTGATGTACTGGAGATATTAGAGAGAGCTTTGAAGACCGAAGGGCCCAATTACACTCCTACAGATCTTGTGGATACAGAGCTCCTGAAGTATCTGGCTGCATTCTCTGACGGTGATGCTCGGACAGCTCTCAATCTCCTTGAGCTAGCCTTGGGTCTATCTACAAGACCCAATGTCACCAAGGAAGACATCAAAACCTCTCTTACTAAAACGCTAGTATATGACAGAGCCGGAGACCAACACTACGATACCATATCCGCCTTCCACAAGTCAGTAAGAGGCAGTGATCCAGACGCTGCTCTATATTACCTTGCACGAATGCTCCAATCCGGAGAAGATCCTCTGTACATAGCTCGACGAATGGTAGTAATAGCATCTGAAGATGTAGGACTAGCCGATAACACAATGCTAACCCTCGCAACCAGCACCTACACCGCATGTGAGAAAATCGGCATGCCAGAATGTCGAATTGCAATGGCTCATGCCACTGCAGCTCTCTGTCTAGCACCCAAGAGTACTAGGGCATATAGGGGATTGAATAATGCATTTTCCGCGCTCAAGGAACCGGGGGTGGCTAGCCTAGGTATTCCGATTCATTTGAGAAATGCGCCGACGAAGTTGATGAAGGAGTTGGGGTATGGGGACGAGTATAAGTACAATCCTAATTATAAAGAGGGAAGAGTGGTTCAGGAATATTTACCAGACGAATTGAGAGGTAGGAAGTTTTTGGAGAGGAGGGATTTGGGAACGGAAATTGATCCGGGGGCTTGGCCTTGAGCTCAAACGAACCGTTGTGCAGGATATCCCTGGTGTATGCATTGCGATGGTGTTTAGGTTTATGATTGGCGTTACAAAAGATGCATATGTTGTCTTGAGCATCATGATAAATATCTCTTTTTTGGTAAGGTGTATGTGACATTGCTTATGAGCAACCACTGATGTAAGTTTTTACATAAACAAGGAAATACCTCTAGCTCATCTTAAGCCCCCATCCAGCACTGAGCTTATCGGCTCCTGGAAATTGTGACCCGTTTGATTCAAACTCCAGAACTCCTCGCTAAATATGCATGCATACTTTCATCCATCCATCCATGCCCAACCCAAATTATTGTCATCCGTTGCTTTTCCCTATAATCGATTCCCTACGGCTCCAATGGTACCAAAACTTCCTCCGTCGGCGAGGGATGTAACGTCTTCCTCTTTCTCGGTGCTCCCTTTCGAAAATACTGCTTTTCTGCATTGACTACCATACTTCGCTCATCTAATGCTAGCTCACCCATCTTTCCACTCCCACTCACACTCCCATTTCCAACATTTGCATTTGCATTCGCGTGTGCATGACCCTTATCACCGGCCAAACTCAACATGGTGCGCTCCCATAACTCATGTCTTTCTTTACTCGTCGGATCTCTTCCAGCCATCCTCTTCATATCCCGATCCTTGCCCACCTTTCCCACCTTCACCAGACGTCTTAGAGCCTCCTCGCCCATCCTCGCGCTCTTGGCCGCCTCTTCGCGAATTTTCCGCGGGTCGGTTACGCGTTCGCTTTCTTTGGGCGTCCATTTAAACGTATGTTTGCTTGGAAACGCGGGAAATCCTTTGGGGATATAGGATTTCTGCGCTTGTTCCACTTCACCATTAAGTTCCACGCCCAGGATCCGGACAATGTTCTTGGCCGTATGGTCTTCCTTCGCCGCCGGTTCCATTTCGAGCTTTAATCTCGGGGCGACAATCGGCGGTCGTAGATGGGGTTCGAGAGAGGCGAGCGGAAGCTGATAGCGATTGAATGCATAGGTTATATCGTGGGGTATCGGTGCAGTTCGTCTGGCGTTCAGCATCGAAGTTCGCACTTGCGCGAGTAAATGGGTGGTATCTTATAATATCGTCAATACAAGGCCAGCCAACCAGCCCAGAAATTAGGATATACAAACATGTATCGACCTCCAAGCACATCGCTTCCAGCGCTTCCTCCGTCGCCTTATCATATCCTATATGTGACAGAGTTTGGCAGATGGATTTGCGCAATAGCGTCCGCACATCGCTATCGAAAAGTGAAGATTCCATTTTATCCGTATGAAGGAGCTCGTGTTCGGGCGGAGGAGTTTGTGGCAGGACGGGCGATATGCGTTGCCGTTTGCGGTGCGGTTCGTCCATATCGTCGTCGTCGCTGGAATTGGGAGTGGATCTCTTTCGTGACACTGGGACCATGGTTGCAATTATGCTGTGTGAATATTTTTCGCGCTCGTCGCAATTGTAATTAAATCAACTGCGAGTCCAGGTGTGGAAAGAAAGACTCATAGCCTTAGCCTAAACCGATTGAATGAGCTATCGCGTCATTAAAATGGTAAATTGTAGCTTGTGAATCTGAAGGTTCAGAAAGATCGATCACGTGTAAAGATCGAGCTGGTGCTTGTAACTAGCGCCTCAGGCATCAACGCGCTAAAGCTGGATGGGTCCGGGCTATCGTGGGATGCATCATGCGATTTTGAACCGCAAGTTTGACTGTTAAATAAGAGATACAGAACCAGATATTCTCCTTTTCAAAACAAAAAACGCAATGCCGATCAAACCAATTACTGGAGTAAGTTTCCCCAGTGGGAGGAGGAAGTGAGGAGCTTCATTGAGAAGTTGAAAGTTGGGGAAGGATGAAATTGAATGAATAGGATCGGACAATGAGCTAACCTTTGTGCTGTAGATGCTCCGAAGAGGGCTCGTTCTTGACCTTAGCGTCGCTTTCGGTATGTGGTGAATGCATATCTTCGGAAGGTCCAGAAGGGGAAGGGTAGATAAAAAGAGAGGAGCACTAGGGGAGGGCAGATGAAGCAAACCAGTCAACGTCAACTAATATACCGCCCACCAGGTCTCGGAACCACATTCGGATATGCCTTCTGGTAAACCTAACCATCGCCTCCGAGAAGCCCCAAGGAAATCAATATTAACAAAGCAATAGGTATGGATACCACGTTCCAGCGGTCCGCAAGCGCGATCTCTTCTACGCGAAGTTGGAGGACCAGAGAGCCGGCAAGGCTATTGCATAAATGGTGACGGGTAGACAAACGAATGGCATAGATTGGGCTGGATGTTTGGTGCGGGCGGGCGGATGTATGATGGATGGGAAAGAAGGGGAGATGAATGGAGGGAAGGAGAGAGGGAGAGAAGGAATATCGCATGCTGGGAGGCTGGAAGGGGATGGCAAGCTGTACATTATCAATATCGATAATGCTATGGCAATACATGCATATTTTCTCCGGAGAGCCGTGAGGAGTGCCCTGGGGGTCGTGTGCGTCTCTGTGTTGTGGGTAGAGAGTGTGTAAATGATGAACGAGGGGGATCTTGAGTTCGTAACGAAATCCGGAAGCAGGGTCTATTCATTGCTATTGGAGGTGCTTCTGACAGTTTCGGCAAAACGATTTTCATTCGCGTTAAGCTGCTATGGAAGTGACACTCAAGATCAAGAGACTTAACATGTATGTTGCGTCGAAAACAAGGCGTTTGTTTCGGGATCATATTTCATGTAGGCACCGGTATTATATTCCCTGCCATTCTGGAATATGCCCGAACCGACACATTACTTATTAAACCACATAGCATGCTCGATCAATCCAGGGCCTTCCTAATTCTCGATCTAATGCTCGATATACCTATGGGTATATCATCCCATCACGTGTACCATCCCATTCAGACTCCGAGTCTGCAGCATTAAGCAAAGGCCACATGCATCTTCACCAACATCTCTCGTTCCTTCTTCATCCCCACACCCCTATTCCAACTTCCACACAGCCTCCCCGCCCTTGTCTCCCCTCCCCCTCCACCCCTTCCCCCTACAAATCTCCACCCTCCTCTCCCTTTCCCCCAACATCTCCTCTGCACTAACCCCCAACCCAAACCTCAGCACCTCCTCCCTCTCAACCCTCAACCACCCCCTCCACCCCATCACGATCTCCGGTCTCCCCATCCCCTTCACATTCCCCACTCCATTCCCTCCAGCATCCCTCGCATCAAAACCAAATAAAATCGTCCCTCCAAATTCCCTCCCATAACTCTCATGATCTCCATACAACATATACTTCTCTATCCCTATCAACGTACATTCCAGCTTCTGAGCCGAAGGCCGGAAAATATGTAGATGTTTTAGATCCGATTTCTTCAATTTTCTTTGCTCTTCCTCCCTCTCTTCTTCATTACTCGCATCATCATTCTCAAACGGTAAAAAGGAAGGAGAAAAACTCGAACGAACATCAATCAATACTACACACTTACCTCCCCTTCCCCCCGACCCCCTAAGAAGCGTCGTCAAGATATGAATCAGCAACGGTAGTTGTCTCCCAGAAACCGATAATTTCGATTGGTTTTGATAAGACTGAGACCAGAGTAAATCCAGAGAAGGAACATGAGTTCTCGGAGGATGAGTAACGAGGGTATCAGTGAGAGCTGTTAAAAGCTATTTTTGTGTTAGTTTGCATTTACATTGTATGGGTTGTGTAAAGAGTGAAAGCAAGAGATGGGAAATATGAATGTGTTTGTTATCGATAAGAGACAAAGAAGAACATACCGATTCCAAACTCTCCTCACTCTCTTCCAGATCCCTCAATAATCGCCCGCCGAATATCTCCTCGCTAGATTTAATCTCTTCCATCTTATCTTATCCTATCCTATCCTATCCTATCCTATTGCACCTCACCTCACTCCTTTCCTCTACCCTGTCTGTCCTGTCCTCCCTCTCCCTCTCCCTCAAAGAAAATATGACCCCACCCCTCCTCCCCTTCTCACCCCTCACTCTCCCGTCCGAAGCCACACTATCCGCCAAATCCACTTACCGCAAAGGCTTCGACGGAAACCTTAAGAACTGTGAATTACTCGAATTAGTCCAGTACAATTGTGATATCCAGAAGGATAGACATGGGAATGCGACGGTTGGAGCTGAGAGTGTGATTGTTTGTCAGCCGGTCGAGAGGCTTTTTCGAAGGTGAGGGTTTTCTTTTATTTTGGAGAAGTTGGGGCGTTGGGGTGGTATTGGTGTTTGAATAGATTTTTATGAGTATGGGTATTGATTTGGTGGGAATAGATGTAAAGATCGAAAAGGGACTTTCATGGTGGAGACGACTGTGTGGGAGGGGAAAGGGAGTGTGAAGTGATGGACGGGGATTTGTCAATGAATGCATGTGGTTAGCGTGGGTTGATTGGTGGTAAGATGAATTGTATAGGGGTTGCAGACGAAGGACACGATGAAAGTTAAATTCAATGAAGATGGTTATGATTTATATTATGTTTTCATGATTTTGCTATCAATACTATGCTATGCGTATTCCATTTTCTCGACTGGCATTCATTCATATCCACACATCATCCCCAATGTAATTTTTGAAAGACATCTCTCCAAATCCCCCATGACGACTCTCTATCACATCTAATCATGAAGTCATAACTCTTCAATTTCCTTGCCCTTGCCCTTCTATGCCCCTACAGAAGAGTGGTTCTCACCATCCTCAATTTTCTGCTTCTCCTTCTTCAAAGCATTAATCTTCTGCTGCATGGTCATCAACTCCGCCCCCTTTTGCAGCGCCTCTACATTCTCTCTTGGGAGGAGTTTCAGGAAACTCTCCCTTTGAATCATTCTCTTCCAATATTCAGTCAAAGGCTCAAATCCGATACCATCACCCCATTCCTTACTCACCAACTCAAACACCGGCACGATTGCAAAATCCGCAAGACCGATTTCATTGCCCGCTATATATTCTGCTTCTTCGGCGTAAACGCTCCATCTAGCTAGTTCGGCGCGGAAAGGCTTCACACTAAAGGGTACCGTTTGCCAGATCTTGAGCAAGGTGTTGGCATGCTCGAAGCGGGTGTATTGCCGGGCGAGACGACTTGGAGACTTGCAGTCCTTTTGGGGACCATAGATGGCTTCGAGATAAAACATGATTGGCATGCATCCCTCTACTGTGGTCTTGCTTGGATCGTTGTCAATAAATTTGATAGGTAGTGTTTCCGGTACTAGCGGATCATCGGTTCCAGGACTTTCTCCTTTCCAGTGGAAGGATGGCAAGATTGTACCTTCTATCCAAGGGATCTTGTATTCGTTAAGTATGAACTTTACACGGTAGTCAAAAATGGAATCCCCCGACGAGATAAGCTTTTTGGAGTTGGAGATGTGTAGTACGTCAAATCCGTTGCCGTAAATCTCCTGCCAGTCAAAATTGATGTCATGATTCTCTATCCCAAAAGCTTGTAGCATTTTCTGAGATTGTAGTGTATCTCCATTGATTACTGGTTTGGCGTCTTGTTTCTTTTTTGCAATTGCGCCTTGACCCCAGATCTTCTGTTGACTCTTGTCGAGATATGTACCAATGTGTCTGAATGTCAGAGATATACGCCCACAATCGTAAGCCAATTCAGCTTCGGACTTCTCACTTGCCATTCTCTTATCTGGTCGAATGCCATGTAACCACTTTTTATTGGTTTCCAACCCCATCTTGCACAACGAGTTGTGTGGGAGAGCTGCTCTACAGGATTCTCGAGGGATGGGTTGAGAGCCTTCACACTCCACACTCTTCGCAGGCTTCTTTCTTCGAAATACCATCGTTCGTTGGGCTCCTAGGCTTACGTTGGCAATGAAAGTGTTAGGAACGATATCCAACGTTTTATCACTGTGCTCAGAAATATTGTCATTTCCGTCTCGATAGAATTGAATCAAAACGTGATTTAGAGGATGGCCAAGCCTCTTCTCGACTATTCTCTTGACCATTTCAACCGTGGGCGAAAACAAAAGGAGAGCAGGTGATTCATCTGCCGGGTGTCGATATATTGGAATACTGCCATTCTCTTCGATTTGGCCTTGAACTGCCACAAGTCTTGGTACTTCACCACCTTGGTGACCCATTCTCTGCCAAAGGACTTCCTCACGGATCTTCTCGAAGATCCCGCTTGCCAATTCCTCAGGTAGGAGCTTGTGGGTTACTGTTGTATCACCTTCACAAAGTCCAGGAGGGTCAGCCACTGCGTTATCTTCGTTTTTCCGCGTATCTTTCAGGGATTCCTTATTTGATGCAGGTTTTTGCTGAAGTTCATCTTTCTCGGTACCTTCGTATTTTGGGCTGGGTGAGACCGGTTTGGCCGTTTCGGTCGGGCTAGGTGACTCTGATGTGCTAAGCGATGGGCTTTTGGTAGACGTCAGACTCTTTTCTTTGGATGAACTGGAGGGACCTCCTACTTCCACTGGCTTTGTAGCAGGTCGACGTGCTTTTACTTTCGACTTCACCTTTTCTTTCTTCTTGGCTTCTGCTTCAAGTTCCGCCGGTGGTTTCGCTCGTCGAATTTGTGCACGCAAGAGTTGGCTAGTGATTTCGAAATCGTCTTCGATGACCGTCGCCGACGATGGGGCTGTGACGGTAATGGCTAGCGGGCCTTCTGCTTCTAGCTTTAAGTTCCCCATTAGATTTTCAATCCCAGTATTTTGAGATTCTTTTGGTTGTGGTTCTCTAGGTTTAGGACGAGATTTCTTACTGGAAGTCGTTCTCCTTTCAGCGACCTTCTTTTGCTTCTGCAAGCACTCAATGAGTTCTCCGCTACTTATGACGTCACACCCAGTGTAGGCTTTGAGTTGACGCAAAGCTTCGTCATGTCTAGCTTTGCTCCTGTACCCCAGGCAATCCTCAATTATGGTTATAGCGTAACCATGGCGAGCAGCATCCATTGCCGTGGCGAACACACTGACATTCGTAAGAGCTCCAGCAATGTATATTTCTGTCACAAACTTGCCCCGCAGTTTTTGGACCAAACTACCATCTTTAAATGCAGAATAGTATGTTTTGTTGAATATCAGGTCTTTCGCCGAGATGGGTTCAAATGCATCTAAAACGTCTGAACCCCTCGAATTGGGTTTGAGCATGCGCACCTTCTCTCCGGGCTGGACCGTCAAAAAGGCTTCATTTGTGTCATCTTCATTGCTCGCTGCCGAAAGCTTGCTCTCTTCCTCGTTGTGACTGGACTCAATTTCCGGGGTTAATTTGTCTTGTCGACATTGTGGGAGCTCGTTGTTCGTTATTATGGCCTCGCTATCGCTCCGCGGTTGATTGACTATCCTCGAAACACCCTCTGGACACACGCTGCATATCCATATTATGTCACCAGAAGGACGAAAGGGCTCGAGTAGATTCCTTATATTGTCGACGTAACTCGGGGAGGTTTCGACCGGCAATATGCTTCCTTCTCCTATTAAATCATTTTGCAGATCTAGGAGAAGTAGAGCCTGGCGTGTTCGTACGAACGGAATAGTATGTTCGTCAATCTCAAACATTTGGGGCAACCTGTAATGATAGTTAACAACCACTGTGTTTCCAACTGAATAAATTTGCTGGAGATAGAATATTTAAAGGTTGTCTTGTGTGTTGTTACGGGCTGCACGACTCTATATGTTGTGTTTACTAGCTAAGAAACAAACCATTGCTTACATTGGTCATTATTCAGAAAGACCGTAGAGAGGTATGAGCAACGTCGATGCATATGAAGCACCGCATGATGTTGTAAGATTCCGTAGGCAACCGGCACTGCAAATAATATGCACGGATCTAATAAGTTTCGATGAATATCAGACAATGTTTCATTGGTAGTACATAAGCGAATGAATTCGAATCCTTTTTTAGCTTCTAAAAACGACAGATATTGATATGAAAGAATTGGTATTATTGAGAATAGATACTGTGAAATGTGAAAACAAGAGACAAGGGATAAAGAGAGCTAAGAACACGGACACGCACCCCGGTAATGACGTTGACCTATCCCCTTTGAGAGCATTTAGCTAACATCATTTTACTCGAGTACGGCGGTATATCTAATCTAACACAAGGGTAACACATGGTAAAAGTTAAACAGAGAGAAGAAATAGATTGATTGGTTTTCAGATGGATCAGCAATCATATAATATTACAAGTGCACAAATAGATTTGACCGTTGAGAGATGATGGATCTCCCCGGCCCTTGACACTGGGCTTAGTGGACGAGCTAATAGCCTTATTTGATAGTTTGATAGGATAGATCGATGCAATATAAAGGGAAGAAAGGAATAAGAAATACTGTGTTGCCCAGCCATTAACCAACAGATTATAATAAAGTGCATGTGCATATACCAATACACATATACATATAATACAGCATAACCTGTACCTCACCAAGCTTAACTATTTGCCGTTGCAGACCTTGATCAAAATTGTTGGATTCCACATCATAATGGATCTGATACGAGCGAAGTAAGTGGAATTCCGTCAAAAGGAACTTGTTGAAAGAAGGAACTCAAAAACCAAAACAAGGGGGGATCAATTATCATAGGGGATTTATCCGACGGAATAAGGCGAAACGCCAATAAGAACTTCTCAATCGCAGCATCGGACATTTGTCTCATGTCCGATGTATATCCGAACACGGTGATATATATCTAAGATATAAAAGGGATGAAACATCAGACACTATAATGATTGGTTTCGTATTTTATTGTCTATATAGAAAACATAATCCAATGAAATGAGGGGTGGGTTGACTCCGAGTAGGTTTGAGGGACAAGATCCTTCGAAACAGCCGTCGGAAGTTTCAACTAATCATCAAAAATCATTTTGAAAGTAAAACCCCCACCGAGTTCACTATATACCATCATATGATCAAGATTTCATCGATATTTTTCATCATTATGATCTTCACTAATGCAGTTGTTGTTGTCGATCCACCTGCAGCTCAACTGCAGCTCGAGTTGTGGAAAAATTGGTGTGGATGTGATCAAGTCTCAAACAAATTCATTCACAAATGTTGGGTTGAAAGTTGAAAGTTGAAAGTACTGCATACAACCCATCGGCTATCTTTCATAAATCGATTGATATGGAAATATTTGCCCATCTTCACCGAGCCAGATTAATAAACTTGGTAGACTAGGATCGTATCGTATCGTCAACAATGAAGGTTCATGCGAAAGGCTTTCACTTGTACATGTACAGTGTTCGCAACTCTTACCTAGAGAGTACCGGTACAGTAGTATCCGGGGACCAAACGGCCAAACGGGGACCATATATAGCCAGATGTGAGGTTACATTCGAGGTTATATGTTGATGCATTAAGTTCGGCATGTCACTCGATATTGATGGGACTTTCTATATCGATTCTCTTGGCTTTGTCCCCCAACCTGAGTGTTGATCATGAGCTTTTCGAGAAGAGGCTCGTGTGTCTCGTCACTCTTGTGTGAGAAGAAGCTCGAAAAGCTACCCCGCGGAAAAGAGGGAAATATATGATCACGTGATGGCGTGCTTGCGTATTCCATTTGTGCCGAGGCTCGGTCATACTGGCGCGAGCTGACCGACTCATAAAGGTCTTCTTAATTTACACTTCCTCTCACTATTTCAGAAATAGCACTTTACGTCTAGCTATTTCAATCTTTTACAACCATATTCTGCAAGTTAGTGACTTGATCAGCAAACAACCAAGCAAGGGGAAGCCTGTCCATTATATTACAATTACGTCCCTTAAGTTACTCGAGTACCGGTACACAATATGACCTCCTCAACACCTAGCTACAAATATTTCCTTGTCACATACCCAGCACCATATATTGCACATGTTCAAATCAATCGCCCCGAGAAACTCAATGCCTTTTTCGAAGCCATGGTAAGCAAGCACAAGCACATTCACAAATTGCACCTCCATCATTCGATTCGCTAACCCCTAAATCTAGTGGCTCGAATTCCGCACCATCTTCGACACGCTCTCCTATTCCCCCGACGTGCGCTCCATAATACTATCCGGCGCCGGTGATCGAGCATTCTCGGCCGGCTTAGATGTTGAAGCTGCTGCGCAAGATGGGGTTTTGACAGAAAAGGACGGAAGAACAACAGATGTAGCGCGAAAAGCGCAGGCTATCAAACGCCACGTCGATGAATTCCAAGCATGTATCAGCAGTGTTGAGAGATGCGAGAAACGTATATTGCCCCCACCTTTCTCAAAGGGATAATTGAGCTAATCTCATATATAGCCGTAATATGCGTTCTCCACGGCTACTCCTTCGGTCTCTCAATCGACATATCCACCTGCGCCGATATCCGCATCTGCACAACCGACGTTAAAATGGCCGTAAAAGAAGTAGACATCGGACTCGCAGCCGACATTGGCACACTCTCACGACTCCCCAAAGTTGTCGGGTCCTTCAGCTGGGTCAAAGACGTCTGTTTATCCGCACGAGTATTCGGAGCCGAAGAAGCGTTACGAGTAGGTTTCGTAAGTTATGTTGAGCCTACGAAAGAGAAGGCTCTAGAAAAAGCACTGGGGATTGCGAAATTGTTGGCGGAAAAAAGTCCGGTGGCAGTGCAGGGGACCAAGGAAATATTGAATCATGCGAGGGATAATAGGTTGGCAGATAGTCTGAGGTATTCGGGGGTGTGGAATAGTGCGGCGATTCAGACGCAGGATGTTAAGGATGCCATGTTGAGTGGGCTGCAGAAGAGGAAACCCACTTTTGAGAAACTTTGAGAGTGGGTAAAGTAAAATGACATGCTGGCTTATAACGATCTGAGGAGTCAAGTCGAGCTTCACACCTAAGAAGCTAAGGAATGACCTCTCTTTCAAAGGTCTTCCAGGACGTGTTCCTATCCCGAAGAGATGGAGGGATAAGTACAATGCAGCACCCACTACACTACTGCAAGAGCGCAAGCGCACAGGATAAAAGTTCCCAGTATAGGGAGGGATTCAAGCGGAGTTTACAGATACCAAAAAGAGATCCACGGATAAATGTAAGATTTACCAGGTAGAGAGTCATTTAATCTCACATCTATATACCACAAGACGGTCAAAAGCCACAGTGTAAATCTATTCATTCTCTTGCCATCCATTTTCCTTTCCCGGTGGCTAAATGTATGCTTTATAGCTCCATAGCATCCGAAGCACATCAGCTCTTAGCCCTTTCTTTCTTTGTTTCTTCCTTTCTTACAAACACATTTATATGTCCCAAAGAACCATTACCAATTATCCCCTCTCTCATCCTCTCTCTCTCATTCTCTTTCCTCCCAACTCCTCTCCCTATCCCATCCCATCTCATCCTCTCTCTTCCATCCCATCCACACCACACCACACCACCCCAAATTCACTCCCAAAAAGCTAGATCTAACTAGGTAACCTCATTTATTCACCACACCTACCAACCACACACAACTACCCCCCAGGCTCCAGCAATCTCACAGAGCCCAGCCCAGCTAAACACAGCACTACCTTCTCTCTCTCTCTCTCTCAATCCCACCTCAGATGCTCTATTCCTCTATTTCCCTATTCGCCCATCCTCATCCCCATCCCCATCCGCATCCGCATCCGCATCGCTATCCCCATTCTTTATTTTTATCCCCTATCCCCAAGTATCTTTCCAAGTATCATATCCCATCCGATCCCATCTCATCAACCACCCTCCCATCAACCCTCCAACTCCCATTTATTATTACCCGAGTATATATTTCCATTTATTATCAAAACTTCACGAGAATTCCGTCTCCTTTTCTCCTTCTCCTTTTCTTGTCTATTCCCTTCTCCTCCTATCTTTGTTTTTCCTCCAACAATTTTTCCTCTTCCTCCTCCACTCCCTCCAAACCAAACCAAACCAAACCAAATAACTATCAGTCATTCTCTCTTTCCCTCTTCCTCTTCCTCTTCCTCCCCCATTTTCTTTTGGATACTTACCGACTTGATTTTCCCTATCTGTACACTGGCATCTCTCTCTAGTTCTATTCAGCAGTCTGTCTAGGTTTGTTTGTTTGTTTGTTTATCTATGTATTATATATATCTTAGTCTCTATCTTCTTTGGTTTGGTTTGGTTATTACCCACATACCTACCTACCTACCTGTCTTTGATTACCTATGACTCTGACTCTTCAAGTTGCTTGTATCAAAGTTTACTCCGAGTAAAGCATATCACTGTATGGATATATCCAAAGAAGCTGAAAGAAAGACCACTGTTCAAATTCACTACAACAAAACCACCATCATCATCACTAGGCAAGCGCAATAATCTCATGATATCATTAGCTTTGATTTTATCTCAAATATCTTGGTACCTAAGTAACTATTTGAAAATCCCACATCGCAGCAATATCGTTTCTTTTCTTTTTTCTGCCCTGTTCTATCATACCAGTCACGTTATGCTCGTCCCTTTTTTGATGGTGTCCTTGCCTTGGAAGAGCACAAGCACCCATGAATTATCGCAACGAAAGGAAAAGAGGACATAGCAACACCAGTACTACGTTAAACCCAACCTATGGACGCGCGTAAAACAACAGACTTTTTTGTGAACTTGTCCATTTCAAACCTGAAGCTCACTCATCCATCACACCGGGTAGCTGAAGTGGCTTCTTCAGAGAATTCAAGCAACTTGCTATTTACCAACCACCACCGGCTGCAACCTCTTGGCCACCGCCACTACCCCAGTTGTCATTACCACCAGCGGGAGCGGAATACTCATCGTTAGCTGCATCTCCGTCGCCGTAGCCACCCGCATCAGCTACAACTTCGCCACCACCGTGACTATCTCCGTAGCCACCAGCAGCATCATCTTCGATGATTGGCTCCTTGCAGCGAACCTTGGTGTGACCCACTAATTCGGTATCAGTACATTGTAGAGACCAAAGACTTGGAAGACGCGGAGGACAACTTACTCTGCTTGCAGTTCTGGCATTGAACGCGAGAATAGTCACGAGGCTTTGGGCATTCTTTACCCGTATGACCCTATTCATATTCATTCAGTAAGCTGTTTGAACTTGTACGAAGAGTTAGAATGTGTCTAACTAACCTCTGCATCACAGTTGCGACAGATAATAACGCGCTCAGCGGTACATTCCTTGGCTATAAGCAAGAATATCAGTATACTTGTCAGTTGTTGACAGATCAATATGTCACTTACCTCTGTGACCAGGTTGGTTACAGTTTCTACAGAGACCGCCATCACCACCACCACCAGTTGGACAGTCACGAGAGAAATGGCCAACTATGATGTATTAGTAAGATCAAAAGGAGAGAAAAGACTAGCAAACCTACTCTCATTGCAGTTCTTGCATTCGACACCCTCAGCAGAACGTGGCTCCGGGCCTAAGTTCAATGTTAGTTTATGGCATAGAACGCGAGGACTTTGTTAAACCTACACTCCTTAGAACCATGTCCAGACTTCTTACAGTTGCGACAAGCGAACTTATCCTCACGAGGAATTGGGCAATCACGAACACGATGACCACTTTCCAAAGTTAGTATGCTTGAAAGAATGATAGTGCAGGGACACTTACATCTCGCTACAGTTGAAACACTGTACTTGAACTCGTGCACTCTCGCCTGCCTCCTGAGTGCAATGCTTTGAGATATGACCAAGCTCGCTGCAGCGGGAACAGAGAGGAATACCACGATCAACTGCCTCACCAGCATCGGCAAGACGCTCGAGGTTCTCTTCTGGGGTAGCAGGCCAGTTCTCCTTCTCCTTGGGACGACTATGCTTGCTTGACTTGCGCCAGGAAACAGTGTACTTGCGGTCAAGGTGGCCTTGTAAGTCCATGTTTGTGAATGTTTGAGTTAGTTCCTTCTCCATGGCAATGAGGTAAATGGGGACATTCTGGGCTCTGAAAGCTTTCTCCAGTTGGGGATAGGTAGCATCTGGAGAAGCCTTGATGTACTTCATGGCCTCTTCCTTCATGTCATCAAAGTCACCTTCCTCAGATTGTTTGATGAGGTTTGCCCAAGCGACTGCAGCTTCGACATCTTCGACATCGTTGCGCTCGATCTTGCGAGGATTCTTGCAGTCAAGGATTGAATGACCTACAATAAAGTCAGCTTCAATTGAAATCTTGAGAGGCAGTGGAAATAAGTATACCTTCCTCCTTGCAATTATTGCAAAGCTTGGGTGGAGCACTTGGGCAATCAGATGCACGATGACCCTGTTGCTCACAGATGCGACAGGTTCCGGTGAACTCACGGGCAACTGCGGGATTGGTGCAGTCGGCCTTAGCGTGACCTTCCTCACCACAGTTGAAACAGTCACCGCTGAAGCCACCACCGCCTCCTCCAGTCTCCTCACCACCGCCGTAATTGCTATTACAGTCGTTCTCAGTTTTGACACCGTCATTGAAACCACCGGCTGCAGGCTCCTCGGAAGATCTAACCGCAGGGGTTTCCCATTCACCACCGCCACTGGTAGCCGCAACTTCACCAGCTCCCCATTCATTAGCACCACCTGGAGTTTCCCAAGACATCTTGAAAGATTCGAGGATTACAAGTTTTTGATTTGGGCCTGCGAGAAATTCTTGTTAGCAATCTGTGTATGAAGAAATGTTCATGGAAGGTGAATGAAAGTAACGCGCAAGATGAACCAACTTGGTATTGCTCGAAGTCAAAGAACCTTTTTGAACTTGAATTCAGGAAGCAGACTAAGACACGAGCAAGTAAATCAAAGTACTCAAGAAGTCAAGCTGATAAGTAAGACTCAAATGCGCGCACGTGTAAATAGTGGAAGAGGAAGAGGAATGAGGATAGGAGAGAAGAGCTTTGTGGTTGCGAAGAAAGATTTGTGGTTGTGTGGATGAAAGTGACGCTTAAGATGGTGGGGTCCAACTCGAGTGAATGGACTCCCAATCAAGAAAGTGCGAGTTGATCCGAAAGACGGTCCGACTGCCTCTTAAGTAGTGCGCACTAAAGAGATAAAAAGATAGTCGACCAACTTGATGTAAGCAATAGAGGGTATTCGCGACAAGACACAAGTGGCTGTGAAGTGTGCTTTATCTGCAAAGGAAGGAGATGGTGCAGGTGATTTTGAAAGTAGTATTTTGTAGAATGGAGAGATGAATGCTTGTGATAATAGAGATACATGCTGCTTCATATTGTATAAGGTATGATAAAAGGAAGGATTTGTGATGGATCTCCGATGTGTTTTGGAAGCGCGACAAGAGAATTTGATAACTGAAGAATGGAATTTGGAGACGGTATGGTTTTACTCACAAATTTGGGTAAATAATCTCAAATAGAAAGATCGCGAAGGACTCTACGATCTCAATACTGATAGAAGAAGGAAGGATATTGCTGAATTGCTCTTTATTTCTGATGAAAAAAAAAACAATTCAATGTTGTTGTTGTTGTTGGGGGAAGAGGAAGAGGAAGAGGAAGAGAAGGAGGAAGAAGGAAGAGGAAAGAGCAAGGAAGCGGAGCAAGTACTTGCTTTGCTTCAAAACACAGCAAAAACCAAGCGAATTTATTAAATATCTTCCAATCAGAAGTCCAGATGAATACCAAAATGGATGCTACCTACCTAGATAGTTACAAAATTCACTTGGTACTTGAAATTGCAACTATCAATAACTACCATCTGGTAAAAATACCTATAAGGGGTAGACCCGGGGTTGATCCGGAGTTGATGTTGTGATGAGATGATCTCAAAGTCATGAAATTGAGATTCATTCAAGGAAGAATGTTCCAAAGTCATTATGATCTCCTTCATGATTTATCAGTAAATGGAAGTCTCATCACTCTTTTCGGCTGAGAACCAATGGAGTAGTAAAGATGTGATGTATTTTCAACACAACACAACACAACACTTCACCAAAGAATGTTTCTTAGCACTTGTCCTTTAGTTCAATTGTGTCGATATTTTACTCAACCTTAGGAGCTATACAAAGATACACAGCAGACGTCCCTTTATCCTTGTATCAATTTACTAATATAAGTCTAGTCATTCAAGCTTTTGAAGGAGTTTTTGACAAGATACCTCTACAACCTCTTTGACAACAGTCCAGCACCAGAAAAGAGACAAGATAGATCCATGCTTACTGAGCTTGGCTCTGATGAATACCTTCGATGCCGAATATTTCATACACACACCAATCATCCCATTACCTCGCAGACTTACGCTGAGACTCCAAGCAGAATTGAGTCTCTAAGTAAAATGGCAAAGACAGGAAGGATGTGAGAAGCCGTTTAGAATAAGGGAGAAAAGCCGCCACGCTCTGGAATGCGACAAGCAGCTTCGACATACTGTAAGCTCGGTTTGTTAAAGGGAAGGGGCCCAGCTGCTGACCTTTGGAGACGAGTTTCCCTTAGGCTTGTTTTGCTTGACTAGGCCTAGGCCTAGGCGTATTAAGATCCATCATAGTTAGTGATCGTCCACACCTCCAATTGACTATAACCTCTTCAGATTTTAGCCACCCTAGAACCTAACGACAAGTTGTCAAGTGCTTCATAAACCATTCTAGTTACAATTGATGTCGACCCATGAAAACCAAGAACACTCTAAGATATTATACAGCAATTTCCCATCGAATATGGTCAATCATGATGAATTTGAGGCAGCTGTTCGATTCAGACCCAGCACAGGAAATCCATAAAAGGCACAAATGAGTTCACAGGACGTCTAGTAGTCTAGCAATGTCAAAAGAAGGTTTACAACTAAATTCGACGCCGTTGGTAATATATATGGGGCTTGTGACTAAAACTAGCTACCCTGCTGTAATTGGCTAGTTCCACGGTAAGTCTGGGTATTATCCATCCGAACTACTCGAGTATAACCACGACTAAAGTAGAAGCTCAATATCTCAACGTCCGTCCTGGAAACGATCCTTTCGGTTCATCCCACTTCTTTCGGGTAGCGATAAAGAATTATAATTATGTACCTAGGTAAGTTTTAATATCTGACAGTGAGAAGCTAGAAGGTTGTCTGCCCCGCTTCGAAATGACCCCGCTATATCACGACATCTTCAAAAGGTAAATATTTCTTGCAATTGCAATCTGTTTCTTTACACTTTACACTTTCCACCTTGATTTCTCAATTTTTCTCTCACACTTTCTATTTACCCGGTAAAATAACACAATCATCCCTCAAAATGGTGCCAGTTCCAGATGATCTTCCAGAGATGGAATACAGATATCTAGGCCCATCTGGTCTTCAGGTATCTGCCATCTCTCTCGGTGGTTGGCTTACTTATGGCGGACATGTTGAAAATGGTAAGATTCCTCGTCTCCTTTGGGCCAATTACAGAATTTGACACAAATATCAGAAAACACTTTCGCTTGCATGAAAGCGGCCTATGATGCCGGAATCAACTTCTTCGATTGTGCCGAGGGATACGCAGGCGGAGAATCCGAACGAGTAATGGGTGAAGCCATCAAGAAATTCGGCTGGAAAAGAAATGACATTGTGATTTCTACAAAAGTAATTAAGCCTCCTCACCCCTACCACTGCATCTTCACCACAACATAAACTCACAAGATACAAAATAGATATACTGGGGCCAAGCCAACGGCGAGAAAATCGTCAACAACATCGGTCTCTCGCGCAAACGTATCATTGAAGGCACCCATCTTGCGCTTGAGCGTCTACAACTCGACTATGTAGACCTCATCTATGCTCACCGACCTGATCGCGCTTGTCCCATGGAAGAAACCGTCCGAGCATTCAACCACCTCATCAACACCGGCAAAGCATTTTACTGGGGAACCTCTGAAGTATGTTAATCCAACCCCGACTAACCCCCTCCTTTCTTAACCCTCCATACCCACCCCCATAAACTAACCCCCACCCCAGTGGACCGCCGCCGAAATCGCCTCCGCGCACGCCGTCGCCCACCGCCTCAACCTCATCGCCCCCATAATGGAACAACCCGAATACAACCTCCTCTCGCGGGCCAAAGTCGAAGGTGAGTTCCTCCCCCTCTACAACGAATTCGGACTCGGCCTCACCACCTTCTCCCCCCTAAAATTTGGTTTCCTAACCGGAAAATACAACACCGGCATCCCCTCCGACTCGCGTCTGGGCACCTCATCAGACAACTTCGCCGCGCGCACCAAAGCGCGAACCGGCGACGAATCCTGGAAAGCCGACATAGCCGCCGTGGAAAAACTCATGCCGGTCGCAGAGAGACTGGGTATCAGTATGGCGAATTTGGCCATGAGTTGGGTGCTGAAGAATGAGAGGGTCAGTAGTGCGATTACCGGGGCGAGTAAACCCGAACAGGTGTTTGAGAGTGTGAGGGCGCTCAGGATTAGAGAGAAATTGACGCCTGAGATTATGGCGGAGATTGATGAAATTTTGGGAAATAAACCCGAGGCGTTGACAAAGAGGTATGTTTAGAATTTTCAGCCAAAAAGGGGAAATGGAAGACTATAGATAGAGTTTAGATACATGATGGTGAGCATGTGAAAATGCTAGATAGCAATGTCTTATACTACTCGTACAAGTTTTCGAGATTTTCGAACTCGGAAAAAAATTCTTAAGAGAAAAAAATGTATGAAATCCGATGGTTTATAATATTGCCTGTTTCATATGTCATTTGGCATCTGTGCCAAAACTTTCTTAAATATGTGCAAGAATCTGCAAATAAACTTAGTTGGGCTGGCTATCTTCTCCATTTGACTCCAGATGCGACACATTTCTCTCTCTCTCTCTCTCTCTCTTCATTATCCTCTCTTCCGCTCTCATATACTCAAGATACAGTAATACATAGTCATTAATCATACACCACCAAGATCTCTCAAGCAAATCTCAACTCAACTCATCTCATCTCCCTCCTTCATTTCCTTTCAGATGATTCATGATCCCCCATCAAACATCACCCATGCAATTATTTCTTCCCCTTCTTTGCACTGACACTGGTACTGGTGCTGGCACTCGCCTCCTTCGCCTTCTTTGGTTTCTTCTCTTCTTCTTCCTCTTCTTCATCATCAATCATGCTATCATCCTCCATCGTACTCTTGGTCTTCTTCTTTACTGGTTTCTTGGCCACTTTCTTAACCTTAGGCTGTTTGATATATTTGTCCTTTTTCAAATCGATCTCGTCATCATCAACTGGTTCTGCAATGACTTCGCCATCGTCTTCTTCTTCGAATGCTTCTTCCAGATCTGGTTTTGCGGCGGCGACCTTGGCGGGTTGAAAAACATTGCTTGCTTTCATGAAGGGGACGGGGTGCGAACGTGCATTGTAGCTATGGTTTTGTTAGCACTGTTACATGTGAGAAGGGATGGAAAAAGACTTACGATCTTGTGAAATTGGCCTTTGTTTGAGTTTCCAATTTGACACTTTCCATATCTTGTTCGCCAACGCCGAGTTCCATGATATAATCCCAATCCTCCCTAGTCAAGAAATAACTATCCATAAGATCGATAACATCTTCCACGGAATCTCTGCCCTCAACATCAAGTCGACGAATAAGTTTGTCCCAGAGAACAGGTAGATATTGTTGACGAATCTCATGGCGGTCTCCAGAAGATCGCAGTCGCATATGTGATTGTATTTCTTTCACATAGCGAGAGAGCTTTCCGTACCTACTATTGTTACCAAGCCAAGATGTAAAGTTGGTTCTTCCGGTTATCGAACCAGATATGAAGCTCGATGGTCGAACCGTACTGAAGACTGCGTGTGTAGGCATAAGAGACCATTGTTGTTGTGATCCGTGAATCATCCGATCAACTAGATCACCATCGCTGATACTTTCTGCCGCTTGGTCTACAAGCTGCAATACCTTGAGCTTGTGCTCTCTGGGTGTATCTGCGGTGTTAGCTAATTGTGGTTTCGTATTCAGGTAATTTTCCTGAATCATCAGGGGCGTAAACTCGTGGTCGTTGAAATAGAGCTCGATCTTATCGTTTAGGGTAGATTTGCTAGTGGGGGCAAACATATGTCCACCAAGAAGTTGAGAAGTTATGTCCCATGGCTTGAGAACAACATGCTTCTCCCATGCCTTTGACATTTCCTTTCCTTGATCGAAGTCTATGGCGATTTGATCAAGCTTTACAGTAGATATCATGTTGATGATTTGACGGATATCCTTATTGCTGCCTTCGATGAGAGCATCAATGACTTGAACAGGAAGCTTCATGCCTTCTCGATGACAAATAGTGGCGATACGTGAACGTACCATATCGACGGTAGGCCTCTTGAATGGCATATCGAATGTTACAAAATCGAATGGCTTCATCTTCGGAAGCTTGCGGTCGTTACAGATCAATATCATGGGAATATCGGTCGTTTTGCAGATTTTCGCGAGAGCTCCCACTCCACCCCGATCTCCAGATGACATACCGTCAACTTCGTCCATGATTAGGACTAACTTCTTCTTGGTCTTATCGATATCTTTTCCGTCACCTGCGAAGTAACCCAAAACGGAGGTGTTGTTTAATACTTCAGATAATCCCGTTTCAACCAGCTTCTTGCTTCGGACATCACTAGCGTTTCTCTCCAAAATATCATAACCAGCAAGCTTGGCAGCCAAATGTGCCGCAGTCGTTTTTCCGATACCGGGTGGACCATGGATAATGATGGCTCTGTAACCTCCAAGTCCATCCGCGCCTCTCTTCTGGAAATTGTACTTGTGAGCATTTGCCCAACCCTTAAGCCAAGACTGAATCTTCTCAACTTGACTTTTGTTGCCACAGATTTGATTCATTTGCGTTGGAGCATACTTGGTGGTCCACAATTGTGATGAAGTTGGCACTGCCACCTTGCGGGGAGCTGGTGGTAAAGAAGATTTTCCTTTTGACGCAGCGAGTTTTTGAGCATCCCTCTCCGCTTTCTCTGCTTCCGCAACTTTCCTCCGCTCTTCTCTATCCATCTCCTCGGCTGCTTCTCGAATCTTCCTCTCTTCAACTGCCTTCTTTTCGTTGTTTTTCTCCGCAGCCTTCCCGTCACCCCCATTAGCAGGCATGGCTCTAATAATGGCGAAGAGTCCTTCTTCATCAATGGTTTTAATTTTCAAATCTTGTATCTTTCTGAGTTTACTCGGGCCAGCATCGGTTCCAAGTACAACATAACTTGTTTTGCCACTGGGTGCACCAGTGATTTTCCCCCCACACCGCTTGACGAGCTCCATCCCTTCATCTCTGGAGATTGTGTTGAGCACTCCCGTAAAAACGAATGTAAAACCTGCCAAACAATTCTCCGCACCTTCAGGAATTTCTGCACAACCGGCAGCTGGTGGAGGGCCAGAATTACCACCACCACCTGCACGCCAGTCATATTTGACGTCCTTCGGTGGCGGGGTTGGGGCTCGAACGGTTGGGATGCTATCTAAGATTGCCTGTATATTCGAGCTCTCTGGAGCAGCAGCTTTCTTTTTTGGCGGAGCACGAGGTTTCTTTGCTGGTGGGGGCTTTGAGCTTTTGCTCTTAGGGGATTTCTTGGCAGGGACGACCTCCTCGTCGTCATCGGATTCCAAATTAACTGATTTGCGCTTTTTGCCGTTCACGACAGAATTCTTGCTTGGCTTTTCGATTATCATCATATCATTGCCCTCGTCATCATCAGGCACAACCAAAACGTCGTCGTCGCCAACATCCTTCATCTCAACATCCTTGTCCTTTTTGATCGGTGCAGTCTTCGACTTCGACACAATTCTCTTCGGTTTAGGTAACACCTCATCATCGCTATCATCTTCGACATAACCGTCGTCCTTGCGCTTGCCTGTCTTTTTCACGTCCGCTGCAAATATATCATCGTCCTCATCGAAGTCGTCATCGTCTTTGATTTCTATACGACCAGAGGATGTCTTCTTTCGAGTAGATGACCGGGCAGGTGGTGGCTGTATTGCTTTGATAGGGGTCGATTTTGCTGGTTTAGCCTTGGGTTTATTACTCGAAGCAAAGAAGTCATCCGCAGTCGTTTCCTTCCCTTCAAGCTCCTCATTTTTACTGAAATTCCCAGGTTAACTATGTACAAGAATACGGATAAGTAAATGGGTAGAGCATACACTGATTTCTTAGCCGCAGCTTTTTTGGGCTCTGGCTTTATTGGCCTGGAGAACTTTAGCATGTGCCGTGCAGGATTATTTGTGAAGCATACAGTGGTTCTTCGTCATCATCACTATCTTCGATGATCTTACGGCTTTCTAGTTTTCATTAAAATTGTGTAATAAATTCAAGCTGTCTGAGAAACTTACTGCTCTTCTTCTTCTTGGAATCTTCCTCTTTCTTGTTTCCCTTTCCTCGAATAGGCGTAGAGGTAGAAGCTCCAGGTTTGCCTCCAAAGAAACTTCTGATATCCGCAGGCATACTGGGCAGATTCAGTGGTAATTTTCTTCGAAAGTACCACGAGTTCAATGGAAAAAGAAATCGTTGATACAAGCAATTGCTAGAAGAAAATAGTGTTGTGAATTAACTTGGGATCTTTTTGATAAGGTTACCTACGGACGTGAACTACGCGACCCCGACGCGGAAGTAACGCGCTGTAGTTGGGCCGCCACCTGGGCACTTATATTGAAAAATATTATTGCCTCAAATATTAGGCTTGATATAGAGCACCGAATTTGAGGTTCTTATTAGATTTCTCTAGATTCGGACGACAATAACGTCCACAGCCATCCACCATGAAGCCTCAAAGTCTGCAGAGCTTCACGGCTCAGCTTGGAAGGCTATCGTTAGCCTCCAACCCAGTTCGGGCTCTTGGTCCCATCCTCGCCCAAGCCTCAGCCTTCTCCACACCTTCGAACCGCACCTCGCCTCAGTCCCGTCGCCCGTTTTCTAGCACAGCCGTCAATTCAGGCAATTGGCTTCTACCTTCCTTACCAGAAAAAAAGAGATCACGGAAGGGTAGACCTCGTGTGCCAACAGGAGGATCAGCCAGGGGTACAACTTTAGTATGGGGTGAATATGGTTTACGAATGTCCGATCATCATCGCCGTGTTAGTGCGCAGCAATTGAAGATTGGAGAAGATGCCATTAAGGTCAGACTAAAGGGCATGAAATATCGATTGTACAAGAGAGTTGCTGCCCAAATTGGTGTATATAGCAGTGGTAATGAGGTAAGCTATGAATCAGGAGTCTGTCTGAGATTATAAAAATGGAGGTTTAATTGCTTGATAGGTGCGTCAAGGTAAAGGAAAGGGTTCCTTTGATCATTGGGCTTCGAGAATTGCTGTAAGCAAGATCATATTCGAGTTGAAGGGAGATGTGCACGAACAGGTAGCGAGAGATGCATTTCGATTAGCAGGCAACAAAATGCCAGGTTAGTAAACACGACCCTCCCTTTTTCCTCATACTGATTTGGATGATTCTAGGTCAGTATGAATTTGTCAAATTGGGAGATCCTCCGGTCGTTGGAATCACAAAATTGGATGGAATTACAATGGCGGAATTAAAGAGGCCAAGAAGGAAGATACCATTAGGCTCGATACCTATTGCTTCTACTGCAGAAACTACACCTACTGTGTCTACGTCGACCTTACCTGATGCATAGATGTGGAAACTATGGATTGTATCATAGAATATCTTGGGATCATCAGTTCAGAGAAGGAATGGATATGTAAAAACTCACCCTCCAATTCGCAGAAATTGTTGGAGGAGAGCAAGGGTGTGTAATTTCATATGGCGGCCACAGTTTGCCGCTTGTTCCACCGTATCCGGGAAGAGCGGCATCCTTCTATCCAAATATATCAAGACGAGAGACAGCCAAGATGCCATAAATAAATACCAACATCAAAATAGGAAGAAATAAAGTGTGGTGATTGGCCAATCCCCAAGGCTCTCCTAAGGAAGAGGGTTGCTGCCTTGTGTGAACATTCTTGTTGTCATGTTGATGATGCCCGATTTTTGATATCTTCAATTCTACCAACCCCAGAATCGAAGGCATACTTCCCAGTCTGATCACCTATAACGCCATGATTACCCGTCTTAACGCCAGTACCTTTGTCCTACCGTGGTTCTCCCCGCTCTATTCAGATCCCGAATCATCTATTACCTGGGTCTCCTTGAGTGCCTAAACCAAGTCAGCCATACTGTATTGACCAAACCTTAGATAAGTACATACTTCCTCTAGACGGGTCTTCAACATTCCCAACATGTTCTCTTTGATGACCAGAGTCTCATCATCTAGATCCTCGACAATATATGCATGCGATGAATCTGCATCTATTTTGATGATGATGGATTTGATAGAAGGATCGCACTCCACAAGGACGCCTTAATGTTCTGTCAGATACGGTATAGCTTATGATCCTTAAGCCAAGAATACTTTTATACCAGACAAAATGATCACTTGAAATCATTCGTCGGTAATCTCTGAACGTTCTGGGGCCATTGGCAAGTACGCCACCCTAATGACATTGAATAATTGGAAGCCACATACCTCTAATAGCTCGTGGCATAATAAGTGTATTGCTTGTTCCACCTTGTTTGACTTCTCAGGATGCCGAATTCCTTGAATTCTCGTGACTTTCATATACAGAGAAAGATATGCCGGCGAGCTCTGAGGTTACGTAAGCAAAACAGGTGGTTGAAATCACCAATTTCTTGAATCTAAATGTGGTCGTCAAATTACATATATGTATAAATATGTTTTGAAATACTAATATTTAGGTATTTTCAAATACTAACAAATAGTTTTTTTTTTTTGTATTTAAGTTTGAATTTCTATATTTCGGCCATCTTTTTCGCTGGTGGAAAGGCCCAGCCCGTATTATCCGAGAGCTGATCAAAACCCATATTTGATTGGTGAATTTGAACATAAGCTTTCTGAGCACCATCATATTTCCGTCACCGGTTGTCTCGGAAAAGCCATACTGATACTGACTATATCCAATTTATGTAGAAGCAGCAACGCAACGGTGAGCTAAGCAAGGCGCAAAGGCAAAGTATTTTGGTTTCGTAGTACTCTGGTATATACTCTCTTACTCGAGTACTGTATTCATTGTTTCTTTGTTGTTGTTATCCTTATTCCTTCCTTCAAAAGCAAGGCCTTTCTATTCCTGAATGAATCTTTTAGACTTGCTTACAAACTTTTCTTTGCCTACCAGCGTGCTGTTTGTTATCAACTCGTACTCGTACTCTCAAGGCTTCTGGTAAAGAAAGTGGCAGTGCGGAAATTATCCTTGTCACTACATTGCCATCTCTCGAAAATAGCTTATACAATAGAAGCTTTTTGATGACGAGTCTAGATCGACCAAGTGCTATATCTACTTCTCTCCTCCCCGGGCGACTTGGTACCTTCCTTACTCAAGATAACCTCATCAAGTAGATATGCCATCTAGACACCAGAAAAGCGTTTGCCAAGGCAACAGCCAGCCTTTCTACTCGGCTCTTCTCTTGCTTTCGATGACATTCCCAAAAGTTTCCCACGCACAGATCCTCCCCGCGGTGTTGACGACGTTTATCACTTCGGCTACCCCTCCATCGAACACCCTTCTCGCCTTAAACACTCGTCAACTAGACTCTACCCAGTCAGCGGAAGATACGTCGAGCCATGTCTATAACTACTATTTTGTGATTGTCGCCGTCTTCGTGGTTCTCATCTTCTTCATCCTTCTATATTTTACTCGGCGTCGGAAGCGGAAGGCTGAACTTTTACGGAACAATGGTCGGACTGCTTTGGCACGCGATGTACAAACTTTCGCAGACTTCAGAACAAGGTTTGGGCCGAGGAGAGGGGGGTCTAGGGTAATGGGAATGACAATGGGCTCAACGGGCGTACACAGAGAAACACCGGAGGGTTTGGACGAAAGGGGGGAAGCACCTCCAGCTTATGTGGAGGGTGGTAAGCCGCCGAGTTTGAGGAGTGATGATGGAATCGCAATGATGATCTCTAACGAAGATCATGACAATGCCAACGGCGCACCTAGTGCGCCAGTTGTGGCGACTGCGGGAAATAACAGTAGTACTACGGAGCACGATGCATCGGGTTTGGGGTCCAGATTATCTGCGGAACTTTCGCGATCAACCATCACAACTGCAAGGAATATGGAAGGACGTACATCTCTCGGGGATCTATCAACGCCGGTCGCAGGTGTAGTAGAGTCGAATCAAGGTGTGGAATTACGGCCATTGAGTCGAAGTGCGTCGACACGCCCACCTTTAGGACCACCCACATACTCCGAGACATATTTGGGCGAAGAACCCGACCTTACGAGGCCAGCTGCCGCGGTGACAGCCCATGACCGGTTTGCTTCAACGAGGAGATTCATGAGTGATAGTAGAACTTCATCTGAAACATGATGCGGAGAGCTCGAAGCAGCATGACCAAATGAACATATGGGAATGATTTTTATCCTGGATATTATATGCACGATCATAGAACGGCAGGCCGACTAATGAAGATATGGATGGTATGAATAAATGGTTTGGGCGGGGTCCTAGGTATGGTTGGATGCCCGAAAGGTATGAGAGTCTCCAAAGGCGCTTTATGACTGTCATGAACGTTTGTTTATGAAGCATCATTCTGATATTGTTATTGTGTAATTATAGTTAAACGCACAAGTATGTATATTAGGATCAAAAAGTTTCTAACCCCAAGACCGCCAATGGGCTAGAAGTTCAATAGCTATGTGGACTTTCCTTTACACTCAATATATCCCTTAAACATTGGCTCACTCTTACCTCCCCCATCTCCAATTAGATTCGTCTTACAGAATATCACAATCATGTCTCCTTTGTCCAACCATAGCTTGGAATCTCAGTGGATGATATTTTCTTCAAACGTTCCATATATACTATTCACACGAATCAAAATGTGTTCAGGGTGCTTTCACACACTCGGCACGTTGTCATGAGTGGCCTTTTCGGGGTTATTTGCACGAATTTGTCTAGCAACCGTAGAGTTCTTGCATGATCAGGACTTCTCAAGTTCTCTATCGCCTGCCCAAGCCAATTTTCTCGTATCCAATCTCTCTCCCTTGCCTCTCTTTACTTCCACAACTTTCTTCCCCGTCGCCCATCTCAACATTGTAAGTGAATGTTTGCCAAAAGTATATTTGCCCTTTCCATCCCACTTACTCTCTTTAATACCCACTTCTTCCTTCTCTGCTGTATTGGTCACCTTCACATTATCCCCCGTAATAGTGAAAACCTCCACCTCCCCCTTCACCCCCAATAGATCCGTCTCGAAACTCTCCTCCTCGCTCACATTCACAACACACAAACTTACAACCCCATCCTCATCCACACTCCCCGCCACATCCAACCAACTGGCTCCCCCTTTTTCTCCCACTACACTCGCTAACCACCTCGGTTCCTGTACCCCTTCATACGCTCCGCCTCTCACATGTATCCCTAACGTCCATCCGCGCATGTATTTACTATACAACCATAATGGCCACCAAGTCGTTTGTTTAAGAATCCCATCTTTACTCGTCATCAATGGAGAAATAACATTAACACTCTGCGCAAGATTCGCCATCCCTACATACCTACTCTGTCTCACAAAAACATTCAACCACACCCCTACCGCCAACGCATCGCTCAACGTATATCTTTCCTCGGCTCCCTCTTCTCCTGGTGCTCGCAATGGATCCCAGACATTCCACTCGTCGAAACAGATTTTGGGGATAGGTACCGAGGCAGGGATCTTCGCTTGGATACGCGCGATTTGGATAAACGAGGCGGCGGATTCGATGGCGGTTTCGGCTTGCAGGGGTGAAAGGGCGTTGGGCAGATGTTGCGATGAGGTGCTGTAGATGTGGATGCTGTGCATGGTTATGTGATGGATGTTGGGGAGGAGCACGGTCAGATCCCAGGGGGAAAGACCGGTTTCGCCACAGAGGATTAGTTGGAGGCTGGGATCGAGGAGGTGGAGCGCTTTGGACCATTGCAGAGCTTTTTTGGCGCTGGTTCCATTTAGTGCATGTTTCTTCTGAGGGATCGAGAGAATAAACATACTAGTCTTCGGCGGTCATTTGCTCAACTTGCCATGGCCCCCAAACTTCGTTTCCTAGAGCCCAGTATTTGATGTTGTATGGCTCTTCGTGGCCGTTTTTTCGTCGAAGATTGGCATAGTAAGTATTGCGAGTTCCGTTGCAATACTCTACCCATGCTAATGCTTCGGTCAATGTCCCTGTTCCCATATTGAGACAGAAATAGGGCTCGACTCGTTTTCCTTTTCCCTCTGATAAAACACTAAGATAGTGCATGAATTCATCGGTTCCTGGGCAGTATCAGTTCTCTAATCTCAAGCCAAACAGTAGGCGAATTAGTAAGAAAGAATAAATACCGAATTCGTTCGTCTCGGTTCCTAGCCAGGCAAGTTCGGGACGAGCCGGTCGATCTTCTCTGGGTCCAACACCATCTTGCCAATGATATGTGGCAATGAAATTCCCACCTGGGTAGCGGATTACCGGGATATCGAGTTCGCGGAGCGCGTCAAGGACATCGGTTCGGTAGCCATGTTTGTCGGAGAGTGGGTTCCCAGGGTCGTATATTCCACCGTAGATGCAGCGGCCCATATGTCTAATGTATGTGAGAAAATGTATATGGAAAGACCGATGATCATGAGCTAATCCAGCTGTCCTGGATTTGAGGCAAGAGATCATATCTCCTAGAACACGACTTTGTGATGGAAAACAAGTCATGTAGTGTAGAAGAATGGAGAATCAGGAAAGTTTGAATTTGCATGTCAAGTGGGCTTGGTACTTGAATCTTCTCACTTGCGAAGTTCTAATACCGAGCAATTTGTATTACTCGTACGAAGTGGTACATTCGATGACCTTTAGTATCTGAAATATTTTCAGGTCGTACCCGGCCCTGAACTGGCAGATGGCTCCCGTCTAAACCTTTGCGTAAATACTGTCATCGAGATTGATGCCATTCTTAACTTAGCTTGGGAGCTTGGACGAGAGTTTGAGTAAAGGAGAAGATCGAATAGGCCATATGAGTATGCTCCAAAATGGTCACGCGACACTACTGCCTTTTAAAGATATACACAAATATTACTCACTCCATAAACCCTCCATATATCATCGGATCTATCTCGAGATTAGCATAATTCGTATCAATTGACCTGTGAAGCTCTCGCAAGCATACCAATCTTCGACAATCTCCTCGATACATCAACACTAATCGAAGGAACTTCTCCATCAGGTACTCTCGTAAACGTCGTCATCTTGTCGATATTCTCACAGAATTCCGTGTCTCACGGGATGACATTACAAACAATATAAAGTGTCGCATATGGAATCCTGCCATCTTGTATCTCGGAACACATAATCTGTCATGACTAGAGGCCATTTCCAGTATCCACCTGATACGACGATATCGGCTCATAAGTACACAGTGCACACGTACCAACATGAAGATTGGAGAAATCGGTCACAACTCCCTCAAATCATTGGTGCGAATATACATTCCCCCAACCTATCGGTAGACTAATCCGATCATGCAACTTGCACCATGATAAGCGAGTCATTGTGAATGGATGGAAAATCTCAAGCCGTCAACAAGCGAGAAAGCTTACCTCCGTAATCCCACGCCTGGAAACTTCAACCCTTAGACCCCCAATCACTCTATATCGTAGAAAGACTAAACCTCCAAGGAGCGCTAATGATTTCTTAAATTTGTCTGATGCTTCAATTTATATGCAGATGCGTACCAATTGGCTTCTTGCCCGAATTAAACCGTGTCCACTAAGACATGGTGGACGACGAATCATGGCGGGAAATGGCTGGTTCCAACACGCGGAGAGCTTGGAGCTATCACAACTTCCCATGTCGAGAGCTACTACTGTAGGTGCTATTTCCCCAGGATCCCCGCATAACTAGCTCGCTGTCAGACGGCATGTTGGTACTCTTTCTGGGGATTGGTGATGTGTGAGGCAAAGAATATAAGATGTGAAGAATTCCCATGCAGACGATGATCAATCAGTATCTCTTCTTGAGACTAAGTGTCCATTTTGTACTGCAAGCTTTCGAGCATTGAGTTGTAGTTATGGGACGTCTTTCTCCAAAGGTCTATCAGGTAAGACTTAGTTATTCTTGAAGACCCGAGACCTTGGTACCCTACTAACACTGCTCTAGTTCCTCGTGGGTGTTTTCGCCTCAGTGGGATCTATCCTTTATGGTTATGATCTAGGTACGTACATGAATACTCAATGATACTCCATGTCTAGCTCTAACAGTATATAGGTGTTATCGCAGAAGTCGTTGCAAGTGATACCTTTGTCGCCCAATTCAAACCAACTTCTACAGAAATGTAAGCAGCTTTCTTAGAATCATACGATACGAAATTAATTATCACAGTGGGATTGTAGTTTCTTTCTTCACCGGTGGGGCTTTCTGTGGCTCCGGTCTTGCGGGACCAATTGGAGATAGATTCGGGCGTCGATGGACTATATTTGCAGGATGTATTATCTTTATATTCGGAGGTAGTCTTCAAACCGGTGCACAGCATCTCCATTATCTCTGGGCTGGTAGATGGATTGCCGGATTAGGAGGTAAGTTATCGAATGGTCAGCAATTCTGCCATGACGTCTGTTTCTGACAAACACTTACTAGTTGGTTTCCTGGTTATGATTATTCCCCTATACCAAGCCGAAATCGCACATCCCAGTATTCGAGGTCGTATCACATCATTGCAACAGTTCATGTTGGGTATTGGTTCTCTCATGGCCGGGTGGATTAGTTATGGAACATATATTGGTCTGAAGAGTTCCGCTCAATGGCGTTTGCCTTTGGGTCTTCAGATGCTTCCTGCCGTCATCCTCGCTGGCCTCATTTTTCTCTTCCCAGAATCCCCACGTTGACTCATCGACCACGGTCATCCAGATAAAGGCCTCTCAACCCTTGCCCGATTGCACGCAAATGGTGATGAGAATGATCCGTGGGTACGAGCCGAATTCGACCAAATTCAAGACAGCATTACATATGAACACGAACACGAAGCACAATCGTATATGGAGTTATTCACAAATAAATCATCCTTCCGCCGATTATTGATCGCTTGCGCTCTACAAGGATCTGTTCAAATGACTGGTGTTTCCGCAATTCAGTATTACTCGGTAAAGATTTATGGACAAATTGGCATTCAAGGAAGTGATGCTTTGAAATATCAAGCTATCAACAATATCATTGCGTTGCTTGGGGAAGCTTGTTGTGTTATTTTCATTGATAAATTGGGACGAAGATGGCCTTTGATTTGGGGTAATCTGCTCAACATGGTTCGTTATTCTTTGTATTACATTAACCACTGTTACAAGGTACTAACCACTCCTTCAGCTCACTTTCATCATTGCCGTTATCCTCATTGCCACATTCCCCCCCGGTATCAATTACAACACCGGCGCCTCCTGGGGCTTCATCATCATGACCTGGCTCTACAACTTCTCCTTCTCCGCCACCTGCGGACCCCTCTCCTGGGTTATCCCCGCCGAAATCTTCGACACCCGCACCCGTTCCAAAGGTGTCTCCATCGCAACCATGGTCTCCTTCGCCTTCAACACGCTCATCGGTCAAGTCACCGATACGGCCATGGCCAACATTGGGTACCGATACTACTTCGTATTCATCATTTGCAATTTCACCAATACGCTATTCTTCTATTTGTTCTTACCCGAGACTGCAAGAAAACCTTTGGAGGAGATGAATTATCTCTTTACGCACGCGCCAATTCTTGTAAGTTCTTCCTTGAATTCTACAATCTGTCGGTTAGATTCAGACACTAACAATCAAAATAGGTCCCCGGAACAGACAAAGCCAGATACAACGCAGGCTACGCCGCAGATATCGAACGAAGAGCACAGGAAATTGGCGAGAAGGGAGAGATTGAAGTTGCTCATTACCAGCACGAGATTGATAAGAGCCGTGGCACTAATTTGGCTTTTGCTTAGTGGTCATGATGTTATGATGATGTCTAGAATGGATACAGAAATTGAATACCCAAATATAATGTTGAATTTTTGTCGATTTGGTGCTGTTGATGTTAATTATGTACAGTATGTGACTATCCTCCATCCTTCTCGCTATCTTCCTCTTCCTCTCATACCATACCATGCTAGACACTTGGGATTTGGATTGATATATTTGAAGTCGGCACCATTGACCAAGACAATTACGAATTACGAGTTCTAGCTGTAGGTAGATAGGTAAGTAGGTAGATACAACTAAACCTACTCGTGTAAATCTAAATCTGGAGCTAAACCTAAACCCAAAAGATCTCTAAATGAATCCTCATTCTACTGTAGTGTAGTAAGTAGGTAATTCTATTACGAGTAAATAATGTAAATAATGGATTGGACTACCTAGTAGGTATACTCGAGTATATTCAGCTATTCATCCACCCACTCATCGTATCATATAATTACTAGAGTCTGAAGTCTAAAGTCTAAAGTCTCGCACACAACATACAACATCACATAGCGCACATCACATAGCGCACATCACATACATAAAGGCTAAACACAATACTACATCTTAAACCGCACCAAACCGGACCAAAAAGAACACTGCGATTTACTTGACAAGCACTCGAGTATCTTCAAGATATACCTAGTATTTCTCATTTCAAGATTTATATATATATATAAACAAGTGAGTGAATGATTAGTAAGACACGAAAACTGTATGTATAATATATATATATATATCTAAACTTCAAATAAACATATATGTCTTTTATGACTTTTCTCTTTTTCTAGTATTGTATTTTTTCTAGGATTGTATTCTAGTATGTATTGTATTGTAATATGTATTGTGAGATACTAATATTAGCAAACAATAGCAAGTAGGAAGTGAAATAAGTAAGTAAAATATGCAAGAGTAGGTATTGGATAGAAGGAATAAGGAAGATTATGAATGTGGACTTATGGAGTTGTGGAGTTGTGGTACGGAGTGAGTGCTGTATGGTATGGTATGGCATGCATGGAAAAGTGGTTGTGAATTGTGATTTGCGAATGTATGTATGTATGTATGTATGTATGTATGGAATGAAGGTAAGTAAGTAAGTAAGTAAGTAAATAAGTAGATAGATAGATAAGACTTGTATAACGGTAGTATAATAGTATGTATATATGCATATGTAACCAGTGTAGTCAGTAATTTAAACCAGTCAGGATATTGGCAGTTTGAATATCAGAAACTAAAGTTACTAAACCGATCAATTTCGATATATTAAACTGGCAGTTTGAATTCTTAAACTAAAGCGACTGGTTGAACCAGTGTACTGGTTCAACTAGTTAACTATTGAATACACGGTATGTAACCCAATGGAATGGAACAGAATAAAATAAAATGGAACAGCAAAGTGAAGTATTAATTAGAAAATGAGCTTACTTTATATCAGGATCAAAATTTAGGATAATCGTAGCCTCGTAGGCCATTCATTTCATTTCCTTTCCTTTCCTTTCCATCTCATTTCCATCTCATTTTTTTCGTCCCAAGTTGACATATAATAATATATCAAGACCATATACCCTATATCGTATCGTACAATTTACAACCTACTCGTTTCATCTATCCCAGCCCTAGCCCCAACCTTCACTACGCACTCTTTGTCAAAATAAAACTTAGATCTTTCTCTCACCACTCAAAGCCAATATTCGCGCAGAACGTAATAATATTTGTTTATTAGTAAAGTATTTCACAGAATCACAACCAACTCTTTTAGACGACAGTAGACTAGAAATGAAATTCACAAATAGGTTTCACATCGAGGCTTTTGACTTGAGAGTTTAGTTTAGAGTAGAACAATACAATGAATGGGTCTCCAAGTTCAAGAATCAATACCCTCGAGTACTCATTCGAAGATTTCGAAATATTATCATACCGGTATATCATCATGGACATACCATACGAATTATCTCGGCTCGTATATGAGATGCGGTAGGGAGGAGGGAGGTTGACAACATTACTCGAGTATAACTAGATTCTCAAAGGCTTTCATATAAAACATAGGAAATTGCTGTAGATATGCTATACAGCGAAAAGTATCTGGTAGGAAAGTAGTACAGTATATATAGGATGATAGTAACAAATGTTTATATCTGAAATAAATGTCCAAGGATATCCATCCAATGTATTCAGACTTCATCTCCAAGTGAAGGAAAACAAACCATGGAATAATGAAAATGGAATTAGATCTTAACGACATCATTCTCTCAACTAATGCAATACAAATTCCTCTTAGATACAGGTTGCCTTTTCCTTTTGCAGAAGATTTCGTATCCAAAGACTACCGAGGAATATATGGTTTAGACAAATAAACACTTGCTTGAATCAATGCATACATTTCGAATTTGTACATTGAATTGGAAGGTCTTGCTTGCCAGTGCATTTTATAGATAGATGTAAACCTCAAATCCATTTCTTCACATCCCAATTCAATTCAATTCAATTCAGCATACAAATGGCTAGCTATGTGGTTAAAGTGCACCATTCCTCTCTTCCTCGAGATTCTTGCCGAGATTGAATCTTCTATGAGTATCAAACCTTGAAATACAAACACAGAACAGAACACAGAGAATAAGAATATTTTGAGTCTGAAGAGAAGGGAAGGATGAGATTCTTGCATATGATATCAACATATCAAGACCTAGCTTGCCAAACCAACGACTGAATCTGAAGTATGAAATAAATCTTCTTTGTTGTGAGCACAGGCTGGCACCCAATAAGAAAAGATGTGAAAACTTCGTTTCCATGAGACGACCGAATCGATTATTCTTCGCTGATGATCCATCTCATGTCCAGAATCTGCTAACTATCGCAGTCTCTGGTTCATGCCTGGGCATTAGAATTCACTCGTAGGAACTCGATATCTGGTAACAATTTCGATTAGATTGAAAGTTAACTTCGTATGGTGAAAGAGCTCCACAGAATAGAAAAGATAATTGCAGTGACGGTGTACTGTTATTGGTAATGCGATATATATATACTTTATAGGTCTTCCTTGTTAAACGATTTATAATGGAGCTCGTGGGTCGGTAATGTAAGCATAACTTTATGCTCGTACGTACGTATGTACTTGCGATGTCAAATCACTGGACATTGGACAAGAGCCTCCTTTCCATCCCTCCCCTCGCTTCCTCAGCCTTTATAACTCACTCCCCCATTCCCCACTGGCAATACGAGACTACTGTAATACCCAGTACCGGTACAGTAGCAGCAATGGACGTAAAGAAACATGAAACAAAAGATACACATAACCACTTGGAGTTGATATGTCTCAGGTCCCACCATATTGGTTATCAATCAAAATCTCTAGATTGTAATTTGCTGTAGATCACGGATTGTATCCATACAATTTGTCCAGAATCCAGATTGATAGGATTGGGATGAGGCAAGGGAATCCTTGACATTTTGATCAGTGAATGAGACTTGAGTACGTACCTTTGATAGATACTACGGAGTATGATGATATAAATGATTCACTTGAGGAAATGTGAGACTCTCACGGCTGTCTAGAAGGACTGTGTGTGAGGCGCATATTCATTGTACAGTAAGCGAAAAGTAAAATATGATATTCTGGCGACAGCTTGTATAAACTTCCTTCAATAATCCCTATAATTAAGTCCCACTAGTTTTTTACATTACCGGGATCGAGAGTCTGAAATACTAGAACTGCGATAACCAAAATATCTATACAAGCCACTTACCGAATTCGATGCCTGCATTCTTCAATTGAAGTTTTGAATACCCTTAAGAAGCCATGCCGGGTCGGTACCTGCGCTGCCAAGCTTTACACGAAATAGGAAGTTAACATATTTTTGTCGTCCGAGTGCTATAGACCTTTTACTAGGGATAGGATACTGGTAGCTGACGAGTTTTTCTGAAGAAATTTGGTCCGAAATTGATCCCTTTATGCAATGCAACCTGTCATTTAATATTGTACTATGCACACAGTAACTAACTATTGGATGTTACAAACCGTTTATTGTGATCGCCATTTACATTTATCTCTTGCTGACTGCTGAAAGCTAAAAGAATGAACCGAAATAATTAGTTAAAAAACCTCAAAAAAGGAGGTCAGTCAACAGACGAGAGTTTTATCTTCGGCGGTATTGATGAGGTCATGAAGGAAATTCCAAATTGTAAATTTAAGGCTTGTAGCAGAGATATATTGTAAAGTTGTAGCAGGATGATCTCGGAAGATCTAATTGCATCGGAAATATGCATACTTTCTTCTGCAGGATAAAGCGAACGACGGTTAAGGTAAGAAGTGGGCGGGCCATAGAAGTTTTGGATAGGATAAGTAGCCCGGGGTATTAATAGATAGCCAAGGCAGGGTACCACTTTAAATATCTTTGAACGCGTAAACAAGTTGAGGCTGTGAATTAGCAAGATACGATAAGAGCTGTACGAGACATCCAGTAGCTAAGTCGTCAACTACTCGGTCATCTATACTGATATCAATAGAATCAAGATGAGAGGAAGCAAAACCCTTTGCATTGGTTGAAGAATACTTAAGTAGCATTGGCTTTGCTTATATAGTTATATAGTCAGCTAACAAAGGGTGGCGCTTCTACTTTGGGATTGACTCGATCATGATAGCCAAGATAAACAAGCATGACTTGCAGTCTCAAATTAAATGAAGGCTATCTATTGGTCGTTGGAAAAGAAAAGGAAAGAAAAAGAGAAAAGAAAAAGAAATGGGTTGAAGAATAATAATATCCGATGTTAGAGAGTAGATAGACGAGGGGTTATTACTATGCCTGAGCTTGCTTATGAAGATCATCCATCCCAAGTCCACACATGGCTATGGTACACCAAAAGGCCAACGAGGACCTAAAGATGAGATGTTATGGAGTAGAAAGAAGCCTTTCATTGTTAGGTATTGATCTACCAACAGATTTTGAGAATATCCGACGATTATGCTTCACTGAGAACAGCACTCATTAGATAGTACTGTATGTAGCACACAACAGCCAGTATAGACCGTAAGTTAGAGAGAGGGAGATTGATTGTATATCGGTACCGCCGTGCAAAGATATGATTTCTTCACTATGTTGCTATTACTATATGACATTGGAAGTTTTTCTAGGATTGCAATGAAATCTTTAAACCTTGATCCCATTTTAGCCTTGAAAGTCTTTAAAGTTTAGGGAGACCTTAATTGCAATCAGCAATCTTGATTATGCTTCAAGGAGTTCCACCTTGGGACCCCTAGTACTAAATAAAATTGATACAGAATTGCTTGTCCTTAATTGAGGGCTTTGAGAGAGAAAACCAGAAGTGAATTGGAAAGATTGTGACCACCAATAACACCACTGAATCAATCACTATTGACTACCTTATATACTGAAAAGATTGGAAATATCAAAACAATCAAAAATAACAATCTAACCCTAAGATCTTATTATATTTGGATATTCCTAGTCAACTGCGCATTTTTATACGCCACCAACCACCCAAACGCTCAAACAACCCCATTGGCAAAGACGACTTTTCTACAACCAACCCTTTTCTTTACACAAAGGAACAATACTTGAGATATTCTTCGAAAAGATGAAAAGATATCAAAAGGTCTAATTAAAACAATCTACCACCTTTTCGACCTTGTTCATAACACCAACATTCGTTTGTACCGTACCTATTGACTATCAACAACTCCCTTCTTATTTTGATCAAGAAGGATTCTTGGATAACACCTCCTTTCTTTGTAATTTCTGCAGACCCGTCTGGAAGACCCCGTCAATCTTCAACCTTCATTCAACCTTCATTTCAACCTTTCAAAATTAACGACATTCGATACCTTAACGATAACATTCTATGAACTTCGAACATCACAACTTGATTTGAGCTTTGTTGTTTATTGTTTCCGAGAACTTGGAGGAAGAATTGAGCGTCTTCTCAATCTATTTTCATCCTTCTACATTACGAACACCTCACGATTCCACATTCCAGAACATCTACCACAATCGCCTTGGCTGACGTAGCAGATGCTATTGTACTTATAAGATTCTAATTTGGGCTTGTTTCTATCGTCGAGATGGACCACTCGTATAGTGGCTCCGGGCGAAAGCCCCCTCACATAACAGTCAATTCGGCCAGTGCTGGAGATCTGCTAAATTCAACGAGCAGCTCTCCTTCCACTGCAGGAACACCTGGTCAATCGAGACAGTTAATCCCACCGCCGCGACCACCGACTTCTGGTTCGCAACAGTCACGAATGGCTGCCCCTCAAGTATATGGCTCACCCGATGTGGCTCAGTCAAATGAAATGCTACTTCCTCCTGCGAGATCACGAGCTCCGGCGAACAATCAATCATCATCATATTCCGACTATCCATTACCTTCTCCCTCGATATCGGGGTTCTCGTCACGAAGAACAAGCTGGAGCTCAGAAGCAGGAAGTCAGGCAGGAAGTCGAGACAGTCGAGTGGGACCATTTGGTTCACCATTTGATGATTCGAGAGCTTCTTCCAGGGCAGGCGACAGCGATGATGAGAATATCAATACACAAACAGTTTCGGAAAAGTACAATATAATGCCATCTGCAGGGTTATTACTTTTCCCGGAGGATGTCGAGAAGGACGACTACCTTCACAATCCGGATCCAAGTGATAAGGACCACGACAAGTGCGATATATGGAACAGAAGAGGTCTCACAAACATTGGAGGCTTAGTTTTAATCGTTTTGGCTGTGCTGTGCTTATTTGTTGCATATCCAGTGATGTATGTTTTTGGTCAATGTCCATGGAAACTTCGGCTAACAATTCCTCAGTACAGCTGTGAAGGAGAAAATCGATCCAAGTCATGGAGCTTGTGCGGCAGCAGCAGATTGTTTATCGGACAAAGTTGCTCTTCTCAAGAACGTGAGAACGGGCCTCATAGATCCGGACACTCCAGAGTCTGCCAAAACTAAAACTGCTCAAGATGGTACAAAATTGAAGCTTGTGGTAGGTTTGTTACATCATGCTATTGTATCTAATGCTGACGGCCTTAGTTCTCCGATGAATTTAATACCGATGGTCGAACCTTCTACGATGGCGATGACCCATATTTTCAAGCAATGGATATCTGGTATGGTGCTACTCAGGATCTGGAATGGTACGATCCAGATGCTGTGACAACTGGAAACGGGACTTTGAACTTAAAATTCGATGCTTTCCAAAGTCACAACTTGAACTATCGTTCGGGGATGGTTCAGTCATGGAATAAATTGTGCTTCAAAGGTGGTCGCGTGGAAGCTAGCATTTCACTGCCTGGACGAGGAGATTGGCCCGGTTTCTGGCCAGGTTTCTGGAGTATGGGTAATTTGGGACGACCTGGTTATCAAGCTACCACGGAAGGAATGTGGCCATACAGTTATTGGGACAAATGTGATTACGGGATTACAGCAAATCAGAGTTCAACGGACGGCATCAGCTGGCTGCCTGGTATGAAATTGCCAGCATGTACGTGTAAAGGACAAACACACCCTTCGTCTGGAAATTCTCGATCGGCACCTGAAATCGATGGAATAGAAGGCAGTGTTGCATTCATGACGACAAACTGGGGAGCAGCTACCGGTTCCGCGTCTCAATCCTACCAGATTGCTCCCTTCGACATATTTTATATGCCCGACTACAATTATGTTGAGGTCTATGATAACGAACAAAGCTCTGTAAATGCCTACCGTGGTGGAAATTATCAACAAGCTATGTCTTCGGTAACCTGGCTCAACAATGATTGGTATGATGGTAATGGATATCAGACGTATGGCTATGAATATACGCCTGGACCCACTGGAAAGGTTACATGGTTCGTTGGTGACCAGTATACTTGGAAAATGGACGCCCGGGCTTTAAGACCAAACGGAAATATTGGCCAGCGAACGATGCCGGCAGAGCCTATGGCTGTTATTATGAATTTGGGAATGGGTACCAGTTTCTCTCAAGTTATGATGCCTAATCTGAACACTTTGTTCCCTGTTACTATGCGGTTTGACTACATCCGAATATATCAACCAGAAGGGTCCGAATCAGTCACTTGTGATCCTGATGGATACCCAACCACCGAATACATCAAGAAGTTTCCAAAGGCATATGTAAGTTTATAGCACCCCTCTATACCCCTCTATCGCTAGAAGTATCTTGCTAATCAATTTCAGACAAATCAAAACCATACTTCTTGGTCAGACGCTGGCTATACGTGGCCTACAAATTCCTTCGTCGATACCTGCTAGAGACTCTTCAATTCTTCACAAACTTTTTGTATAAAGGACGTACTTTGCTTTGCACAAACACAAAAGCGAATTTTATACCCCTCGAGACGTGGCACGAACATTCATGCGCCCAAGGACATATAGAAGGTGGTCGGACCAGGCGGGGGCCTGGCGATCTCGATTCATCCTTTCATTCACCGAATATCACAAAAGAGCGCACGTTGTTCTTATTAATCTGTTTTTCTCGCCATAGATACACATTGCATAGCGGCGTCGGCGTTTTATTCTTTTTAGCATCGAGCGTGTCCATCGATTTGCCTTTCTAGCTTTACATCAATTGTCGTTGGCTATGTTCAAAGTGCATTTTGAAGCCCTTGTGCTATCGCTGTTGTACAAAAATACCACCGGTTTTATCATTTGCTCATTTTTTCTTTCTCAATTCGGGTTTTCTGAGGAGGCGATGAAAGGGATGGGCCTCTTCGTAAACTCGAACATTGTGTTTAATTCTTAAAAGGGGAGAATATGGGACTCCAGATGAGTTTCCTTACTAGAAAATAGGAGAGAGGAGGTTGAGAAGATGAAGCGAGGATAGATGAATGAATGGATTGACTTTATTGACTAACTGACTTAACTGATTGGATTGGCTTGGCTGGCTTGGTCTCTGGTTTGATGTTGTATTTGATTGGATTTTGCGATGTGGGTTGGGGGATCTTTAGATCGACTTTGACAGATTTAAACGAATGGGCTAGCAATTAGATGGATGAGTATTGAGGGGGGAGTTAGAGGGGAGGGGAGGGAGGTGAAAATGTGGATGAGGATAGGTGTGACAATGTGGGAGTTTGAACTTCAACTTTGAAGGGCGAGGAGTGGAAACCCGTAGATGGTACAAGGTACATATACCAATACCGATACCAATTCTCATGATAATAAAAAATTTAACAAATACGTCTCGGGGCTCCTTTGTGATACTTTTGATAATACAGTAGTAAGATTACATCAGCTAATGTCAAGGACTACAAATTAGAGAGTCTAAAATCGGTACTTGTGAATGTGTGTATATCACATATACGCTGTACCTTTAGATTGTCATCAACATTACTCGAGTAGAATCCTAACAGTAAAATAGGTGCTGCATTTGTCAAGAAGCTCCCATCCACGGCTTCGAGAAATTAAATAGGAAGAAAAAAGGAAATAGAGTTACGATCACGTGTGTAAGCAGGACTCAAGATCGATCCACTATCAAGAACGAACTTTCATTTACGCACTAATCTACTTTTGGGACACTAAATTATCCCTAACCGAGAAATCCCACACTCACACCAATTTGCGAACTTTTCTAAATGAATTCTTCTGAACTTTTGAACGTCAACACCCAACAAGTCGACCACCGCCAACATGTCGCATCGTAAATTCGAAGCTCCTCGTCACGGATCCCTTGCTTATCTCCCAAGAAAGAGAGCAAGCCGTCACCGCGGAAAGGTCAAGAGGTGAAGCATTTACCCCAATTCCATATTTGGTTGCGATATTTGAAATGTTCCTCGAAGAATCATTCAATGTCCGCCTGCAAATTTCAACCTTGGAGAAGAAAATTTGATTTGCTAACTCCTCAATTGCAAACAGTTTCCCTAAGGATGATAAGACCAAGCCAGTCCACCTTACAGCCACTCTTGGTTACAAGGCTGGTATGACTACCATTGTCCGCGATCTCGACCGTCCTGGTGCCAAAACACACAAGAAGGAGGTCGTTGAGGCAGTGACTGTCATTGAGACACCACCGGTACGAACAACGCAGCCCGCTTGGCTCAAGCCAATGGCTAATATCTTTTTAGGTTATCGTTGTTGGTCTAGTGGGTTACATTGAGACTCCTCGTGGTCTCAGATCCCTTACAACTGTCTGGGCCGAACATCTGAGCGACGAAGTTAAGCGCAGATTCTACAAGAACTGGTACAAGAGCAAGAAGAAGGCTTTCACCAAGTACGCCAAGAAGCACTCCGAGAACAGCGGATCTTCCATCACCCGTGAACTCGAGCGTATCAAGAAGTACTGCACCGTCGTCCGTGTCCTCGCCCACACTCAAATCAGAAAGACTCCTCTCAAGCAAAAGAAGGCCCATTTGATGGAGATCCAAATTAACGGAGGTAGCGTCACTGAGAAGGTTGACTTTGCCAGTGGTCTCTTCGAGAAGCCAGTTGAGATCAGCTCCATCTTCGAGCAAGATGAGATGATTGATGTCATTGCCGTCACCAAGGGTCACGGTTTCTCCGGTGTCACCAGCAGATGGGGAACCAAGAAGCTTCCGAGAAAGACACACAAGGGTCTCCGTAAGGTTGCCTGTATCGGTGCTTGGCATCCGGCCCACGTCCAATGGACTGTTGCCCGTGCTGGTCAAGATGGATACCATCATCGTACATCTTGCAACCACAAGGTCTACCGTGTCGGTCGTGGTGACGACCCCAACAACGCCGCCACCGAGTTCGATGTCTCCAAGAAGGCCATCACTCCGTAAGTTTTTTGCATGTCAATACCTTTCAAAATACGTTACTAACAAATTATAGCATGGGTGGCTTTGTTAGATATGGTGAAATCAAGAATGATTTCCTCATCCTTAAGGGTTCCGTTCCTGGTGTCAAGAAGCGTGTCATGACTCTCCGAAAATCCATGTTCGTCCACACCTCAAGAAAGGCTTTGGAGAAGGTTGAGTTGAAATGGATCGATACATCCTCCAAGTTCGGTCACGGTGCTTACCAAACCGCCGAAGAGAAGCACACCTTCTTGGGTACTCTCAAGAAGGATGTTGCTACATCTTCGTAAATTTAAAATTTGGTTCTGCATTTCGGGTTTCTGGCTTTTCGATAGGTGTCGTAGGTGGGGGTATCATATGTGCAATAAGCAGTCCATGATTACCCATGGATAATACTAGCATTCTATCAATGAAGAAATGTCAATGATACCCAATTATTTCAAATATGACATGCTTTTGAGGAATTTACAATGAGAATGAGAAATAGAACTTTGATCCAAATAATGTTGGTTTTAATGGAGTGATTGGATGTGATTGATGTACTCCATATGAGCTGAGCTGGTCTTGATATGGCCCCCAGCACTTTTGACCCTTTTTTTCAATTTTTCTTTTCAATAGACCCTTTCACTAACTGAGACCTGGAGCACAATTAATACCAAATCAAACTTTTACAATATTGATGGTCGTATATAAACCCTTCTTCTTAGGTAGGAAACATTGATTTGATTACATTACATTAATCCTATTCTTTCTACGAAATCTTATACCGATACTCGATACTCGATCCAAATCCAAAATCCAAGTAATTCTACTGAGTAGCATTTTCCCTTTTCTTCATCATTGAATCATTATCCGCCATCCATCCACATCCATCCCATATTCAAATCCCTGTACCGTACAAGCAGGAAAAATAAAGTTCCCCATTACCCCACGTCACCGCAGTCGCCCAACACTTTCCCTCGGTCCCTTCTCTCTTTTACTAAATCCCTTCCCATTAACATCAATGGGTGCACTTTCTGCCGTCCTCGCAATCCCATACCGAAGCATCAAAGAGTCTATCGAGAAAAATCGCAAAAACAAGAACCAGAATAAAAACAAAAGACAAACGAAATCTGCGCCAGGAAGTCGATCTCCTTCTATTTCTAAGTCAGGAGTGGTGGACTGGAAAAATAAATTCGGACGAGAAGATAGCACGAGTGTGAATATAAAGAAGTCGCAATCATTAGGCCATTTACCTTTGGTAGAAGTGCCGCGGGCAGAATTGTCGGGTGTATCGAATATAGCTTGTGGCAAGGGAAAGGGGATCGAAGAGCCTTCTTTGCAGAAGCAAACTACGCGACTAAAGACGACGGTGCAGAGGGATTTTGCGCTAAAATCGACAGTTCGGGTGTCAGTGGCTGCGTAAGTCGTAGGGCATCTTATACGGTTCCTACTGCTTTATTTCGACGACTTAGAGTTACAGGGCTGGAGAGAAGATCTCGTATTGGAAGTGTAGCTGGAGGGGTAACAGAGCGACGTTTTTTTCATAGCTCGACGTCTGACAATATTACAAACGAGAACAACGTTTCAAAGGATACAAACACGAATACTTCATCGCCCGAACAAATCAATACCAACGCTACGAACAAAATGGCTTCCGACGAGGATTACATGGCGTTTCTCAATAAAGCCAACGAGGACCCTGGTGCTGGCACATCGACCACTGCTGGGAATTATCGCAAGAAAGCGGAGTACAAAACTATGGATGATGAGGTTGATGTACCGGCGGTGTTGGTTAGGGCGACCAAGGATGCGTGGTATATCAGTGATGCGGATGAACCTTTTGTGGTAGTGGCTTTGAAGAATGAGGGGAAGGGGTTACCGGATGAAGGTTCGTGTTTCTTTTCTTTTCCTAAGCAAACTATTTTCTTCTATGAGTCTAGATATAAGAGGAAGGAAGGTTATATATATAAATGAATATGAATGCTAACAGAAATAAAATAGAAACCTTTGCGAAACTCATAGAACATCCTTCTCCAGCGGATGCAGCAGAGGAAATCCAAATACTGGATATTGGTGATTGGGATCCAAGAGGTGAGTATAGGGATATTGTGAAGGCGGTTAGGGAGGCGTGTAAGGGGGGTGATGTGAGGGTTTATAGGGTGCCCGGGGAGGGAAGTAGGGTTGAGTATTGGGTTGTGGGGGTTGAGGGGGAGAGGTTGGTGGGGGCTAAGGCTTTGGGGGTGGAGAGTTAGGGAGGGGGTTAATGTGTTGATGGATGGGATTGGGAGACGGGGATATGGGGATATAGTATGAGTCTATCGTTGGAGGGAGGGGAGAGGGAGAGGGAGAGGGAGGAGGGAGGAGCATATGCTTATACCTGGCGTTTTGAGGTGGGGTGGGGTTTATGGTTGGGGATATGGATTTCATCGGCGGTGATCTTTGGTTATGTTATGATATGATATAATATAATATGATGATAATTGGTCTGATTTGAAAGAAAATAAGATTACAATATCATATCGATTGAAGGATATGTATGGTCCATCCATCATATGGATATGGATAAGGATGACTCGGTTTGATGTGTGATGATTATACGAGTACTAGGAAACTTGATATGATGTGGTATGGTATGATATGGTATGATGTGATGTTGTATGATGTGGTATGATACTTGGATCTCGGTTCTTTGATTAGGGGAATTGGGAGGGAGAGAGTGAGAGTGAGAGGAAGAGGGAGTTGAATGTTGGATTTGCTGGATTTCTTTTGAGGGGAGGGGGGGGGTAGAGTAGAGGAGAGGAGAGTGGGGTGGGGTGAAGTAGGGTGAAGTGGGGGTATGAGAGGTTGAGAGAGGAGAGGAGAGGAGAGGTAGAGAGTGTGTTTATGAAGGATTGAGGATTGAGTTTGGTTTAGAATGTTTATTTGTACTCGAGTATGAGAAGAGAGAGTATAAGAAGAGAGAGTACAAGTAATTTGTAACAACTTTCTAGGTAAAGTAAGTAATAAGATTTTTGTATCTTGCGAGTATAAGCATGTATCATAACAACCTATTGTAAGTAACCTTATTCATATACTCGAGTAAACTACTAATCTCATTAAATATAATAATAAAATATTGGTTTTGATTTATCTACTCTATCTATATCTATATAATTATTCCGAAAGGTATAGTATAATAATACTCGAGGATTGACATATGAATTACTCGAGTACGAGTAGAAAGGAATGAATAAGTCAACTACCCCACATATGGACCACCCCCCCTTATGGACCACCCTAAAAACCCACCCCGCCAAGCAACCTACCCTCTTCAAAAATTCATAATTAAACAACCATTCAATCAATCGATTTCAAATTTTGATATACTATTATTTATATAATATCAAAACTCCATATTGAAAACGATATTGCCATAGCTTTAAATGCTATCGTAAATAGTGTTTTGATGCGAAAAGCTGCTTTGGATTATGGGATTCCTCGCACTACACTTTATAATTGTATCAATAGCTGTATCTCCCATCAAAAAAGTTATCAGAGTATGCAAAAGATTACTCCGATTCAGGAAAAACGTTTAGTGGAATAGATATTAGTATAGGAGAGCTTAGATACTAATCCTATTCATCGGCAAATTCGAGAAATTGGGGAATATCTCCTCGATATAAAAGAACTCGATTCTACCTTTGGAAAGCGATGGGTATGCAACTTTTTGGAGAGGAATCCAGAGATTAAAACCAAGAAATAGTATAGGATCAACTCTGCCCAAGTTTCAGGTGCCTCACATAATATTATCACCATAATTTCAAAAACTCGAACTACCAGAGATTATTGATATAAAACCTGAAAATCGATACAATATAGACGAGGCTGGTATAATGGAGGGTTAGGGTCTCAATGGCCTAGTAGTAGGAAGTTCTCAACATCGAAATATTCAGAAAAAACAGTCTGGTTCAAGAGTTTAAATGTTTTTTATTGAATATATTTCAGTGATAGGGTGAGTACTTACATTACTCGTTATTTTTAAGAAAAAATATATTCAACAGTAATAGTTTCCCATTAATCTTGCTCTTTATAAGGATTAGAACTTTATTATTATTGATAATAGATAGACTACGAATGCAATAGAACTAAAATGATTAGAAAAGGTTTTTATACCTCAAATTATTCCCTCTGAGACTGGCGATATACAATTATTTATATTGAATAATTATAAAAATTATAAAACTATACTCTTTATATACAGATATTTCGAAAACAATATATATCTTCTATTCCTATTATTGTATATCTTATACGTCCTACAACCATTAGATTTATTAGTCTCTTATCTCTAAAAAATATATATCAATATATACTCAATAATTTGAATTCTTTTTCTGATTCTATACTAATTGAAAAGCGTAGCTTCCTATATTGCTACCAGAAGATTAGAATAGAAACTCTAATAGTTTATAATATTAAAACTGAATAAAAAGTATTAGATTTATAGCTCAAAAACTGTATTAAACCTCTTATAAGTTGATTATTACTTAAGAATAGTAATCAAAAGATTTTAGCACCTAACCCAGCTTTTAATAATAATCCCTAACTTTAATGGAATATAGGGGCATTAGTTATTATATAGAAAACCCTTTAAAAAGCATTTGATCTTCGATTATATACATTGATTATAACCCAAGAAAAAGAGCCTGATTTGTTAACAAGACGTTTGCTTTTTTATAAGATTATCAAAGCTTTTGATATCAAGGATTATAATCTTATGGAATCAGGAAAATGTATAAAGCAATTGAAGTATCAATTAAATGTTGTTGTACCTAAGAAAAGATATAAGGTTGTTACTAATCCAAATACCAGGTTTTCAGGGATTAGAGCTATTAGGGAGGTGCAAATCGTAGTTGGAGACTATGGAATTAATGCAGAAGATAGTGATGATACAATTGAAAGTGGTGGTACAGGCGATTTTATTGAAGTTGGATAGTTATTGAATTATAGGGTTTGGGAGATGGGGGTCCTTTTTTTTTAGGGTGGTCCAAAAGGGGGGGTGGTCCATATGTGGGGTAGTTGACTTAGAGACTCACTCGGAAAGGGCTAATTTCTCAACTACTCAACTAGCTTTAATGACTTTGGATATTCATTCGATCTTCGAATTTTCTACGAGTAAAACTGATTCAGCTGTGAATTATTATTATGAGAATAAGCTTACATATTAATTACTAAATACGGTAGGTATCATTGACGTTTTGAAGCTTATTTTAGGAGGAAATTTGTACGGGGTTTGAAGAGATGGCGTTCGTTCTGAGATGTTGTTCAAGTTGTTAGATGTTATATTATGTTGTTTTTCTAGTTATAAAGAAACTGACTATTGAAGTACTTAAATACTTGACGCTAGCACAGATCTATATTCCTAATTATAACATCATCATCCATTCACTCATCTATCCATTATCTCCAGCTCACATTCCATCTTATAGATATTTTCTCCCCCTTTCAAAATTTCCATTTAAACAGCACCACCCATCGAAGTCTTCCCCTTCAAATTAATCCAAGGCCATTTACTCCCCAGCGCCACAAAGACTGCCAGACCCGAACATGTAATCGCAATCGCATACGTGACCTTTAAACCCTGCAAATAACTCTCAATAATACCCTCAATCATCTCTCCCTCTTTCCCAAACACATTCCGCAGCTCGCTAATGCCTACTGATAGTACTTGGGCTGGGGATACCGAAGGTGCGTAATGAGGGAGAACATTCAGGATGCGGTTTGCGAATGCTGCTTCGGCGATCGAGATGAAGAAGGCGCCGCCGATGGTTTGGAAGAATAGTATCATGGCGGTGGCGGATGAGAGGTCGGCGGGGGAAACGGTGGCTTGCGAGGAGATGACGGGGATTTGGAAGGCGAGGCCGGTGGAGAGCCCGGCGAGGGCTTGGTAGCCTATCCATTGGGCGGATGTGGAGGTTGTGCTTAAGGTGTAGAGGAGCCCGCATCCGATTGTTGTGCCGACTGCGCCGAGGAGCATGAGGGGAACGCTGAGAGGGTGTGTTAGTTGAGTTGGTTTGAAACTTGTCAGATACTTTATATAGTAGCATGAAAACTTACAAATGACCAAATGCAGAAATCAAGCCTCCGGAAATAATGGTAGCGATCGTGATACCAATAATCATAGGCAGATTGCGCACACCAGATTGAGAAGCCGAAACCCCAGAGACGACTTGGAAGTAATAGGGGAGATAGTAAAGTAAGAGAAACCATCCACCGCCGAGGAAAAAGACATATGTCATTCCTACAGTGATGGAGCGTTCTTTTAATAAACGACTGACGATAATTCCGCGCTCGCCTTGAGAATATTGGATTACGATGAAGAGGATGAGGAGAAGGACGAAGCCGATGAGGGTACCAATTACATCCGCTGATTTCCAGCCTTTGGTCTGGCCACCCCATTGGAGGGCTAGGAAAAAACAGACGAGACTGGCCATGATTGTAAAAGTTCTAGGGAGATCCATTTGCAAGATCTTTTCCTTAAGAGTAGCACGCTCTGGTACTGCATTTGGAGGGGTTGTGAACACTTGATAGTTGAGATGTTAGCACCTGTGTTATATGTACTGAGTAGGAAGAATCATCTCAAGGACTTACGAAACAAAATAATAGCGGCTGCAACCCCACCAATAGGTAAGTTGATATAGAAACACCAACGCCATGTTAATTTATCGACAAATAAACCCCCAAGAAGCGGTCCAATCACAGATGCTACTCCATATGCTGCACCCAAGATTCCTGTGTATGCGGCGCGGTGTTGGGGGCGTGCTGCGAAAGCTATAATTGTATATGCTCCAGACGCAATTCCTGCACCACCAAGTCCAGCAATCGCTCGGCCTACGATTAGAGCGGTACTATTTGGTGCAACACCTACAGGTTTTCAACTTAGTTGTTGCGTCGGTGTAGTGGAATTGGAAAGAACATACCGCAGATCAAACTTCCAAGTTCGAAGACAAAGATGGACAAGAGAAAGGTTATCTTTAGGGGGAAATATTTGTAGGCTTTTCCCCATGTCGATTGGAAGGAGCCGACGGTTAGGAAGAAGGCGGAACCATACCAACCGACGAGATCTAGACCGTGAAATTGATCGGTGATCTTAGGAATTGCTGTAGCCTGACTTGGTGTTAGCTGCCAAATTTCACAGTACAATGTCATTCTTGTTGATGTAAGGGCGAGAAAATATACATACCACAATCGTCATATCCAAAGCAACAAGAAAGATACTAAGTGATAATGCAACCACTATCATCACCATCGCAAAGGCCTTTGGATACTCTAGGCCATCTTCCTCTTCTCCATTATTCTTAATCTCCGCATTTCTATCACTGCACCATCTGTACTGTTCTTCTTCTCTCTCAATATCGAATCGTCAACTGAAGGAGCAGTACTCTTTTCCATTTCGGTATCAGACACCAAGGTCACTGGCCTTGAATCTATCATTTTGCTTCCTTGTTTTGAAATATGAGTCTTGGTATTGTGATGAATGTTCCAAGTGAGAAAGGGCAATCGCAAAGCAAAAGCAACAGGAATTGAAAGCAGTATCAAAAGAGAATTACATTAAACCGATTATTGTACGATAACTATTATCTTTCATAATAGCAATAACACCATCCCTTTATACAAATGCTTCCCACCTTTACTCATACTCACTCATACTCGGGTATCACCAATTAACCCCCTTCAAAGAGCGCCTTACAGATCCACTCCCTACGCAGGGTAATAGACAGACATGCGTGCTTACACATTCTATAATATACCTCTCCGCCGATAAATTACAAAGAAAAATAAACCCTAGCCCTACCGTTCATTACCCCGAGCCCCAGAGTCCAATCTCTAAGTAGAACGTTCGAAGTTGTATACCTATCCATAAACCAATGAATATCAGATTCGGCCACGTCTCAGCCGCTTACAGGCATCAGGCCGTGATATATAGCTACCCGGCGGAGAATGCTTATCTTCTGTAGCCTGCTTGCGCATATTGGGGTATAGGAATGGAAAGATTTAGAAGATGGATGGGGAAATTGTGTGATGAGATGGTTATCCGCCGATGAGCCGAATGGGAGGATGAGAATAGATTAGTCAGTTTCGGTGGAGTATGGCGGTCGAAAAATTAATGTGATGAGGGTCGAAGCGAGGATTACCTAAGCCTTCCTTCCACCTAGATATCTATTCAATGATTCTATTGCATCGATGTTGCACGCATATCAGACAGTCGATCAATAGCAGAATGGAAAGGCGGCGATATATATATATATGTATACACTCGAGTTACAGTATTCAAAAAGTCCAATGATCTCGCGACGAAAGATTCACATGCCCGGTCGAGATGTTACGATGTTAATTACACGAACTTCATCGACATCGACGTCCGTTGGCAGTGGGAAACGTTTTCAATCCATATTGAAAGAGTCAAGAATCTATGTGTTTATTGGCTCTTTGCTAGAGTAGAGACTCGTACCTTCATCCCTCAAAATATAAACCGTTGAAGTTGCAATAATAGGTTTGTGAACTTACTTTTTCTAATAGCCGATGCCCTCGTTCTTTTCAAATGCTCTCGTCCTTTCCAAAATTCCCTCGATACCAACGTTGGGCACGTACGCTTAAGGAAACCCAAATCTCGAGCGTCCCAGTGAAATATCTTTTGGTCGATAATTACGGGTGAAAACTCACAAACTTGCTCTTCCCTGGGACTCAAACTCAATCTCAATTTCAAAGAACCTCAAGCTTCGTTTCTCTCTCGATCAAGTCAACAAAATCATTTTGAAGTCTTCCCAAGTGTAGACACACTGGCTAAGACTTTGCTACCCTCATATCGAACTTCATTATTCTCTCATCTTACTTCTCATCAAACTCCACAAACCTCTTCGTCTTGGATCTCCAATCTCCAACCTCAGATCTAGATTTCAACAGACCGCTAAGTACAGGGCTGCCTAGGCACACGCACAATGGTCGTTCACGCAACGGATACACAGTCAACAAGCAGCCAAGCAAATATCACATCTGATGATAGCATACTCCCGTTCGCCTTCGCCCATACAACTTACTAACAGCTAAACAGCAGCCACCATGAGTGGTAAAGCGGATGATGAAGCAAAATCTTCACTTGTTGGCATACCTCTTGAACTCATCGAGAAAGTCTGCGATTATCTCGGATATAAAGGTATACAGAAGTTTCGATTAACAAGCAAGACTTGGGCGACAGCTGGAATGAGAAAACTCGTTCAAAGTTTGATCGTTATATACACTATTGAGAGCTTCGAAAAATTACGCAATATCTCGAAACACCCCGAGCTGTCGAAGTTTGTTAGGATCATACACTATGCGCCAAGGATTTTGGAGACGAATGCAACGGTCCGTTATCGCTACAAGTATAACGCAGTTGCAGAAGCGCCTTCCTGTGTTCCACGTACGGATCTGGAAAGGCTACGGAGCTCCCCTGGCTGTATAGCTTTTAATCAGATGTTCGAGAAACAGCGTTCAATGAAGAGGGGAGAATATAGTAGAAGGGCATTCTTACAAATATTGCCAAATTTCACTGGCTTGATAGGTTTTCGCGTGGACCCACTCTGCCATTACCATCAAAGTCTGAGTTTCTACTCCAGTTTTGAACCTGGTGAAAGTGCTCTAGTGGACGTGGACACCGATGAGTTTCGCGAAGAAGCTCTAGTATTTCTTGCCGCCGCGGTTAAGGCTGGCACGAAGCTGCAGTATTTGCACCTTGATAACGTAACCTTTAATATGCTGTCTGGCGTTTCAATCGACGCAGGTACCATATTTCAAGGATTAGATAGAAGATATCTTCGTCACCTCGATATTAGTCTAACAATATATTCAGCGGATGATATCAGCAATGCTAACTTGGTGGGATTGCTACAAAATAGCTTAAAACTTGAATACCTTGCCCTCACAGTCAGCTCGCCTTGGTACGAATTTTCCCAAGGCTGGAGCGATGTCACAAGGAGTGTGACATTGCCAAATTTGAAAACCCTAAAGATTTACGGTACGTTGAGTAAAAGTAGTACTCTTGCTGCTTTTCTCAAGAGACATGCTAGGACCCTTAAATCTTTACAGATGACGTCGTACTACTTGCATGACGATGTCAAATTGTGGTCTGAGATTTTCGATGCAATCCAAAATGATATGGATCTTCATGAGGTGGATCTTAGAGGCGGTGTATTCTCAAGGAACTTTTATTCTAGCCCTGCTATCCCGCGCGGTGTTGACGACGTATTTATTGATTTGGAGCACACCTATTTGGGTCACAGTTTTGAGTCATTATTGGAAGACCGCCTATTGAACCGGAATGTTTTGGCGCAAGAATGCAAGCTCACCCTGAAAGAGCTTTGGGAAGGGTATGTTGACTACGTAACAGCCAATGAAGAAGAGCCGTTGACAAGACGCCGAGTATGTCACTCGGCAATTGCATGGAAATGGGAAGATGATGAGATAGAAGATGGCGAATGATTAGCGAGGAGAATTTAACATCGTGGAGATAACTCTGAGGCGTGGCAGATGGGGATGGATGGATGGATGGATGGATGAATGGCATGAAATTATCAGAAAGTAAGAAAAGTAGGGATGTGGAGAGTGGAGAGTGGAACAAGTATCTCATATCTCTTCTTATGCATACATCCTTATAGCTAATGCTAATGCGTAAATATCTTCCACCCACTTCACTTCTTTCACGAAACCAAAATGTGATAATCTTTCGCACACAATACATAACTACATAAGAACAAGTAGTCCCATATTTTGTGGTATATACTGTATGTATGTTACTGAAATAACTACCCCATGGCAACTCATTGAGATTCTACTACCTGTCTACTACCATGAGTAGATAGATACCTGTGGTATAATATCTGCAACAAGAGTACTAATTAATATACGAGTACATATCTCATAGTCCTTTTATTTGTGCACAAATACCACAATACCATACCATAGTGACCGTGACCAGATGAAATAATTTCATCCCATCCCATCTCATTTCATCTCATTTCATCTTACCTTTCCGCTATAACTACCTATTATCTCTCCATCCTTCCCTCATTCCCTCCCGGTAAGCTCATATAATACATATTATATACACAATATCACAGATTAGTTTAATCCCCCAGTCCCAGTATGCCTTTTACTTTAACCTTTATCTTTATCTTTATCATTCCTCCTCTTCTTCCTCTTCTTCCTCTTCTTCCTCCTGGCGAGTTTATAGTTTATTATAGGTTTAGCTTTGGGTTTTAGATTTTATCTCGAGATTTCGAGATTTGGTATGGTGTTTTATTTGGTATATTGTATTTATTGTGGTTTTGTGGCATTTTATGTTTGTTCTTGGGGGAGGAAGGGATGGGACCCGGGGGATGTTGATGTTATGATATGCTATGCTATGAAATATATGAGTTTCAGTAGTATGAGTATGAGTTGTATAGAATTGGAAATATGAATTGATACTGTGTGTATGTACTGAGTATCTTTGCACAATACTCATACAACTAAACTACAAGATAAATAAATAGTTTACGTTGATTTTGTGGGTATGGGTATTAGTGTATATACACATGTACTCGAGTATGAGTAAAGAGATGGTTAATATATACTAGGGTAATGAATAAATGGAATAGATACTGTTCTTCTATGTTGACCTTTGTATAAGGATGGGGATGAGGGTATTGAAGGGAAAGTTAATTCTATTTTATGTATATTCATGTTTATATTCATATTTCTGTACCCGAGTAAAGAATAAAATAGTGAAATAGTGAAAGAAAGGAAGGAAGGAGACTCTCATTCTCATGCTTATACTCATTCTCATGTAATGAACAGGACAGACCCGTGCAATTGCTCGAGTAGTCAGACTAACTGCGTGGATTCTGTAGTAGTATCTACAGTACGAGAACCCGACCCGAACCGAAATAGGAGAGAGTATGAATCGACTCAAATTTTGCAATTCGTATGGATAACCTTAAGATTTAAATACCGTAGTGCAGCGTGGTTTTTATGGATGGATTGTACAGTATGGATGATATTATCAAACAAGTCATATACCCCAAAATACCATGATCCCCCGCAAAACCAAAATAATTTTTCTATATCATAATAGTAATTGTAATAGTAGTAGTATCGCTTGATTAACACCCCATAATAACATATAGCATATCCTTCACATCACATCACATCCCTTCCCCATGCCATTACCACTTCCTACCCACCATCCATATGCATCCTCTTCACCAAACACTGCCTAGTGAACCCCCCATCCCCTCCATCCACACCCAAACGCCCTTACCCAAAACCCATCTCACAAAACCCCCACAGCAACCACCACCCCCACCGCCATCACCGCCACCCTCCCCACACCACACGATCCACACGATGCACCCGCGATTTCTGTTCCTCCTGGAATAAGCGGTTCGTGCCTATTCAATTCACACTCGCGTTAATATCTCGTCTTGTTCTCCTCATATCCAGTTTCATCTCCAGCTAAATCATTAACATTACATCTCTCCACATATTCCCTTACTCGAGTACATATTTCGAATAAGATAAGACATCCAACACGATGTACTCGAGTATATTCCCAGATGCTCATGTTCCAACTCAAGCTCTGGCACCGAAATGAAATGCTGGAAAAGTAGAACTTACCATCCACAATGAACATACGTCTTTAACGTAACGCAACTCCAATAAGTAATCTGATAATATTTTTCCTGAAGTCGCTGATCAATAGTCTCCGCCTTCGGCGCAACCGTAATTAGAGGATTATTCTCCCCACTCGTCCCAGTCATCCCAGTCGTCCTCGTCCCATGGATTTCTTCCCCAAACTCTTCATTCCTCGAACTATTTCTCGAACAATTACTATTCCGCACCAACCAAGAAGTCGACGATGCCGAAACAGGTGTACTTGTACTTATCAATGTAGGAGGCACCGTCGTCGTCACCGTCTGAGTTGACAACAACGAGGCGTAAATAGCTATTGGTAAGAAAACCACGAGAAGGAATAATGAAAATATCTTCATTTTCATATTTCTTTTGATGTGATGTGATATGTCCGGAACTTGTAATGTGTAATCAATCAATCGATAATTTCCCAACGAAGGTAGGTGAAAGACGAACTGAACTCGACATATAACCGGTTATCGGTACTCGTATATGCAACCAAGAAACCCTTTCAACAGCAACAGCAACAGCAACTCCAACTACAACACCAACTCCAAGCCCAAGCCAGACCAAAAGCGAAACCTCGAGAAATAGAGCGCAGCTTCGAGCACTTGAAATTGAAATATCGATGTAACTAACTTGTAAGAGGGACAAGACAATGTTTCCATCGACACACACTTGTAAATGAAGATCAGATTGGTGGGGTAGAACCCGAACCCGTATGTATGCGGCGCGGCGTGACTGGTTCCTTGGGGGGGAAGATACGTATACGTATTGGGTTGGTTGGTCTTAATGGATAATATGTCGTCGTAGTATCGAAATGCTACCTAGTATTATTAACTTGTGTATGATGTATGCTATCAAAAGTTATTGAAGAGCTATCGCGCAAATAGATGCATTTTCGCAGTACGAGTATTGTATAGACACGTTATGTTAAATATACCTAGATATAACGGAAAGATCAAAACTCACACTCGTGAATCGATTTATGGTTAGATAGTTGTTTCTCATTTCTCATCTTGAAATCAAGAGAAAGCAAAAGTCAAAGTGAATGTGTGGTGGTAGAACTCAATTGATTCTTCTAGAAATCTTAGAAATCTTAAATTCTCTCCATTCAAAAATCAAGAATGATCGAAAGCCAGTGCATAGTCCTTGGCCAAACGCCCACTAAACGAAGACCAAGACTTGCAATCTTCAAGGATGAGATGAAACGAAACATGAACAATGTTATACAACTAGACTAGAAATAATGGAAACATTATGAAATGACTTGTCCTACGAGGTTTGATAAAGAGAAGCGAAGATCAAGGAAAAACATAACGCTGCGAGAATTAGAAATATAAGGCTCAAAGAAGATACTGACAGTCAATCAATATGCGATGCTTTACGGTATTCATCGCAAGTACCATTTAACTGTAAAGCAGAATGAAGTTCAATCTCGTAAACATAACGCTCATGGTCAAATTTTGGAAAACATAATTTGAGAATGATTATCTGTAATAATATTAATTTTTGTAATTATCTTACCATTCTGAGTTCGCCAACCGGCATCGTTTTACAAGCAGTATTTACCAATACTGGAAGCATATCTTGTGATAACAAGATGAACATTGACTTTCAGGAGCCCACATGCTCAGAATCATTTCCTGGAGGTTTTGGCATTCAAAGCAGTATTCGTTGTGCCTCTCAAGCTATTGCTCCCCTGTCTCTTCAATCCCCTCAAATTACTTTTCGCCTTTACTCCCCATCCAACCTCAAAACCTTCGTCTCCTTCCGAGTCGTTACTCTTTGACTTGTCCTTCTCGGGCTCAGGCTCGACATCGCTTGAAAGAGTCAGGTCCATGACGACTTGCGAACCTTTAGGCATTTTGGAAGTTCTGGTTTGAGCAGGACGAGGGTTGGAAGAATTGGAAGCCTTAAGTGTGATCTGCTCCTCTTCATCGGACGAAAGATCAAATGCAGCCATGACCTTCTTTGATTTGATCTCAGCTTCTTTCTTCAACTTAAGCTCGGTATTCATTTGGGACGTATCAGAGTCCGAATTTGAATCATCAAATGCCGCCAACACTTTCTTACTCTTCTCATTTACTTTGGTTGTTGAAGATTGTGTGTCGTCGAATGCTGCCAACACCTTCCTACTCTTATTGGCATCGGCCTGAGGCTTTGATGGGGGTTGCGAAGCATTCTTCTCATACTTCATTGAGGGCTGAGAGGGCGAACTCAGGATCTCTTCAATAGTCGGGAAATCTTCTGATGAGGGTTCAACTATATTGTTATTATCAACAGGTCTGCTGGACGAACCGGGCCGGCGTGGAGGGAGTTCAGGCTCACCCTCATACGTATCGCCATCGTGTATCGCCTTGTCCAATGCTACGTCGTCCGTTTTAGATGTATCAAGTTCCTGTTGTCGCATGTTTTCATAACTTAAATCAGGTTGGCGTCCATGGTCGGCAACCAAACTGGTGTATGATGATTGTTCCGATAATTTTGGATACTCCGCTCTGCAATCTACTTCAATCGTATCAAGTGTTGGGTCTGCGTCAACTGGACCAGCGACCTTTCTTCGTGGCTGAACAGCTTCCAGTTTTGCCTGAGCTTTGTCAACATTTATCTCCTTGGGGGGTGGCTTTGTATGAATGCCGGGCACGTCGGAAGTCATTTTTGGCATATTTGTAGATACTTCTCTCTGGGCAGTCGTTTCGGATGCCTGGTTTTCCATCATTCCTGATTTGTCGTGAGTCGGAGCGCTTGCAGGTTCTTGAGATCCTACAGTGTGCCAGCTCGATTGTTGCCTGTCGGGAGAAGTGGTAGGTTGCCGTTGGTGGACCGGTGAGCTCGAGCCGAACCCATTAAACTTGGGTGAAAATGAAGTGGCATCAATTTCGGCCATTATTTCCGTTCTCATTTTATCAAGCGATGGCGCCTCATCACGCTTCTCCAAGCCATTGGGAGCAAAGTTTCGAACTATGGAGGAAGGAACATTAGAACGGAAACCAGCTTCCTTGATGAGATGCGAGATGTCCTCTCTAGCACTGTCCGTAATCGATTCCGGCAATGCTTCAGCTTGCAGATACTCAAGTCTTGAGTTGCGTGGCGTACTGACTACGTCCACGATTTCGGCGGATGCAGGTGGGTCTGTGTTAAAATACTGCGTCTCGGTGACATGAGAGCATTGTGTTTCCTCTTCGTTTTCGTTGTTTAAAGTCACTGATTCATCAGTCGTCATGCCAGATTTGGAAATGTCGGTCGACAGGCTTACTGGAGCAGGGGCGACAATCTTGGGTTCGACAAGCTCGTTGAAGGTGACGACCATTTCTCCATTGTCCTCTTCCTCTTCATCCTCGTCATCATCAGGCATTTCAAACTTGCCCCAAATCCTCTGTCCGTTTTCATCATAATGCTTCACGGGGCGATCTCTGTCTCTTTTTGCCAAGGCAACCGAGATATTGCCACTATCGTCGACTGAAAGAATGGAGGCCGTGCGATAAGCGGAAATCTGCGGCTGCCATTTTGTACTTTCGTCCATGAGCATTTGCTTAAAAGCAATAATCATTCCACACTGGACCGCGTCTGCGTCTAGGTTTGGCAAGGTGGCTGGATCTTCTGGGAGTTCGACCAGATCAGGGGTTCCTTGAATGGGATCTTCTATATCAGCCCTGTGCTCCACACTCTCAACTTGTCTTTCTGGTGGCTCTGTTGATTGTGTCTCCATGGCGTCGTCTTCGTAGCTTTGTTGGTAAGATTCGTCGAAATGCTCGTCCTGGTCTTCAGAGTAGTTTTGTTTTCCCTTACGTCGCTTTCGCTGTTTCGAATCTTGAGACTCTTCATTATAGGCTTCGGCCTGATTCTTCCTTTTGCCACCTTTACGAGTTTGCTGCTGAGGATCCCATCGTTGAACAAATGGAAATGGAGGTTCACTTAAAACGATACCTTCTTGACAACATTCGACCGCTCGATAGACAATCTTATCTCTCCAGGAATCGTCATCAATGGCGGGAAGGTCAGTCACTTGGAGTGAAGGTTCTTCGGGTGGATTGACAATTTTTGGAACCCGAATGTCTTTCATCAAATCACTACGAAGCTTGTCCTCGTCTTTCTTCGTCTTGGGGGTCTTCACACCTAGTGCCCCAAACAACAATCGACGACCTGCTCCTACGTCTAGTTTTGCTCGTCGGGAAGCTGTAATTGGTTTATCTGAGATTGTTGGCGTAAGGTTGGAATCCCCCTGTAAAGGCACTTCAGCCATTTCGGAATCTACAGGGGGCTCCTTGTGTGTATCTTTGACAGTCTTGGGAGCACCGCTAACCATTTCCGAGACATTAACGTCTAAGGTATCGACCACGGCCTTACCGCTTCTTGGTGACACCTCGATACCACCAGATGCAAGAGATGCAAGTAGTTCACGTCTACGAGCCTCGAAATCATTGGCTTCAACGAGTGCTTTATCTGTTCCATTCTGAATTTTGGCAGAATTGGCATTCGCCCTCAGGACTGCCAGTGCAGCAAAGGCATCCTCAGGGGAAGTGCAATCACTGACCTCCAACCGATTGAATTCAAATGCTGTGGTGTCCTCTGGTAAAATACCTTGCTCTTTAAATTTAGCAAGAGCGACACCCTGTTTACGGCGTTGATTTCTGGATTGCGTCGCTTTTTTACCCTGCCTAGGAGGCACTGGCGTTCGGGATTTTGGAGCAACTATGCCGGTAGACGGGGTTGGCTTTGACGTAGCTGCTTCATTTACTGGCGCAGCTAGTTTACTCGACATGACTTCCGGTGCTTCATCATCGTCGCTGGAGGAATCACTCGAAGAATCGCTATCACTATCAGATGATGATGATGTCTCGACGGCCTTGCTAGAATCGTTTTCGCTAGAATCGTCTTCGCTAGATGACTCCTCGCTACTATCACTTGATTCGGCCTCGGAAGACGAATCTGAAGAACCTTCACTATCAATAGTAATCTCATCCTCGTTAGACTTGAGATCTATAGCTGGTGTAGATGTAAGTCCATTGCTCAAATCTCCGCCTGTAACACTGGCGACGTTGTTTCTAGTCAAAACAGTTTCAAACTTGGTTAGCTTTGACTTGGGGTTGGGAGAGCCCTCCATAGCTTCTGCCATGAAAGACAATGCTTTGCCTGACTTGATTGATCCTGGCGGCAGACCGTGTTGATCATAGTGCTGCAGCAACGGGTCTTCCTCTTCCTCCTCCGAGCCAGATTCTTCATCGTCTATATCCATCTTGTTGGCTGATGCAGGGCCATTATGTTTAGACTCGGTTTCTGCTTCGCTGCTCTTAGTATTCTGGATCTGAGATGTGGGCTGCGATATTATGAAATGACTAGAAGACAATTGCAAGATAGAGCTCTTAGACTTAGCAGGAACAAATCCCCGAGTCAAGGCCTCGTAGGCTTGGGATATGTCTCCTTCAGAGCCTTCTAGAACGAATTTGACAACGGCAATTGAGGCCTTAGGAAAAGCAGTATGCAATTGACATATCTTCGCCTTTGTCGATGTATCTTCGACGTCCAATAGAACAGCTTGATCGGCAACAGATAGCTCGTCAGTCTTACCTGTACTTTCCGCGTCATCGCCGGGAGTACTGGAAGTCGGCTGGTCATCTTGGAAACCCTCAAAAGCTTCCTCCGGTTCTCGTAATTCTTCTTCCTCCTCAATACCTGGTTCAAAATCTTCATCATCTTCTTCGTCATCATCTTCAAAATCTGCATGAATGACTAGTTGTCGACTGCTTGTATTCTCGACCTCCTCTTCACTCTCTTCGTCGTCATCCTCAAAATCGGCATGAAGAACTAGTTGTCGATTACCTGCATCCTCAATCTTCTCATCGCTGTGTTCCTCAAACTCCTCATCGCTTTGTTCCTCGTCCTCATTATCGTCTCCGCCTGGCTCAAAATCATCGTCGTCTTCGTCATCTTCATCTTCATCTTCATCTTCATCAAGATTTGACAGGAATGAAACTCGTTTGACTGGTTCGGAATTTCCCAGGTCCTCAGTAGAAGAATCCTCATCCTCTTCATCCTCTTCATCATCTTCATCATCATCCTCATCATTCTCATCGATCGTGATTCTGGGTCGTTTGCGAGGGGGGATATTAATTGCAGGACGGTTCACTGGTCTCTTCAACATTGGTCTTCCAAACGCAACACCGTCAACCAAATGTCTTCCATCCGACGAAATTTGATGCCTTCCAGATATTCTTCGCACTCGCAGATCATGTGTAAGAAGTGGGCGTATGCTAAATACATGTATTAGCATAATATTTACGCAAACGCGTGTTAAATGCTAGACCAAACTCACATCACTTCATCTTCTTCCTTCATTACTTTGCCCACAGGCTGAAAGTGCAAACATTCATAGTTAATGCCTTCTTTTCCCTTTACCTCAACAGCGTAATCGTCCATTCCCCATTCTGTAGATTCGATGGGAACTACATCATTAATTTGATCTAACAATTCTGAAACCGTCGGTGTCGATGTTGAGGTATTGACATCCCAGATAATAGGACAATCAGGAAGATTGTGCCTACGCACAGTTAATCGCAGTCTCATGTTGGCGATGAGGAATGTAAAATTGACCCGTTTGAAGCTCCTACGAGATGCAAGGCAGAGAAGGTGTGGGGAAGGTGGTTTGACGCGAAACCATTTCGCGAACTCAAAAAAATAAAAATAAGTTACGAAATCACGTGCAAGTGCTTCCGGGACTTGAGCTTGATTACTAGGTAGGTAGGTAAGGTGAGGTACATAAGTAAGGAGAACTTCCAGGTTCCGTTACTGATGCTTTTGTCATTGTCATTGGTGTCTAATTAGGCTATTTGATATTAAGAAACAACTTCATATGTTCTGGACTTTGCACTTAAAAATCGATTTTAGCTAAGATGATCATTATTCAGAACCCTGGTATCCGTTAACGCCAAATGACACTTGTACAATATCTCAATCTCTTCGTTTGTGTTTCTTCCCTGCGTCCACTTCCGTAGCGGACGGCTCCACAGTCACTCCTAAGCTGGTTGCACCAAGAGCTTTTGCGCCACCAAGACGTCGACCAGCACTGTCTCTACTTCCGATTTTGTCCTGCTCGGTTTCCAGCAATCGCATCTCTGCCTCTTCATCTAACATCGTTCCGTCAATTGTCAAGAACCCTCTCTCCTTATCGTGATTTGATTCAATCTCCTTGACTCTAAACTTGACGGTGCCCTCAATCTTCTTGCCCTCTCCATCCACATAATAGCCAATTCCATCTTCAGCATATGTCGCACCTTCTTCAGCTTCCGCCTCTTGTTCCTGATCTTCCACACCCACCCATTTCCATTCTTTTGGTAACCTGGCTCTCTCGATGCTCGCGTTGAAAAGATTCCAGCAGACTAGACCCAGATGTCCTTCATTTTGTAAATTGATATAACCTTCTAACCAAGCTCCTTTCTCGGGTTTGAAAAGCAAAAATTCGGCAGTCACCCAAGCCCAGCTGACCGCAAATTCGTCCAAGTTTTGTAGAAGGGTCGAATCTCCATCGTTTCCGAAGGCTTTTTCGGCGAATCTTGGATTACTGTAAGAAAGAACGACTCCGTTGAATGGCGGATAATATGTGAGGATGAGTGGAGAAAGATGCTCAGCGCATAAGCCTTCAAGGGGGAATCTCTGGGAGACTGGCGCTAAGGGTAAAAATATGGAAGATGTCTGTAAATGAAATGGCGAGACTGCAGCTGGTGCTTCTATGGACGAGGAAGTTGGCGCAGTCTTTTCGGATCTGTGTTTCTTCGATCGGTGCCCTTCTTCCCCATTCTCTCGTTTTCGCTTTTTCTCGCTATCTGTTGATTTGGGCTTCTTTTCCGACTTGCTCTTATGCTTTTTGGGAGAAGCTCCGGCGATTGTTGATTGTGAAGGCATTTCAATTCACATTATGTTGTTACTAACTCTCATTGAATTTTTCGAGCATTGAACTCCGCGAAACTTTTCCTGCGGCCGCTAGCGTGATCCGATAAGCAGATCTCAGACGATAAGTGGCTTCAATACTACGCGATTGGGATACATTTCCAATACATATACCAAATAAAGGATTCAAGAACATAAACCGCTTCTGGGACAACAACACTTCTCTCTTGCAAGTTAAGTTGATGATATAAATTTCTGAACATACAGTATCGGAAAGGGTAGCGTTCTGGGAGATGTCTAATAATCTTCTTTCTTTGGCTGGTTGGACTTTCCTACCTAATGTAAGTTGTCCCCGAAAGTACAATAAAATACGAATTATCCTTTCTAATACGGCTGTAGTTGGTTACGGGTTGGGTTCAAACAATATGGTATGGACTGACGATACGTGTCGGCGATCCAAAACCTCAACCAGGCTCTCCAAAATGGATCCTACATCGCCGGCGCATCAACATACTGGTCATATCCGCATACCTCATATACACAATATACGAAGCCGACTGGACCGTTCGTGGAGCTAGCGACTTCTACCAAGATCTGGGGGTTTCTCATTCGGCGACTGAACGAGAAATTAAATCGAAATTTCGGCGACTAGCAGCCATTCATCATCCGGACAAAGTAACATCGTCTTCCCCTTCCTCCGAAGGTTACTTTGTCCATCTCAAATTAGCCCAAGACACACTTCTCAACCCTGCGAAACGATTCGCATACGAAAGATTTGGACCTGATATGGTAGGGTGGCAACATTGTTCAACCATCAGAGATTACCTTGTCCATGGCTTGCAGACGATCGGACCTTATTATGGTGCCGCTGGGGTGTTTATGTACGTTTTAGGTCTTCTCGGGTATTTGGATTGGGGCAAATACTGGCGCTGGATTACCGTCATCATGCTCTGCACATTTGAATTGCACACGATTTCGCGCCCATATTTCCCAGTTGTTGTAACTAAAATCATAAATCCGATACTCGCAACATTTACATCACATCCGCCATACCTCCCATTTCAACTGATACAGCTCGCTCGAAAAATGAGTCTAACGTTATATATTGCATTTTCCCAACTTGGTCCATTGCTGCAACCACCTACGGCTGTCCCACAGAATGGAAACCCAGAAACCGTTTTAAAACAGCAACTTGATCGATTAGAACACGTTGCAAAAGCTGCGGAAGTTGATGCCTCGAGACTTCAAGGATTAGAAATGGTCCCATTCGTCAATGATCCACAGGCGATGAAAGATGTAAAGGGAAAAGTTAAAGAATGGCTTATACAAAACACCATAAGGTCCGATCCGGAAGTTAGAGATGCAATGGGGACTGTATTGAGAAGTAGAAGAACGGATGCCCCAGCTGGTGCAAGGGGTAATCGATAGACTAATATTTGGTTGAAGTATAGCTAATGAATAATTTATGGTACAATTCTTCAAGACGGTTCCATGAATGTTTTGAAAGTTATTTTACAGAGTGCAAAATTTACTAATGTCTTTCTCTTCCCCGAAGCTTTCGAAGTTGAGCCGGACAAATGCGTTCTTCAATATCACCGGCCGAGATATCCCTTTTTACTTAAGCGAGTGGATCTTGCTCCGTCCAATTGCAAGTTCCGCAATTTGAGCAATTTCACTTAAAGTTACAATATTTCGCTCCCCTGCCTTATGATCTAATGTTTTTCTCATTGTGTTGCACATCTACTTAAGCCTCTACTACATCCGGACTCCAAAGCATGGTTGTCATCTTTTTCTTATGCCGCCACAGGCCACCATCACTTGATCTGTTGGAAATTTGTTGCACATCGTGACAGGGACAGGGGTAATCACGCTTTTTCTACTACTATTGTCCCAAGTACAATAACGTAGCTTAGCTGTGTTTTAGTTGACATGACCCTTGCATGTCTGCCTCTGTCATGTTCACGTGGTTATGTATTCCCCCCAATGCTAAGTTGTCAGTGTACTAATTTATTTTCTTGAATTTGATACTGCTTTTTTAACCAGATGCGTGGTCTTATCATGGACTGGGAAATAACTTTTTGGTAGATATGACATGGGCATAGTATGTTTTGCGCACGCGCACATGTCAGGGCTGGCTTTCATATGTTATCGAACATTAGCATTTTCTCTCGATGAAGTGAGAACTGTTCTACGGTATTCTTCAACCTCATTTCCCATTACCCCATGAGATACTTCTACAGCTTCTAGTACTTCCCTTCTTGTTTATCTACCTCGCAAGATCTCTCTAAGAGGCCTCCAATGCATATATAAATATAATATAACATCATCTCACATTGCCACAACCATCACCATAACCATAACAATAACATAAAGGGATATTCTACATTGAGATTGAGATAGACAGTTCCTGATCTGTGATCTCTCCTCTCCTCTCATCCCATCTCATCCCATCTCATCCCATCTCATAAATTCAACCCACAAACCTCATATTTACCCCATCAAAATATCATACTCCCCTCCCCGGTATCTTCCCATATGCTATACATCCCCTCCATCAAATTCTTCCAAAACTATTGAATGTTGGAGATATACTCGAGTAAAATAAAAAATCCTATGAGGAAAATTGGAACATCAGAACGTGGAGTGGAGTGAGATTGTATGATATATACTCAGTACAGACAGAGTATTCACCAGTAAACTTGATATATATGATATCGATAGGAGACGTCGGTTGGTATATCTAAGCTTTTCTAAGGCTAGGGAGGGGAGAGGGAACTGGGTTGGATGTGATGATCAAGATGCTGTGCTTATTTGAGTTAGTTTTGATCCAGTATTTTAGTCATTAGCATGTATACTCGAGTAGATAGCTCACAAGACCCAGAAGTGATTAGATAATATTCATGTGATATAAAGCCATATATCTCAAAGGTGAGATATGCTTAAATTTGATATGCTATTGTTGCATTCATTATCATTTGATCAGTATACTATCAGGTTCCTATGTTTGCCCAATGATTCGCCACGTTAAACCCCCAAAAAGCCACCAACCCGCTGAAGTGATATCACAAAACGCCATTGCCCCATCATATTTCATTTAATTGTTAGCAACAATCTAATGCTGACTCCATTGAATACTGTCCAAAGCAATACCATCCTGTACAAGCTCCCAAAGAGGACTCAGCTCTCGTAAGAATGTGACTCGGTCTTCAACGGCTTTCAAGACATAGTCGATCTCAGACTCCGTTGTGAAGCGTCCAATACCGAATCTGATACTGCTGTGTGCACTCTCGTCACTACTGCCAAGTGCTCGAAGAACATAACTGGGTTCGAGTGAGGCAGAAGTACAAGCACTTCCCGATGATAGCGCAATGTCCTTTAAAGCCATCAAAAGCGATTCTCCCTCGACGTAGGCGAAAGAGACATTAACACATCCCGGATAGAAATGATTTGAGTCGCCATTTTGACTGGTGTGTTCCATGGTCAGAAGACCTTTAAGGAGTTTATCAGAGAGCTTCTTGATGCGAACATGATCATACTATTATCTTGTCAGCATGAGTTCAACTTTAATGATCGATCAAATTCAAGCGAGCAAGAACAAAAATTCAGACAGGGTACTGTGAGTCGTCAAAGGAGCCTCAACTTGCAAGCAAGGAGGCCACTAGGAAAGCCATGCATATGTAAAGTAGGTCATCATGTAAGCGACGGGGAGAAGAAATATTGGAGCTTACATTTAGTTCTTCCTTTGCAATCCGGCAAGCTTCGCCAAAGCCAACCACTAATGCAGGCGCGAGAGTACCACTTCTTAAACCTCTCTCCTGTCCACCCCCACTGATGATTGGGTCAAGTCTAACCCTAGGTCTTCTGCGCACATAACATGCACCAATACCTTTTGGTCCATAGATCTTATGAGATGAAATCGACATCAAATCAATGTTCATCGCATTGACATCCAAAGGAATCTTTCCAACAGCTTGTGCACCATCGGTATGGAAGAAAACCTTCTTTGAGCGGCAAAGCTTGCCTATTTCTGCGAGTGGTTGAATGACACCGATCTCGTTGTTTACTGCCATGATACTGACAAGAGCTGTTTCAGGTCGAATGGCGGCCTCAAGCTCAACCATATCAACTAAACCATTTTGCTGCACTGGCAGATATGTGACATCGAAACCTTCATCTTGCAAATGCCTACAACTATCCAGTACACATTTGTGCTCCGTCTGAGTTGTGATGATATGCCTCTTCTTTCCCGCTCTGCCAAAGAACCTCGCTACACCTTTGACACTCATGTTGTTACTCTCAGTGGCTCCACTGGTGAAGATAATCTCTTTGGAATCAGCTCCAATCAGTGAGGCAATGTGTTCTCTAGCTTCTTCGGACGCCTGGTCAGTTTCCCAACCATAAGCATGGGTTCTCGAATGAGGGTTGCCATATAGACCGGTATAGAATGGTAGCATTTTATCCAGTACTCGTGGGTCTAATGGAGTGGTAGCTTGCATGTCTAGATATATTGGTCTCTGGCCTTCGTCCATAACAGTAGCTTGCTTAAGCACACCTAAACAAATATTAGCTAAGCTTCCTTATGTGCCTGAATATAAATGCGAGGAATAATTACCGGCAATTGGACTCATCATCGCATCGGCATTTGCGGACACTCCTGATATTGATTGATCCTCAGCATGTTTGCCAGTCTGTTCAAAGAAAGATTTTTGCTCTGATCGAATCGTGGTATCAAGATTGACTTGAGCGCTGTCTTTTTTCGTCTCCGAAACATAACCCCTCCTTGATACTCTTTGGTTGGATATGGACGCCACCCGGGCAAAAGCAGAGCTTCTCACCAATCCAGCAGCTGGATTTGATTGCTTTAAGCAAAGGCGCGAGGCCTGCCTCAACGATGTTGAAGCCAGACTCGACATTATCATGAATGGTAAATGGTGAATTTGATGATATCAAAATAGAAGGCAAATCCATAGAGGAATGTTGAGTTGAGCTTCTTATTTGGAGACTTTTGAATTTGAAATTCTAACGGGAGTAAAAATAGAGCTAAGCTTTCTTTGTACTAGATAGTTCCATGATTCCCTCATAACTCCGTGATTCCTGCGAATCACCGAAAATTGAAAGAAAGACGAGATCTGATTGGTTATCTTTGTTGAAAAGAGCGGAAGCGGATATCAAATTAAAAGCTTTGTAATCAAGAACTTATGTCCAACAACCAATCAAAATTCATGAATACTTAGATATTTGATGAATGACCCAAAGTGGAGGATTCTTTCATAAACATCATAAATAATGACTTCATAACTTTTATGTTTTGTTCCGTCTTATCCTAGCAAAGCATGCCTGTTGAATCTTGTTGCCCCCATGCGAGTTGTTGATGCAAACGACCCGATGATTCCATAAATTACATTCATGAACTTTTTGACTATTGAATGCTCTCAATCAACTTTTCTGCTACAAATTTGAGTTAGGAATACCTTCATATACTCCTTTCACTACCTCAATTGAAATATTTGCGTCTAATCACCAGCTTTTACCAGTTGAAATACCTCTCAACATTTACAGCACAATAAATACCAAGAATATCGGGGCTGATAGACAACCCGTCAATAAAGATCTGCTCAGCCACTCCTCGTCATCGTCTTGTCCTACGAACACCACTGCTGAAATACTGCGAGAGGCACCCTTTTTCTTTGGGTATTACGACGACCACATTACATCTACAACTCTGCGAAGAAAACTCTTGATCTCATATTCAAAAACTTTACAAAAGAGGCTTTTTTATTTTATTTTGAAGTGAAAACCTGGGAGATGTCCTTCAAGGGCTTTCAGAAGTCCCTGGTCAGAGTAAGTGGGAATGAAAATTATCAAGCGGGATGGCGGGGTTCCTCGCACATTTGACTGACTTGGTAACAGGCGCCTCAAACGTTCAAAGCCAAGTTCAATCTTGGTGAGCAAACCAAAGATGCCGTCTATATGGATGCGGAACGGCGATTCCAGGAGCTGGAAACCGAGACGAAAAAACTGCATGACGAAAGTAAGAAATATTTTGAAGCTATCAATGGTATGATGAACCATCAAATCGAATTTTCTAAAGCGATCGCCGAGATATACAAACCAATATCTGGAAGGATGTCGGATCCGGATTCCATCGTTCAAGAAGGAAATCCAGAGGGAATCAGGGCCTGTGAAGAATATGAAGAAATCTGCAAGGAGCTCTTGGCAACTCTACAACCAGAGTTGGAGATGATTGAAGCAAGAGTTATTCGACCCGCGGATGAATTATTAGAGATCATTAAGGTGATAAGGAAGACTTCACTCAAACGTCAACACAAGCAATTGGATTTTGATCGACATCGAGCTACGCTCAAGAAATTGCAAGACAAGAAGGAAAAGAGCTTGAAGGATGAGAAAGCCATGTATAAGGCGGAAAGTGATGTTGAGCAAGCCACTCAAGAGTTCAATTATTACAACGACCTCTTGAAGGATGAGTTACCTAAGCTCTTTACGTTAGAGCGCGAGTTTATTCGACCATTGTTCCAATCGTTCTACTATATGCAACTTAATGTATTTTATACCCTACACGATAGGATGCAAGGATGCGATATTGGATATTTTAATCTCCAGCTTGATATAGAGGAAGGTTTCGAGGCAAAACGAGGCGACATCCGAGAACAGACAGAAGCACTTGCTATTGTAAAGTTCAAGACGACTGGTGCCAAACGTCCACCAAAACCTCTTGCTCTCGGCGGTCCTAAACGTCTCGCCATTGAGGACAAGCCATCATCTACAGAACTCAGCACGTCTCCGAACCGCCGCGCATCCACCGACTTTTCATCATCGGAGAAGCCACCGCCACCTTACTCTTCCATGTTATCTCCTACCAATCCCGGAAACACCGTGATGCGATCAGCGTCGACCGGAAGCTCATGGGGGGCCGCTGCGAAAGCAAAGAAGGCGGCACCTCCACCCCCAAAGCCGAAGCCATCAAGGCTCAGCGGTGCGCCAGCTACGGAGACTGCTGTCGCATTGTATGATTATGAGGCACAGGCCGAGGGTGATTTAAGTTTCAGTGCGGGAGAGACCATTGATATTGTGACCAGAACGGGTAATGAAAATGAATGGTGGATTGGAAAGATTCATGGAAAACAAGGTCAATTCCCAGGTAAGTAACATTTCCGTGTCACCTATAGCTTTTAGATCTCAAATTAACCTTCAAATCCAGGAAACTACGTCAAAGTCAATTAAGATCACAAGTCTAAAAACAATAACTCTTATCAATACCCTTACATGGCAAAAGTTTTGAATCATCATATTCTCGGGGACTTTTGGAATCGGGGATTTAGACAGAAACATACACAAGTGATGTTATGTTGTTTACTTCAACAACATAGTCAGCAATGAGCCGAGACTTTCGAATAAAGGACTTCAGAGTAGAGCTTTACAGAGAGGAGAGGAATTCACGGGATAAAGACGCGGATGTGGAGCTTACTTAGCATGTACTTGCATACTACATAACTAATACCATGCTTACTTTCTGATTGATGAATGAATGAGTTGATTTGAAATTCTTGCTGTCCATGCCTCTTGGTAACTTTCTAATTTCTGCATATGATGCAGCGCAAAGAAGTATGATATTATGGTATAGTATACAGTAGTATAGTATAGTATAGTATAGTATAGTATAGTATAGTATAGTATAGTATAGTATAGTATATAGTATAGCTTCCTAATTACATCTCAACTTTAATCAGACTAGAGCAGAATAAAGCAAATCAATCCTGCAAGGCAACTAACTGGCTCAGTATTATTGGTAATTACCTAGTAATATCATCATCATACATGCTATCGGTATATACATATACATTTACTATTTGTGAGTAGGTAGATAGATTAAATATATCGATCGAAAAAGGCTGGAATGAATCTGCATGTAATGATTTGATTTGATTTGATTTGATGTGAGGGGTTGTAAGTTGTGGGTTCTGGTGTGGTAGAGGGTGTGGTAGAGGGTGGGAGTAGATGAAGGGTAGGTGACACGATATGATATGGCACGGCACGGCATCATTGGCAATTTCCTTTGGTTTGTACTTGTTTGTGATGTAAATGAATTTTTTGGAATGGAAGGCGGGTGCGTGGATATGTATGTATATATATATATATGTGTGTGGTGTGAATATGTGGTATGTGGTATGTATTGTTATATGTATGTGGTGTGTATGTGGTATATGTGTGTGTATGTGTGTTTTTGAATTCGAATAGGTATGTGTGTTTTTATATCTATACCTATCTACTCGGTCTATTTACGATGAGGGAGGGGGAGGCTGTGCGTGTGTGCGTGTGTGAGTAGAATACTGAGTAGCATAGTTGACTATATATCTACCGGTATCATATCTATCAACTGTTTGCTTTTTAATATGGATGAATGGAGGGATGAATTGAGAATATTATGTTTTTGAAAATAACCTTATGGTATGTATGGTATAGTAAAATTGAAATATCTGGATGAATGCCAGTGAAGCGAATATTGAATGAATGATGAAAGAAGAATGATGATTGATGAATGAATGACCAAGAAGAAACGGAGGAGGGAGAGATGGAGATGGAGATGGAGATGAAAATGGAGTTTAGGATTATGATTAGGGTGCACACAGCCTTATTACTCGAGCAATTCCGTCGCTCGCAGCTTGTGGACGGAGAACGATGGATAGGTAGGATCTTGTCAGCAGATCAGTCCCATGGCGAATGTTCCCCTCTCAGGGCTTTCTTTTTTCTGTATGGAAAAGATACCAAGAAGTGAAGATTCTCTACCACAATACATTCTGAGGTTTCCTTGTCTCAAAGAGACTCAGATTGCAAACTATTATAAGTGTTTGTGTATAGGGCTGATTTAATCGGATATGTTATTTTCAGATATTCGATGGTGATTCTTCCGATCCGAATTTGAAGATAATGTATATAGTTACTCGAGTACTCGTAGATCAGAATCTTGTTAACCCGATTTGAAACGTTGATGATTTTGATCCATCAGAAAATAAGCGACTATTTTATGGAAAGCCGATTAGTTTTCCGAAACTTTATTATATGATATTAGTATTCTGTTTATTTTTCATTGCTCCCTTTACGAGTACTGTTCTTGTATAGGCCATTACAGTAGTTTGCTGTTAGAGTTGTTGTGTTTGTTGTGAAAAGCGATGATTAGACTAATAAGAATGACTACAATACCAGTACTGCCCCTATTCTGGTCGTTGTTTCCAATAAGCGAGTACCTAGGTAGGTGTAGCATTCTTAAATCAACCGGCATTTCCCAGTACCATGTCATGAACGGGAAAACGATGTGCACTTCTCTGACGATGAAAGAACAAGTCGAACATGAGAAAGGAACAACAGGAAGTAAACAAATGGTAGATGGTTTAATGCAATGATGTTTTCTATCTCTCCAACAATTCTACGAAAGTCCGGTTGAAAGTCTGCTTCGATGTACTGTACGTACTACAGACCTAGATTCCAAACTTGGGTTCTTGCTTTGCGCCCTCAAGGGCCTTGCAAAAGCTGAGGCGCTCATCGGTATAGAACTCAGTCATGACCTTCTTATAGTCTGCCACGCCACCATCAAGAGCACTATAGCACCATCAAATTAGCATCCGATATCCCGCTTGAGTGCAGGAGAACGATCGACTTACCCAGCCTTTATACCAATGAAATCAGGCATGATCTCGAGTTCACCAAAGAGGCTGGTTCCGCAGGTGAAGCAGAAGGAGCGCTTGTTAATCTTGCCGAAATTGCCTGGCGCCTCGAAGGTCTTGGGCGTGCCCTTGAGAAGCGTGAATTGGGCCCGGGGAACGAGCACGTTGGAGGAGATGGCGCCGCACCATTTTTGGCAGGAGTGACAGTGGCAGGAGTGACAGTGGCAGGAGTGACAGTGGCAGAGAGCTGTTATGGCTGGCTCGCCTGTTTTATATCAGTCAATCAGTATGTGTGTGAATGAGTGAAACGAAGAAGAAAATATGGAAAGCTGCGAAGAGTGTGTTAAACGGACCTGTGTACTCGTAGGCAAGTTCGCCACATAAGCAGAATCCTTGAGGCATGTTGAGTTGTGTGGAGACTTGGATGTAGAGATCCGAGGCAGGCTTAGAATCTGACTGTATAATGAGGAACTGGTCTTGGTCTGGTGGGCTTGATGTTGTTGGATTGACTTGAGAGAGATATAGAAACGTGCCCTGTTATATACTCCAGCAATTAACTGTGGAACAAACTGCCTTTTGCAACATGTACGATTCTGTTACGTATCAGAACGAGGTTTGGATTTCCTAGAGTCTAGACTTAGACTCTACTTTGTTTGCAGCGCTGGCTTGCTTACACATGGTTTCGATTTCTGTATAAGAAGATTCATAGATTGTGGAGAGAGGAGTACCGGTGCCTCACCTCACTACATAGTACCCACGGCACGGTAGCTAGTTCAATTCGTACTTAACTTTCTAGTTCAATCTGTGAGATCCGATCCGCGCGGCTGGTTAGCGTGGATTTGTGGAAGTGTGGAATGGGCACAAGCAGTAGAGGGCGAAGGCAAACCTTTACGTGAAACAAGTTGAATTGCCTAGGTAGTAGGTACTCGTGCCGCCAGAAATTATACAAATCAGTAGACTAAGTGGGCTAAAGTCTCTTATTAGTATTTCATATGATAATTTTGCAGAGTTTTATATCAAAATCATTACCTATATACAATACTTATTCCACTTATTGCGGGATACTTAGAATTGGTAGAGTATATATGTCCAGCCAGATCTTCCTCAGGGCCATATCAGCATTGAGATTTTTTGCATCAATACCTATTCATCCGTCCATCCCCCTCGTTGAAGAGCATATCTGTACTCCCCACTCGTAATGTCTTTACCAACCACAACTAAAGTCTGCAGAGTTCAAGGAACCGACGGCTTCAATAGTTTACACTACTCGAGTATAACGCGCAGGAGGCAATTCCAGAGTTGTCGGAGTATGATATTGTTGTCAGGTTTCATGCCGCCGCTCTAAACTATCGAGATGTCTCCATACCTTATGTATACTATACTTACTCATTCCTTCCTCCCACTGCAAAATGCTAACATGGCCTGCCTAGGGAACCTTTCCATTCGGCTTTAAGACAGGCGTTGTCCCTGGCTCAGATGGTGCCGGAGAAGTGATCGCGGTGGGCGCGAAAGTCACACGCTTCCAAAAGGGCTCAAAGGTCGTCACTCAATTCAACCAAAAACATATTTACGGCTCCCTCACCTCCAAGACCATTTGTACCGCCCTCGGTGGGGATCTCGATGGTGTGCTGCGCCAGTATGGGGCCTTCAACGAGGAAGGGCTTGTGGCGATGCCAAAGTCACTGGATTACGTGCAAGCTTCAACCTTGACGGGCGCGGCCGTCACGGCGTGGAACGCTTTGTACAGCCTCCGACCGGTCAAGGTCGGGGATTTCGTCCTCACCCAGGGTACAGGTGGGTGTCTCTCTGTTTGCCATTCACTTCGCAAAGGCTGCGGGTGCTACCGTTATTGCGACGACTTCTTCGGCTGCGAAGACTCAAGGGTTGAAGGATCTGGGTGCAGATCATGTCATCAACTACCGAGAGGTCGAGAACTGGGGAGACAAAGCCAAGAAATTGACAGATTCGAAGAAGGGCATTGATTATGTAATCGATATTTGTAGAGGTGGAACTATGGTTTAGTCAATCAAGTCAATCCGAGTTGATGGAATTATCAATGTCATTGGTTGGTTGAGCAAGACCGGTAAGAAAGAGCCGAGCTTTTTGGAGACAGTCAGCAGGGTCTTCACTGTTAGAGGAATGTTCGTTGGGAGTAGAGCAATGTTTGAGGAGATGGTGAGTCTGATCCTTGCTTTTTGAAGTCCTACTCCACCTGGCTTCGTCGTTCTTCGATAGAGACTGCCCGCTTCGCCAGTATGGATTGGCTGAGATCGCTGCAACTTTCCCTAAAGGTTTTACACTGTGCCAAAAGCGCGATGTCCATGATAAAGTGGCTTTGTCCGTAGCAGGATACTAAGAAGCCAGCCACGGCCCCCTTTCGAGACCAGCAGCTGATAGAACCTGAATTGAAGAGGAAAAACGATGTCTAGAGAATGCATCAAGAGTGTCGCCTCGCATCCATGGTAATTGTTGGAGAAGGATCTCATCGAACAGCCCAGGCATGATGGTAGGCTTTGTGACTCGTGGTTGGAATTAATATCCTCTGTATTGATCGTGATGGTAGATGTGGATGTGCCGGCCAGGGCATCTCGACTACCTCCTGTATCCGAATTCCCCATGCTAGCTGAGACGACTGCTGTACTGGTATTTCTTCTAAGCTTCTTATTTTCTTTGATGGACCTTTTGATGCGTTTCGCCTTGAACTTCTCCAATGGGCCCCCGTCCATCCATGCAGGTTTCGCTCCATAGCCATGACATATGATGGATAGCGTGTCACATGTTAAGCAATTTATTTGGTCGTTCTTCCTGGCATTTCCTTTTTCGAATTCTACACGTCCAGCAGCCCGTGCTACTTCATGCTGCAAACATGATGTTGGAGAATATTATTAATATTAGATCGATAGGATAAGTTGGATTTTGATTGTGAACTTGACTTGACCTAATGCTATCTACAATATCACGTGATGAGACAGTGTCCCTCAAAACGCAGCCCAAAAAAGCTCAGCAAATCAGAAATAAGATTATAAATTTAGGCTCGCTAATTAATGATGTATTTTCAAATATATACGAGTATATATGTATATTATATAGTAGTGGTACAATATCTAATCCATTTTCTAATTTCTCTCTCTTCTCGAACAAAAGTATAATCCTCTCTTTTTCTTTCTGCGATTGCGAAGAGGGCTGAGTTGATGATACTCGGTAATTGATGGCTAATGCTCGAAGCAACACGCATCTACTCGAGTACTCGTAGTTGCATTAGCTTACGCCCGATTTCTACAGGGAGATATTTCTTACCTGCATGCTCATAATATGCTCATCACACAATATACCATTACCTAACTACCATTACCTACCTACCATTATCTACCTACCACCACCCACCTCAAAAACCATAGGTACTATGGAGCCTGGCTTGGCTTGACTGGGTTAGCTAGGCTTTCTCTACGTTTCTTAAATTCTTAGAAACAGACAAAATCTGCCTTGACAATCAAGTGGAATCGGATGACTTCAGTATTTACGCACGATTAGTACCGTGCATGCGTAGTACTACACTTGTTTATGGATTGGATGGATTGATTATATTGGATTGGATGAAGGTGGAAGTTTAATGAAGCCATAGAGTACCGGTATTTTCTCATAGTACGGTATATGGTATGGTGTTATGCATACACATATACATATATACATACATGCGGACATACAGACAATAATGATAAAAGGGTGAGACGAATCACACACATATCACAAATCACAAATCATGCATTACACATTACACATCTCAGATCACAACTATAAGAAATATAATTGCGAGAGAAATACACTGATACTGATATTGATACTGATACTAACATCAAATTCTCATTTCCCGATGTACTTTAGTACAATTCCTATTCCTTCCTACCCCCCTTCCTTCCTTCCTTCCTACTTTGCTTGTATAATATATACATACCCCCTCACCCCTCCCTCACTATCCACATCCACAACCTCGAACATCCGCATCCGCATCCGCATCCGAACATAAAGCCAGAACTCCATCTCCACACCCATCCCATTAAAAACCCCAAACCACATCCACATCCACATCCACCTCCCTCTCTCAACTCAACCTTACCACGCTGAGTCTGTGCCTTCGTTTTGTCCACAACACACAACGAGTGCCACTAACTGACTGTCAACAAGCCGCGATCTATACCAAGAACGTCTATAGAATTTACCCCTCACTCGGTGTCAGTGCTCGCTAAGATGCATAAACTATCTACATATATGATGCATCGATATCTTTGTACTTTTTTCATTTTTGCAATTTGCGTTTTATAACTATTGCCGAATATGATTGGGTGTAAATATAAGATAAAATATGTATTAGGTATATATATAGATATAGAAGACAATATATACCAGCCGTGTACTCGAGTATACCCATAGATATGAACTTAAGAAGTAAAAAAAAAAGCCTCCTTCCCTTTGATCACCATTTCCTACCTACCTACCTAACCGCGACTGCTGCTTCCCTGTCTTTGCCAAAATAGAATCCTAGCCCGATATCTTGATACATGGCTTTTTCGTGCCACATCCACGATGACATTGGGGAGGAGACTGCTGCTGCTGCGCTAGGAGTAAGATGTGCTGTTCCATGCATATTGACATACGCCTGGCCACCCGTATCAATATCCCCGGACAGCGCCTCTTTATCTGTGCATTTTTCCTTTTCCTTGCCCTTTCCTTTTTGGTCGATTCCAAATGTCCTATTTGCTTCCAGAGCATCCGCATGTATCTTCTGATATTGCCCATTCGAATTTTCATCTGCATACGCTACCCTTTTCATCTTCATCTCCGCATTCGCATTGACATCCTCTGTGTGACCAGTAGCCCTTCCATCAATATGGGGCCCCTCACCTACCCCCTTGCTTGTCATACCACCCCACCTCTTCAACCCCTCCAACTTGATTGCCGGATCAAAACTCACAAAGATGATCGCTTGTGGACTGTCGTATCCCCCCGTTACATACACTAGACTTCTTTCATCGGCGGTACCTTCCACATTACCAAGGTGTGTGGGTGGATTTAACAACCTGTACAGCTCGTCCAAGGCTTCATTTGCTACTTCAGGATCTTGCGCCGGGGGCCAATAGGTAATATCCGATTGTCTGTACATTTGATCTAGGGCGTCCCCAATATCAGATGGTGCCGGACATAATAACCCGGCTTTTGAGGGATGATCGGGAGGGTAGACAAGGGGTGGGCCGACCCTTCGGGATCCGGCGCGAAGGCGTAGTCGTTGTTTCCCCTGCCAATCTATTGGAAGGGGGTCATCCACAACGTCGAGAAATGTAGATGAAGAAGAGTGGTAACATCGAATCCGTGATTTTGCGAGCGTGAATGTCAAATTGGAAGATCCATCATAACCAGGATGAGTGAATTGGGGGAGTCTTGTTCGTGATGACATATAATGCGGATTGTCGTCTTTCCGAAGGAGACGTAAAATAGGATCGACGGGATAATCACTCAGATCACGATTAGCGTAGTTGCTGTCATTTTCTAAAGTACTCGAGTCTGTATTCATCAATGAGGATGGACCTGATTGAGCATTTGAAGAGAAGGATGCACCAGCCGAATAATAGATATCATCATCCATATCATGTGATTGTGGAGAGAAAACGATAGGGGTAGTATAGCAGCTACGCTGACTTCTACTTGCTCCACGATACCACTCCCTTCGAGACTCGATGATTCTGAGTTCTCCGTTACTCTCATCCCTATCAAGTCGAAGACTGGTCCATCGATCATCAATTGGGCCTTCTTCATGTTGACGCCGCCACATACTTTGATTCTCTGTTTTCTCGATCAACTCCTTGTAAGGGGACGCGAGAGGAAATCTGATGCAATGATAGAATGAAGTCCAGTCTATCTCCTCGACCTCAAATGAAGTTTGATTCGAAAGAGCGTAGAAATAACCATCGTGAAACTCGAAGCAGATCGTTGATCCAATTTCTGACCCTACCATGTCTGGAAGGTGGACTTTTTGATCAAACCATTCATGTTGAGTAAAAGAGTAACCATAAATGACCCATTTCTTATGATTGTCCGTGCCAACTTCTGAATGTGTACCATAATAAAGGTGTTCGCTATCATGGCGAACAAATATTCTTTCGGTAGAGTCCAGTTCTCTTACAACAAGAATATCGCTCGTTTTGATGCTAAAAGCTATGAGCCACGAATTCGCCTCCAGACCTGATGTCTTGTACAGACACGAGATTATACTATCTGAATAATACAGCACTTGGAACACACCTCCAGTATTGCGAGCAATCTCTGAGATGGCACTAATCAGTATCGCTGGTATACTGACGACGACCTCACGGCATGCTGAGTCATGAAGACTTAAGACCCTGAGTTGATCATCAAGTGTATAGCACAAGACACCTTTGCAATAAAGATAGGCATCCCCGAAACCAATCGTCGTTACCGAGTACGGATTAGCAGTAGCAAAAGCTGCTCGTCTCTTCGCAACTCTTCGAAGAGCCAATGCACTATTCCCAGTGACGTGCTTCGTTGACAAGGCTTCATTGCAGAAGGGTATCTTGGTCTGTACAATTCCTGTCAGCCACCCGCACTAAAGCGTGAGTCATGTTAATGACAAAGCCGGTAGCCTACTTGTACTGTCAACTTGCATATACTTTCCTCCGTAAGTAAGTATTTTAACGCCTGGCAGGAAAGGCCTAGGTTGAATACATCGTCAAATTCGACGTTCGCTATGATATTGGATAAGACTTCATATGGAAGAGAGATCAAATTGAACATTAGGTCTTTGTCAATGATGCCAAGGACTATCTCTACCCAATAATATCAGCTTGGATTTGAAAGACAATAGGGCAATGGATGCATACTTGCAAATTGACGACGGACGATAAGAACCGGTGTAGAAAAGAATCATTTGTGTTGAAAGTGGAAGAAATGTTGATGAGCTTACAATGAGGCTGCGACATTGTGGACTTATAGGGCAGAGCTCAGAATAAGGCTCAAGGATTCCACCGTGAGGGCAATCTCATCGAAAAAGAGCCTCAAAAACACCCAAGAATTCTTTGTCGTTGGCTGATTAGGATCAATAACCTTCATTGCATATTGAACAAGGATTCAATTGGCTGATGTCCTAGGTGAGACCCATCCCTTCGGTCAAATTGGGTCCCACCCCTGTCGCAATTTGTGAGGCTCTTCTTTCGCCTGAGATCATCTGTTTGTTGCAGATTCTCCAAATTCTTCCGATTCGTGAGGTTACAGGTTACATATCCCTCGAAAGCCGGGCGAAAAAAGGTCATATGGCCGAGTCTGCTATTTATCCTTTGTTGTATTAGAAAATAAGCCTCCAAATATACTCATGTTCGAGTATATTATGTAGTGCCTCCACAGAGTATCCGTGAGGCAACTCGATAGTCGAGTGGTTGCCTCGATCTAGCATGTGCGAATGCAGGGGTAAGTTTAAGCCTGCGGTGACATGGAGGCTGAGTCGAGAGAGACACATTGTAAATTGTAATGGACTAGCCAAGCGATATGCGGTACAGATTGAGATTGACTTACATACCAGGAGATATTGAAGTAACATGTTAGGCATTTGGTGTATCTCTTGAGGCTCAAAATGAACAGTTGGGGCCAATCTCGGTTCAATTTATCAAATAGGAGACGGAAAAGAAACAACGACCAATCAAGGAAGGAGGAGTGGAGTGGGGGTAGGAAGTTGCGGCTCAAAATGTCCTCGCACGATTTCCGACAGTCTAGTCCGATTCTGGTCCCAGAGAGGAGAAGCCTCATCACAGCCTTTTAAGGCACTGGTAACCTTGTCAATACTCACAACCGAAACAGGGTTGAGTCGAAAACACAGGCAGTTCAGAATTCAGAAAGTGAGAGCAACCCATTCAGTCTCAGGAACGGCTTCCGAGAATTTCTAATGAAACAAACACCACTCAAGCTCACGCAGGCAATACTAATTACGTCCATGATCCATCCCTACTTGGTGACGGACGGACATGTTGAATACGGTAATGTAAGACTTAGTATCATGTTGAAGAGCGACGTTTCTCTGTATCGTCGTCAATCGAACAAATCAACATAATCATGGGTCCCTGCCCGAACCAGATCTCCAGATTTGCGCATCCATTTCTATGATGAGTATGATGAGTAGAGCCTCAGTAGAGTATGAGAGTTTTTGTAAGTTATTGCGGTGTGAAAACGGGTTGTAGATCCATCATGTTTGCATTGAGCGAATGGTTGTACCTTCCTGTTTGGGTATAATTCAAGGGGTTGGTAATCATTAAGGTTATTCCGAACTCCGTTGTCCTTGATTACTTGCTTTCTCTTGATGAATGACAATAATGACTTATAAAATATCTTTTTCATGGTAAATGAATGTTTTGTTGTACATAATGAAGTAGATTGCTTCGTGGTAATTTCACATTTGAATTTAAATTTAAGACATGGGGCACATACAGAATTTCATATCGGGCAAACGAGTTGACCCTTCATCACCGCCACCTTATTTTCTGAAATTCCGATCTTCGAACCTTCTCATCCTGTCGACAGTATGTGTAGCAGTATTTACAGATATTTTCCTTTACGGAATCATCGTACCGGTCGTACCTTTCTCGCTCAGCTCACGCGTAGGTGTGCCTGAATCATCGGTCCAGAGCTGGGTATCGATATTACTCGCAGTTTACGGCGCAGCATTGCTCGTTGGAAGCCCTCTGTCAGGATGGTTCGCCGACCGCTCATCATCGAGACGCCTGCCGTTATTAATAGGGTTGATCGCGATGGTTGGTTCCACGGTTATGCTGTGCCTGGCGAAGTCGGTGGCTTTGCTGATTTTGGGACGCGTATTCTCAGGGTTGAGTGCAGCCGTTGTGTGGACCGTAGGACTAGCTTTATTGGTCGATACCGTTGGACAAGGCGAGATTGGACAAACATTGGGATACGTGAGCTTGAGCATGTCTCTTGGGATTCTAGTGGCTCCCTTATTAGGGGGCATTGTGTATGAAAAGGCTGGATATTACGCCGTTTTCTACATGTCTTTTGGATTATTGGTCTTGGATATTTTGCTTCGCTTAATATTAATCGAGAAGAAGATTGCTCGACAGTGGCTGAATGATGAAGTCACCGACTCTGGACGCAGCTTGGACTCAGACTCTTCGCCTACTCGCAACGAGGATGCAGTCAGCACAGAGGCAGGGAATGAAAACAATACGACCACGGACGCGGAGAAGGTAGCACAAAGTGAGCCTTCGGGTACTACCGAAGCTACGCCTACCGTTCCACACGGCATCAGTAAATGGCCTCCAATTTTCACTCTTCTAAAATCTAGGCGGCTCTGTGCTGCACTATGGGGTTGTGTAGTTCAAGCATCTCTCATGACATCATTTGACAGTGTCATTCCTCTATTCGTCCAGGAAACTTTCCACTGGAATTCCGTTGGAGCAGGACTGACATTTCTTGCTGTTATGGTACCCAGTTTCGCCGCGCCAGTTGTCGGATGGGCTTCAGATCGTTATGGTCCACGTTGGTTATGCGTTGTCGGATTTTGTTTCGCAACCCCATTTTGGGTTCTCCTACGCTTCGTTACCTATGATTCTTTGAACCAGAAAGTTCTTCTTTGTGCATTACTAGCTCTCATTGGCGTCTCCTTGACTTGCGTCATACCGGGGCTAATGGCCGAGATCACCTATATCGTCGAAGCTAAGGAGAAAGAAATACCTGGGCGATTTGGGAAAAACGGAGCATATGCACAAGCGTACGGTCTTTTCATTACGGCCTTTGCAGCTGGTACTCTCATCGGCCCAGTCTGGTCAGGTTATGTGAAGGATTCTGCAGGATGGGGTACAATGGCATGGACATTGGGATTGTTCAGTTTGACTGGCGCTATCCCATGTTTGATCTATACCGGGGGTTTGATCACCGAGGTCAATGCTAAGACTGCAGAGGAAAGAGCAGTCAACTCACAATCGAGGGCGATCGATGGTCCTCTAGCTGCAACAAGGGATGCAGAGGATATCGTATGAGGGTATTTGAATTTTATGTACAAGTAAGTAATCGTGTTTAAACCGGAGAATATAATATATGACATAAGGTTGGTCAAGAAGGCAATGTACATTATCTCAACTCTATACTATTTGTATAATTTAGCTATGTCATCACAAATTAATGATAAATGTCAATTGGATATTCGATCATAATCTACAAATACACGCAGAATCACATTATCTTCTACAATGAAATAATCATCAGTTCTATCAAAGGTCTTCGTAACTACGAGTATACTATCATTTATATATATACTCGAGTACAACCACATAACATCAATCTCAATCTCAAAATAGAGCATTGGAATCTCTCATCTTGGACTTGCATAAAATGACTGTCCTGGCACAAAAAATAAATAATAAATAATAAATACATTCCAAAAGCACATCCATCATAAACAATGTGAGCGATGTTGGACAGTCTACCCGAGTACACTTACACTCTATCCGCAACCGATGCGTTGATAGTGAGATGGCCCCACTACTCCCAGATTCACCTATTCCCTAGCTAGGTAGATTTTGGAGAAATCACAAGAACCCAAAAACAAAACAAGAACACAATAACCAACAAATGGCATGGCCAAAACCTTCCCGCCCCATCGAGGGCGGGAGGAGAAACCCCACCAGTGGGGTTTATTACAGGATGTGTGACACTCCCACTGCTACGCCATAGGCGCCGGTTTGCTCGACAGTACTTTGGATTCGGTCTTGTCGTGTTTGGTTTGTCGACGAAGCGTGTGTGTTTATTGAGGATTATATCGTTTGGTTAAATTGGTTATTTGTGCGTTTTCGACATATACATACATATATACATAACACGAGAAAGTCGCTAAAGGACACCTTTCCCCCTCCTTCTCTCGTTGCTCGAGCCTGGGTTTGAAATCTAATGTTAGAAGAAGACGAGATATGTAAATACTCGAGTAGATGAATATGTTTAGTATTGTCATTTCCGCGCAATCAAGTGTCACGTTTTGTACACATTTGGTATGTTCGATCCATTTCTCCAGCGAAACGATAGCCTAAGATGAATGATTGCCATCAAGTCAAAAATTGCATCAACGTCTCTAACATATCCCTCGTCATCTTCTCCTCTCCATCTCCATCCCCATCCTCTTCTCCCACCATCGTATCCAACTGCTCCTGTAACGTCTCCCTCAATAAGTCCAACCCCTCATCCCTCTCCGCCAACAATTCCCTGACTTTCCTCTCTGCCCCTTCGTCTTCCGCTACCAGCCATGCCAAAATAACATCAATCGTTTGCAAACAAAACAAACCCGCGTCTAACCTCCTCGATAACCATTCATCGGCCATCTCCTCCCTTTCTTCCGCACTAAGCTTGGCTTGTTCTTTACGAATCTCACCGTCTACAGCCGAGACCCGCGCTGCGTAGTCTCGACGCAGTTTCACAAGCTTGCCTATCTTTTCATATTCTTTCTCTACGAATTTCGCAAGTGTGCGGATACGACCCGCTTGATGGGCGGGGAGAAGACGCAGAAGACTTGAAAAAATTCCTAGAAGATGTTCGATGGTTTGTCCGTCAATTTTCTTCAAAAACATTCCAAATATTATTTTGAGACCTGCTGCATCTACCAGTTTTTCACAAACCTCCGCACCAGTTTGTCCGCCTAATGCATGGTCTAATAGCCTGAGTGCGCGTGATTTGCTCATTTTGCCTTCTTTGACCATAATTAAACAGAGTTCAACACCTTCTGCTTCAACAAACTTTTGTTTTCCTTCTGGTTCATCGACACAGCAGGTCAAGGAGTCAAACACATTTTCTACGAATTCTTCTTCCTCGGTTCCTTTAATGGGATCGCGCTTTCTGTAGGCTGCCAGAATTTGTAGTAGGAGATCGACGCCGTCTAGTTCGCAGAGTCTCCGCCTGTTAAGCGAAGATGATTGAAGGAGAATTGCCATGACTTCTGCCGAGTATTGTTTGTTCTGGCTCACTGGCGTTTCTTTCTTCGGTATTCGATTTAATAACCAATTTAGTATGCTTGTCTCCTGACCAATCTTTTCCGCAAGCGATGTTCTCGACGCCAGGTTTTCCAACACAGATAATGCATGGTATAAGCCACTCCTATCTGACTCATTGCCTTCGTTGAACCGGGCGAAATTTGAAACCAATAGATCCAATAAATCTGCCTCGATCATAGCATCCACAAGTACGTTCCATTGCTCTTGTTCGGCCTCCACATCTTCGTCGGTAAGTTCACTGATAATCTCCACCGCCTCAATCGCAATGTCTGTATTCTCGTGCGCCAGTAGTCCAACCAAGCTTCCAACGCATCCCAGCTTCGCAAACTCCCCATATAATTCCGGGTGTTCTGAAAGAATGCTCAGAGCTTTGATATCCGCATCAAGATCCGCTTCACTTCCCATGAACTTCTGCGGATCGCTCTCGAATTTTCCTCTCAATTCCGCATTCTTCGTAATCTTCTTCTCAAAGTTTAGAGCCATTTTCCTTAGCCATGCCGAATCGATTTTCTCGGGAACAATCTCTGCGCTTTCTTGTCCATCCATATAATCTAATATTTCCGATTCATCTTTCGTGATGCCACCGCCGAAAAACCGTCCTTCTTCATCATCAGGGATATCCGGTCCATAGTCTTCTTCGTCGTCATCGGGTGGAGCCGAAGGTCCAGTTTCTATATCATCGTCCTCTTCTGCTGCTGGTTGTTTGCCATTACTTTTGGCATGGCTATTCGCAGATAGTTTTGCGGATTTGTAGATCTCATCTAAAGGGTTGCTTAGTAAAGAGCCGGGACGGGGGAAGAGGAGAGCTGCTAACTTGGATCTCGAGTAGGTTCTAACCTGTGCTTATGATTGGGTAAAGCTGGCTTCTACAAAATATCAGACGGATACTGTGGGACTAGTAGAACAACAAGTGCACACCTTGAATAAATCATCAATACTTGTCATTGTAACAAATGGGATTTGCTCGAGGCTGCGCGTTTACAGACGTTTGTCACTGCGATTCTCATACGATAAAGGTCGCGGTCATATGAATCATGTGTCTTTCGAAAGATTGGGAGTATCGGAATCCAGTGGAATGATTGTAGAATCGAGACGGGTATTTGTGGTTTGTTTACTCGAGAAATTATAACCTTTTGGAGCTTCGTTGAATGAAGCTCAACCTAGGCCTTGCTTAGTCACGGCTGTCTTCGGCTGTCTTGACAAGGCTGACTAGAACTTCAGTTCATATGCATCCTTTCGACAGAGATCTTGAACAGCCGCCTTTGTTGTTTTATTACATCATTGACTGTGGACGATATCTTATATCAAAATTGAAACAGAACGTGGTGATAAACAGTCCCAGTCACATGCCCTTAAAATTTTCAACTTTCCATTCAAAATTCCAGAATTGACGTTGCATTGAAGGGAGCGCCGGCTTTGACATAAGTGCTCTGAGACTCAAGACTCGCCCGTACTTGAGACCACTTGATAAATAATATATAACGACTATGGATCTTTCTGAATCGGGAGGTTTCCTCTCAAATTCTCTTCCCTCTCCTTCCCCAAGCAATGCTTCAGTCAGCTCTATCTCATCCAATCTACCGCAGCCACGTACGAAACCTCTTCGTGCTGGATCGGCAAAAGAACAAGCTGCAAGACGCTATGTAGAAAACAAATTACTTCATATCTCAAGGCGATACACCAAAAAATTTGCGGATGCCGCAGAAGGAAATACGGTAACCGGTTATGTAAGTATGAAAGAGGTAGCCAAGGACATTTCCGAGATAATAGATGTGCTCTGGCTCTCGGGTACACGTCAGTTTTTCAATTAGATATGTTATTCTTCCTCTTGAACTGACTGGTATAGCGAATTTGCAAATTCCATATTTATTCAATATTGCTCTCACAATGAGTACATATCCCACAAAATTCCCTCCAGCTCCAGTTACAACCTTTGCTGTTCTGAGAAAGCTAGATCATGCATTCGCTAGTTTGCTGAGAGGGGAAGACTCTGTTACAGGGGAGGTTCTGCCTGGCTTCCAGTCATGTAGGAGGGCGGGAATGAGCCAGACTGACATGGTTAGATGCAGAAGTATAGTCGAGGACACCAGGGTGATGATTGTGGATGTCATGAGTAGGGAAGTAGAATCAGAAACAGAAACGGAGAATGAAGGTGATGGTGACGATGAAACGAGCAACGGAGCCGACGGCATGGATTTGGATGGGGAGGATGACTCAGATTACGACAATGATGAACTTGCTATGGACATAGCTAGAGTTTACGGGGCTACGATCATGGAACTTGGAGAAAGACTAGAAAGTGGCCCTAACATTGGGATTGGGCATAATGTGTCGTGAACAAAACAAAATTCATATCACTCGACAAGCCATTAAACCGACCTAATATTCGGCCGAGCCAACATTGGCAGAACCGTTCAGGGGCAGGTGAACGCATCCTGGGTCAGCGATACTTATTCGTCGGCAAGCATCTCAACCGAATGAAAAAAACTGCTTCCATACCTCTGCGTCCACGGTTGTGGAAAGCCGAAAGGGACTTATGAAGTTCACAATTAGCCAGGCTATATGAGTTTAATTTCGAGGAATCTCATATCCACAGGACCGGAAGTATGTCCTGGATACTGCATTGACCGTGGCGATGAGTTGCCGTGAAGGGTAAGGATTTGGGGCGAGGGAAGCGGCGGAGTTTGCAAAGGAAGTGCGGATTGATAAATGTGATATGTGAAGTTTGGGGGGAAGGGGAGGTTGAGATCAAAATCTGATTCCATCTCATTTAATTTGATCATACCATTGATTGTCGCCATCGACAAGAGATAAAATTGTACATCTAGGTGAAGGCCGCGTTCGCGACTATTTCTGGTATTGAGTTATGGTATATCGTACAACACCACGTGAAATCAGAGAAGTTGGAGGGGGGATTAATCTCATCGATTTCATGATTCTACGTAGTCGTGTCAATCATTGTATTCACAGGGCCATTTGATTCGATTTAATGACATCTTACAACTGCCACCCAGTATCCATTTTTGCCTCGAAGCTTATGTTACTGTGTACACCAACTGTTCATCTGTGTTATAGACTCACCTGTACACTGAGTGGGATCGTTTAGAAAGCAATTTGTGATTATTCTCAAGCTCTTCAGTACCTCTAGGCTTATCCATCGCCGTCGATGATAAGTTGCTCTAATGAATGCATAACTAGTCCCCAGATCCCGAATCGTTTCTTTCTCCCTGACTTCTGACCCCAGTCCTCACAGATCAGAAGCTTTGCTGCACATCTAGAAAAGGTTCTCAAACAGGCTTGTTAGCAAGGTGGACTTAGGGAATAAAAGGTCTCTCAAGTCTCAAGAATTCATTGCAAGCTGTTATCTACATATCTACTTAGTAAAGAGACACGCAGTCGCCCAATCATATCAAACTCCCTGATTCACCATCCTCTCCCTAGTGTTCCTAACCCAAACAATCTCAATCCCTTCTCCTAGCCCTCCATACCACGGCCCTGTCTGTTCACTTCTCTCCGCCACCTCAAACCCCACCTGTTCCAACTCCCACCCTTTCTTTGCACACATGCTTACAAACATCGTATAGGTCTCAGCGGTACGTATCGTACTGGAGATCAGCACTTCGGCCGCTGGGTATAGCTCGAAAAGATCTTCGAGAGTGGCAATTAGGGAAGGAATTATAACGGGGGAGTAGACTACATCAGCGGCGATGATGAGATCCAGTGGGGTTTGGCTTGTTGATCCATTGTTTGAGGGTGGAATTGAGGTAGGATCATTCGATGAAAAGAACTCAGGGAATGTCTCGAATTCTCCGGTTGGGAGCATGTGACCCCAAGTAAGTTCGCATGTGCTCGTCTTGTTCGTCGCAATCTGAGCTGGTGTCGCAGTAATTGCATCGGTCATGCTGTTGATAAACAGGTTTGTGTTCATCAGGCTTAATACTTCGGGGCTTCCATCAGTAGCCAGGACATGTTTTGCAGAAAGATACTTTGCGCATAGGATTGAGATGAACCCAGTGCCGCAGCCGAGTTCAAGTATTCTTTTGTTAGAAATAAGATGGGGGTTCGAGGAGATGTAAGCTGAAAGGTGAAGAGCAGCTTCCCATGTTCGACGGCCAGTGGTGCCGGAGCCTGAAAGAAGCGAGGCGGATTCGTGGATGGTTATTGTAGGAGTTTGGGTAGCTGTGGATGGAGAGGTAGAAGGAAGAGGAGGGAGGGATGAGAGAGTATAGGTTACATAGGATTGTTGCTGGGCGGCTGTGGCTTCTGAGTGGATCGGAGTGGAGAGAAGAGTGGAAAGATGGTTCATGAGGTTATCTGATATTCCCTGGAGAATAGAAAGACTTTGTCAGAAAATCGGAGGAAGAAATGTCAAAAACATAGAAAGAAACATGGCATGTATTTGCGCTGATACTAGGCGCTAAATACATTGAGAATCTATGATTAAATTATAAGAGAAACAGCATCTCGTGCATACCTACTTGTTCTTCCCAATCGTGAATACTGTTCTCGATTCTTTTGGTGAGCTCTTTCAGAGTTTTCAATTGAAATCTTTGAGGCGGAGGGTACGCCAATACATTTTCCTGGAATAATCTTGAGTAGATGGCTTTTTGAAAGACTTCATCCTGAAGATATTCCTCATCCGGATAATCGAGATCGAGAAGAAGTTGAAGATATTGACGACAAAATCGATCCAGTTGAGTGTTCCTATTGGATGAGAGTATTGTCTGGCTCTCCGAATCCATTTCAACCTTAACGAAGAATCATTGAACAGTATTTCACAACTTGATGAAGTGCTATGGTCGAAGACAATCACTCGATTATTTGTAGTTGAATGAATCTTGATTCGAAATAAGGTATGAGGTCGGTCGTACGACTTGTACCAAAAGAGGATGAACTTGCGGCCATAATAATAAGGCATCAAGATAGGGTTTATAACCTTTCGGATCCTCATCTTCGCACATTTTGACCGCTTACCTAATCATTTTGGCTAAATTTTAGCGCATTTTGACTTACCGAATGCTGAGAGCCACTCGAACTTTTTGCATTCCTATTACGACAGCGACATCCATCGACAATCTATACCACGACGCAAAAATGGCCGACAGCAACGCCCCAGTTACGTTGCGAACGCGCAAATTCATTCGTAACCCTCTCCTCGGCCGAAGACAAATGGTCGTGTAAGTTCTGAACTTCATTTTTATCGAATCCGCCGCCCGTTTCGAACAATCATCACAATGAGCGATTGGCACTGAGTTGTAATAAGGGGTATTCAAGAATTGGAAGGCTGATGATGGACTTTTCGATTTAGTGATATCCTCCACCCAAACCGTGCCAACATCTCCAAGGATGAGCTCAGAGGCAAGCTTGCCGAACTCTACAAGGCCAGCCAAGACCAAGTCAACGTTTTCGGTCTCCGAACTCAATATGGTGGTGGAAAGACTACCGGGTTCGCTCTCGTCTACGACTCTCCAGAGGCAATGAAGAAATTCGAGCCCCACTACAGATTAGTCCGTGTTGGATTTGCTTCAAAGATCGAGAAGGCCAGCAGACAACAACGTATGTTACAGTCCTTACCCTGGTTTGCGATATTGCTTGAGTGGGAGATACCTCCGAATTGATACTGACGTGGGTGGAATGCAGGCAAACAACGCAAGAACAGACAAAAGACACTCAGAGGTACCGCGAAGGTCAAGGGTGCCAAGAAGAAGAAGTCGGAGTAAAGAACTCACTTCATCTTGGGGTAGGAATTGGTTGGTGTTGCTGGACCTGGGGATTGGCTATGTGCTTTGTACGCATCTGCATCGATCCTCCATCGTATCATACTTTGGTGTAATTAGGGAACGAGAATAGAGGCATGATGGCATGAAACCTCTAATCGATCTCTATTAGGTTATACACTACACTTTTCAATCACGGTGTTTGCTCGTTCATTACAAATTCTGGTTTATGTGCAGCATGGTCATGGGTGATGTAAAAACGGAAATATGCGTACGCAACCTGGAGGTTATCATGTCCCATGAATCTACTTTTTCCTTCATGGCTCTGTTCCACCTGCCCAGTCTACATGTCACTTTTGGGACACAAACTATCATCTGCAAAGATGCCTCTGACCGATTCTGCAAGCGCTTTTGACATGTCGTTCTGCAATTTACCTTCTGTCATCGAAGTTTGCCTTGTGCGCCACCGCAAACTTTATCTACATTCCAAGCTGAATTACCCCATCTCCACCTCCTCCCCTCCTCTTTTCGTTACAAGCTACATTGCATACTGCAAGCGAAATTGTATCAAGTAGGTATTGTTCCGTATTTCGTTTCGGTCCGTACCTTCTTCTATCAATGTATGAATCTCGGTTTCTGTACAGATTCATCTGTATTGCTGTGGAGATGACGGACGTTTCTCTGTTATACAGGTACTGGTACCCTATGACTAGCTTGTGGCTCCTTGCGTTTCAATTACTTGTTAGAGATGAGAGAATGGCATAACTCACATGTTGGACAGACACAGTGGACTAATGTGACCAAAAAAGACCAAGACTATCAACACAAAGGAGCACAAATGGAATGTTCTGGATCCAAGGCGACAAAAAGTCCCATCTCATGGATTTTAGGCTCGGCTCGTGGGCTTCCCGAACTGCTCCGCAGAGAGGAATATTCGGAAGCTCGGCCTTCATCTACCACGAGGTCTGGACAGATGACAGAAGTGAAATGGTACTCGAAGCATAGAGGGAGAATCTGAAGTTGAAGATATCATATATCATCTTCCTCCCAAGTAATCCAAGTACAGCCAAACATCGAATATAGCAACACCTTATCTTGTCCATTAACACAACACAAGTTGATTGCGATTCATTCTGACGTTGATTGAGCTTGAGAATCTGAGATTCTGAATGCGCATGCCAGAATAATTGTTGGTACCTTGTACTGTACAATGACATGAGGTTCATCCTAAGTATCTGTCGTGCTTCACTAGTACTGAGAAACCCCAGAATGAGACATCGATTGTACAAAGCAATGCAGTGCTCATCCGGTCTTCAACGTCCAGCATTCCCCTACCAAGACCCTGACATTTCCCCCAGAAAACGAGCGATGCAACGGAGCCAGGCACAACACTTCATTCTTCACCGTACACCCAACCTTCAAGGTGGGTGGGGTCGTTTTCCGGTCGTGTAACTTTGTGTCGCGCTGATCTTTCTATTAGATGCACCTTCGGTGGCACGAGGTCGTTTGAACTGGCTGATGGCTGCTAACGCTACATATGCCGTGCAAGGATTGAGGGATATTTGTGATTGGGCTGGGAGAGGGTGACAGTCGCACCCGGACTCTTTTGCTTTTACCATATAGATGAGGACTGTGGTGTGATGCCGAGATGCAGATGTTAGCTTTTCTCGATCCTGTCACCCTCTTTATGCTACGCCGGCGGGTCCCAGCATGATGGCATAAGCAGGGATAGATACTTTGGGTCGATATATTGTGGTCAAGAGACACAACCAGAAATTTTCAACTCTGACCATATTGGCCCAGATTGGCCCAAATTGGGAATGATGATAATAGAATGTTATGATTATATGATTATATGATTATGATTATTATTAAATCTGACTGCTATCAGCAAAGTTGCTGCGACTACCCGATAATACGCAGTACTTTATGATATGTCTGATATCCAGAGAAATGCAGGCAGGTCGCATTAGTAATTAAGTAATACTTGAACATCGACTGTATTGATACAGGGATTGTAGGACAAACACTTTTGTCACCATCAACTACACCATACCACACTATACCACACCACAATAACATCCAAAACTTCAAAATATAAAATAACATTTACATGTGAGCTCAAGCTAAAGCTGATGCCCAAATCTCTCTCTCAGATTCCAAAACCTTTTCTCCGTAGTTTCTTGTTCCATGCCTTGTATGTAGTAACAGAGAGAAAGGGGGGGAATATCGAGCAACTCCTTCTCCACCAATTTTGCTTCCCGCTTAATCTTATCTTGCCCACTCGCCATAAATTAAGAATGATAAACCAAAGAAACGGAAGAAAATAAAGACTGAATAGACACAATGTAGATACGTTTTTTACCGCCCACTCATCTCCATCCATCCCAACCTCTTCAAAGTACATACTCCCCCGCCGAGAAACACACTAGACCTGCTTTGCAACCCTAAAAGATTGTAATTTCTTTCCCCAACTTGATGTGGTGTAAAGCGCAAGTCCAACCCAACCTCCACCTATACCAGCGATAGCACACCAATATCCATCTATTGCCCCTTTTTCCAAAAACCCTCCAATTTTCTCAAAATCGACGGTGCCTTGCAGATGAAGACATCGCCCATTTTGACACATTTTGATATTGTGCAAAAAGCCATTTGTAGCACTGAAAAGTTGACATCCACCTCTTCTTCCCCAAAACCAAAATCCCGTTTTTGATACTCCAGACCCAAGTCCATTACAACTGTCTCCTTGAGACCACTTCTCCAATATCTTTTGGTTTGTATAGGATCGTTTCCTCCTGGAAGCAAAAAAACAAAAAGTAAAAAATGAATCAAAGACACCGACCGCTCCCTTCGAGCGGCCTAGGATATGGACATCTAGAACACAATGAACAGTCGGTAAGGATTGAGACGAAGTGAAGTAATAAAGAAAACGCCATTTCTCATCCAGGCATCCCCCACCTATTCCAACCCCTTCTCCCCTTTTTTTAAAGTATATTTTGTCTTTCCCCCATTTCGCCATAAAGATATTGAACAAAAACATACGAACAGTAAAATAAGTCCTCGCACACGATTTAAAAATAAATAAGAACAAAACAAAAAACAAACAAACAAACAAGTTGTAGAAACCGTAGTTTCATCCATTGAATACTGTAGGATATTTCGGGGAGAAGGAGAGGGCGGTGTTAGATAACTAGATCCTTACTGAGCCATAAACATCTCTTAGTTTGTTTTTTGAATTCAAGAGTCGAACAAGAATACCAATCATCTCGAAGGAAGATTCGAGATATAATCTCTCGGGTGCGGCAGACCATCATGAACTTGTTGCAGGAGCCCATGACTCTGCATATGGGGCGGAATAATCGGAGACGGGTAATGGGCTACTGTGCTTGGTTCGTAGGGTAGTCCATTCGCTAACAGACGTTCGCTGCTACTTTCGCTGCTGCTAGACTTTCGATTGTTAGCCGACCATGCGTTCTCATCGGTAGTGGCCTGACTACTTTGACGCCTCTTGCTCGAACCGCTTCCACTACTCGTTCCATAGCGACTGATGTCCGCGGTGGAATCGTTGGTCTGCGAGTAGTAGAGACTACTGCTGGGAGTTGTCGGGTTGTACATCTCTGGGTCTGACTGTGTCATCGAAAGTTGTTGGGATGAGTTGTATGCCATTTCTGCAGCGGCGGTTGTGATTTCTTGACTGGTACTGGCGGGGACGCTCATATACGGATTTGCCAAGGGCATTTGGATTGATGATCCGTTCATGTGTTTAGAGCCATTCATGTTTGAGTTCATGAACCCATACGATTGGAGGGAATTTTGAGAACTCGAATTGCCATCGTTGGAGGATCTATACTGTCTGTTCACACTCGGGTATGGCAGAACTCTCTCAGCACCGTTGGTGACATTAAGGGCGGTTTGTGCGACAGTGTTTGTGATGCAGAAATTCTTCGAGTCCGAATCGACCATTGAGCGCATGTTGTAGCTCTGGTATCCATTCTGATTATAATTCGCTTCAGAATCCATATACATAGATGCAGGATGGTTTACTCGTGTGCGTCCATTATTTTGAGCTGGATAGTTCGAGACAGAAACAGGATCTTGTGCTGCAACCGGAAATGTGGTTGAATTTGAAAGATTGAACTCAGCGGGCTCATCGGTAAAGTCGCCATATGGAGAAAGAGTGAGGAATTTGTTACCTTGATAGCCATAATTCGAATAGTTGGGCGGTCGATAGTTCATACTATCTGGACCCAAGTTGACGGTTTGTGTAGTCTGATAGTAAGTGTTAAAGGGTGCATTAGAAGGGATCCGGTACATCGATCGCGAAGCATCATCGAAGCAATCCGGCGAGTGATCTTTTGCTTGCTCTAATGGCATAGCGGTCATCTAGATTGGCCGAGTCAGTATTTGTTGTTATTGTTATGAATAAGAGGCTGGTAGTAAGTACTCTCAAGAATACACATGGTTCTGAGCTGGAATTCTTGCAATGGTAACATGGTCTGCCATTATCTTCGCCGCTGCATCGGATCTTGCGCTTTCGACATCTTTGACACTATAATGCAACTTGATCAGCAAACGCGATCAGAGCTTCGGAAGATTCGCAGTGCAGTAAACAAAGAAGTGGATGACATACCGCTACTTGTATTCTGCGTCTCATTTGATGGCCCGTATCAATGCTTTCCGACCCATGATCACCATTTCGGCCATCGCTATAGCTCCGAGATACGTGCGTATGTTCAGAGCGCTCTTGAGCCACTGGATAGATCTGACCGTGTGGACCGTATCTGCGGAAGATAGGTTCCTCCTCAGAGTAATATCCTCGAGTTACCATCTGAATTTCATAAGTATTGGATCGGATGTCTTTTAGACCTTCATCGGCCTACTGCCTGGCTTACCTTCAAAAATTACTTTGGATATTTGAGGATTTGAAAGTGGTTGGATCAACTTGTGTACAAAAACAAATGTGTCAAGCTTCAATAGGATCCGAGATGAATCAAGGACCTGGGGTTTATCAAATCCTGGGGCTGTCAGGACTCAGGCGGAAAGCAAGCATATTATAATACGTACAACAGATTTTGTAATGTTTGCTATTCGAACAAAGATTTTCCTGCATAAATTTGGTTGAAATATAATCGGAATGTGATCGAAATTTTCAAAGTAAATTTGGCTTAAGTCTTGTCATCATCCAACTTCGGATACGTGCATACAGCAATTTGGAAGATCGACAGGATGTCCGGCACTCCACAAACAGATCTAAAGCTGGGGTATATATTCCAGCTTTCTGGTTGTCTCCAGGGTTGAGGCAATTCTTGGAGCTTACCCTGGTAGGTGTATATTTTCAATTTACGATGAGACTGTCTCGATAGCTGAAACAATTTCACAGCAGGATAAAGAATCCAAGAACCCCAGTAAGCTCACTGACCTCCTCCTATTTGAGTAATAGATAAATTTGGAAACCAATGTAGCTTGCCGTATATCGCCCCCATATGTGTTTTTGACATCAATAACAACCAGGCTAAGGTCAACTTTGCTCCTTCTAGACAGAGCTACATTTCATTGTGAATGACAGATAACGACTATTACGCCTGGTAGCATTGCAAAGAAATCAACAAACAAATCGAGGAAACATGCGAAAGGTATTGTGGAACTATACTTAATGAACTTACAAACGACGTATGACCACCAATACTGGTCATACATATTACGAGCATTGGCCCAATGATTGTACGCAGCCTTACTCCTCAATTCTGTTCCAAATGAAATTGCAACAGGGATAAAATTTGCAATATTGGGGTGCATAATAGTGTGATGCAGGAGAATAAGGTTCAATCAAGTCTATACCAAAACCTTTGGGACTTTAAACCAAACACACCCCTTTCAAAAAAGCACTTTAACCACTGCAATGTTTGTCACTGATTTACATAACCCTTTAAACAGAGATCTCACCTTAGTGATCAATTGAAACAAACAATCTCGAGCAGAGAGCTTTAACGAAATTTTCCCATTTCTAGTTTGTTTGCTTGTGAATAGACAAATTGGGGCTACACCAAGCTATGCTGTAGAACTTTCCTTTTGCAAAAGATGCTAACTCCTCTGTGAACAGACGATAGAAAAAACTTCTGGAAAGGAGAACTGAGGCAACGTTCAGGCAATGCAACGTGACTGATGCGAAAGTAGATTTTAATTGGCCTTCAAGTCAAATTTTGGTACCACAAATAGTGTCACAAATTAGCTGATTCGAGCCCAGAAGCTCGAGAAGGACTGCGTGGCTTCACCTATATCTCATTAAGCCAGAAGCGAAGTTTAAAAGCTCTCTTTCGGTTATGCTGATCGTGAGGCAGTGTAATGGAAAATAGAGTCACACTAATCACTGCAAAGGCCCAGGAAATGCAAGCCAATCATCGATGAGTCCTGGTTCTTTATCCTGTATCTTGAAGCAAGATCTTGGAGAAGATCTTGAAGGATGGGTGTAAGAATTGGTATAAGAATAGAAATAGAAATATAGTGTAAATAAATATGGTTGAAGTAGGGTGTGAGAACATCGGAACTTGATATTTGAATAACTTGCAGCTGTTGTAAATGTTAGTAAAACATCTCCAACTCTAGAAATCAATCGAGCTGGCCCTAAACTCGTAAGGTCCGGCCGGGCCATCGATGCATCAGCATTGAGATCAGATCTTGGCTTTTACATTCCATTCCTCTATTAGATCTTTCATTGTGTGACAGCAAAATCGTTTATAGAGTTGAGGCGGCCGGGAGAGATGATTCCCCGGGGTGGACCATAATATGATGAAGCGCCGATTGGATTTGGCGCTTCTACATACATGCATGTGTATACCATGCAAAACTTATAATAAAGGGTGGCTGCTTTTGTGATTCCCCTGTCCTATACATGTGCCTAGCCGTTGCATGATGAGATAAGAGAGCCAATCAAAACCAGTGTGAGTCCAATGACCTGGTACTGGTTGTCTCTTTGAATAAAAACGCTGTGATATGTTATACTTGTAATATAGTAAGAAACCTTGAAAAGATAGTAAAAGCCACTTTTTTCTCTCGAAGATGAGAGGTCAAGATGTTGCGGTGCCTCGATGGAACCTCGAAGGGAACGCTGTTTACAGATCGAATTAAGAAAGAGGAATCTATAGTACCGACAATACGGCGCAGCCGTGTGATAGGAGCTGTAAGGAGATCAAGATATCGATGTCTTTAGGATGGAGACCTATCAACGATTGAAAAGACAAGACCCTCGGACATTTTGTCTTCCTTCAGCTTCCCTTGTTTGTAGCTTTTCAAAAACAGGGTTTTAGGTTCAATAGGAAGAGCTCACGTACTCAGCAACAGCATATCGATCAACATCTGACATCAAAATTCTTCATCAAGCATGCGCGAAAGATTGGATGAATTCCAATGGTGGCACGTGATATATGAGGGTCAAAGTGTTTCTGTTGTTATATTCATTAGACAAGGAGGAGTCAATTGAGGAATGTATCACTTACTCAGATGTTTCCTTGATGTGTACTTTGCTTGGCTGGTGTCCAAAGACATCTTGAACTTATTCCCAAGTTTGGGACCTTTTTGCTGTGTAGAGGAAATGGAACAGAGAAGGAAGCCGATGGAGTTTAAAAGAAAGTATCGAGTGTATATATGAAAAAATAAGAAACTAACCCGCCATGTTGTCGTGATTGGTCAATTGCTTGCTTTTTTGTTACCCATCCAGTGATGAAAAGTTGATGATCTTTTAATATTTTAGCCGCGGTTCCGCGCTTGTGCGACGATCATTACAACTTATCTACTGCATCACAACTTTACAAGCCGTCATCAGCATTATTCTCAAAAAGAAATTATGAGTGTCCTTCTCGAGACATCTGCTGGTGACGTTGTCATCGATCTTTTGGTCGATTATTCTCCCAAGCTTTGCGAAAAGTAAGTCATGATTCCCAATGTATTCCCTTTGACTTATGAAGTCGCTGAACACATAGATACTAAGACGGTCGCGGTGATCTAGCTTCCTAAAGCTGTGCAAAATCAAATACTACAATTTCTCCCCGATTTATGGCGTTCAGAAGAATTTCTCGTGCCAAAGTGGCGATCCAGTGGGACCGGATTCGAAGGATAGTGACGGCGGAAGTTCGATTTGGGGATTATTGGAAGGACCAGCGAAGAAGACATTCAAAGCAGAATTTCACCCAAAGTTAAAACATGCGGAAAGAGGAACTGTTAGCATGGCTACTGCCCCGTCAACGAGAGATCCGGATGAACGTCTCGCAGGCAGTCAATTCATAATCACTTTGGGGGATGAGCTAGACTATTTGGATGGCAAGGCAGCTATATTCGGCAAAGTGGTGGAAGGATTCGATGCGCTCGAGAAAATCAACGATTCTTTTTGCGATGAGAAAGGACGGCCTTTGGTGGATATTCGGATCAAGCACACGGTTATTTTGGACGATCCTTACGATGATCCAGCAGGTCTTGTCGAGCCATCAGGAAGCCCGATACCTTCGAAAGCACAACTGGCTACGGTTCGCATTGGCGAAGATGATAATTTGGACGAAGTGACAGACGTTGAAGCCGTTGAGAAACAGCGACGAGAGCGGGAAGCACGAGCGCAAGCCTTGACTTTGGAGATGGTTGGAGATCTACCTTTTGCAGAAGTGAAACCGCCGGAGAATGTTCTTTTCGTATGCAAGCTCAATCCAGTTACTACAGGTAATGCCTAACACTATGTATGGATTGTGATTGTAATACTAATTTTCTATTATTAGACGAGGACCTCGAGCTCATCTTTAGTCGCTTTGGCAAGATTCTCTCCTGTGAGGTGATCCGAGAAAAACGGACAGGGGACAGTTTACAGTATTCATTTATCGAATATGAGGATCAAAAGTCTTGTGAACAAGCATACTTCAAGATGCAAGGTGTTCTCATAGATGACCACAGAATTCACGTCGACTTTTCCCAGAGTGTGTCAAAATTATCTGATACCTGGCGAAGCGCAACAAATTCCAAGCGAAGGCACGGAGGCGGCGGTTTTGGTGGCGTCAGTGGATTGGAGAAGAAGAGACAGTATAGGAACGCGGACTATAGCTTAGGACCGAGAAGAGATAAATATGGTATGGTGATTGATGAGAACGAGTTGAGGAAGAGACACGAAAAGGAGGGAAGACCCGACGAGGATAAGCGAGAAAGAAGCAGAAGCCCGCGGGAGGATAGGAGAGATTACGATTCTAGGGATGACAGACAGGATGCTGGTCGCAATAGGGAAGACAAGTACGATGATAGGGACCGGAAGGACAGAGGTAGATACGATGATCGTGATAGATATAGGAGCAATCGTGGCTCGAGGGATGAATATAGGCGGCGGTAGCAGGTCGTGTGAAGGTTGGCAAACCTGGCGTTAGGGGAGTTGCATCGGACGCATCATGGAGGAAATCTCACATGATCCATACCCGAAATTGAACATATTTTTCATTGCTAATTAATGTCTTTACGTTTGAATTTAACTATTTTTACATCTTCGTATCTGCGTACCAAAAGAATACAAAGTCAAAGATTATATTAAAGTCTTTTTGAAAAAAGTCCTTTCCTCTTGCCCTTCCTTTCTAAATCTTTGAATCTATGATAATAAGCCAAGCTTTACACAGCTACCTACCCATCTCATCCCATCTCCCAACATCCACCCATCCACCATCTAATATCCCCCATCCACTCCCATAACCCTCATCTCATGCACAGCATAAATGAAATGCATAATACAATCTCAACCCACACACACACACTCTCTCTCTCTCTCTCTTTCACCTACCTACCTACCTACCTACAAAATAAACTAACCCAATCTAATCTTACTCCTATTTCTCGCTTGTATCATCATGATTCTGTATCTTATACGAGTACCAATTCATTATTCATTATTTATACTCGAGTAAGTGTATATATATATATACACACATTTAATTTTCTTTATAAATACCTAGTATATATACAAATTTATTTATTCGAAGCTTATGGGTTTATCTTAGTTTAGTTTGATCTATCTGAATATTCAGTTAGTATGCTCGAGTATATAAATCCCATCTCATCTTGATATATAGGTATATCGACTCGGAGGGACTTTAGGAGGGAGATGGAGATCTAAAGAAGTAAGGATACTCACTCACTCACTCACTCGATTGCTAGATTGATTTGAACATCCGAACTTTCATTTATTTAACCATCTTCACCAAGAACAAATTTAACAAATATTCTACATCTCAAAGGAATATTATAGGTAGGTATGTATGTATGTTTTACAATCATTGATCAATCATTAATAACTTATCTCATCTCATCTTATCCCAACCTTTCACAACACATTCATTCAATTCCTCCAGTCTAAAAATAAGCTGGCCATTCCAGTCTTCCAATCTTCCAATCTGCAGCAAAATCATTGCCAGGTTTGCCTTTCCGATGGGTATTTCATAATTCTTTTGGGATCCGTCCTCATACCACCGTGGTAATAATAACTCCTGGTCCTTCCTTCATTCTTCTTTACACGCGTTATGCTATACTGATTTTATGTATGCCATACTGCCTTGTCCGCGTTTCTCCTAACAATTGGGTATTGATCTCTTGACCTCTTGACCTCTTGACCCGAGCTCCTAATCTTTAAGTCCATCATTATATCACAACCAAGACATATGTGCTCAGAACCAGGTTGGGGATACCATCAGTAGCTTCCTCTAGGCCAGAATTGATTGATTATTTTCGATTGTTCTTCAAAAACGTCATTTACGCGAGAGTTTCCCACAGAATCAAAAATTATGCGAAGCCTCGCTTTTTTGATGTCCATCACTCAATCCCCCCTTCTCATCGATTCCCGGCGCGTTTTCATTCGTAACACCACTGTAAGCAGGCCTCGAAGAGCCATTCGCTTGGGTGATTTCCTCCGCGAGAGCATCTTCATAAGAAGGCGGAGCATCATCCAAATCCGGGGCTCCTGGCGCTCCAACTTGTGGCGGGTATGCCGGATCGAAAGGTGGTGGTGCCGTGTTGACGGGAGGTCTTGTTGGAATGGCGGGTTGAGCTGTCATGGCGTCGATAAGTGCAGCTGGTGGCTCTATACCGGAGAAGATTTCAATTTTGAATCTTAGAGGGATATTGAGTGTTTGTGCCTGTGTTAATTAGTTTCTATGGCCCTCTGAGTAAGTTGCGATATTTACCTGAATATTTCCTGGGTGACCATAGCCTAATCCAATCCTCGCCTCAAGTTCATATCGGCGAGCAAGATTGCAAGTCAAGAAGGAAGGAGCAACAGTATTTGGTAAAGGGATTGCATCCCATAGTTTACTATCTATGACTGTCTCGGTGCCGATCGGATCTCCTGGTGATCCAATAGGGATCGAAAGTCCAGTCAAACTCATCACCACCCAAGTACTGGTTTCATGCCTAATGACACTCGAAGCTCTTACTTCAGTGGTGCCGAGAAGGTTAACTTGTAATGACATGAGGAACAGGTGCTCAGGACTTGAGTGGGTCTTCCTAAGGAGGATCCTCATTGGCAGAGGCTTATTGCAAGTTAAAATAGGAGGACTGGGCAATCTAGCATCCACTTCTCCTTGCGGAGCCTCATTTGAAAGGGACTGCTTGGGTTTCTTCGTGAATAGACTCGTTTTCACATAGGATTTCCCTCCAGTTATAAATTTATATGGCCGTTTCGCGAACGCCTCATTTGTGGTTTCAGGAGGTCTTGGGGCTTCGATCGGTAGAAACTTAAATCCAATCATTGATCTTCTGTTTTCCTTGAACAACGATGGTCTTTGTACAGTAACTTTGACATAATATCGTATCTCCGCTTCTCCCGGAAATCCGGTGAGTGAGGGAGGTAATGTCCTCTTGACATGACGATATTGCATCTGCTGCATACCCTGGATTCCAAGACCTCCAAATCCACCACCAGGTCCGATTCGTTGCGAAGCCGGGTCATGGCAGCCGTTGTTGATGGGCAATTTGATACGGAATGGGTATTCATGTTGCCCAGCCCTCAATGTGTATGAATTTAAAATGGCTTTGTTGGGAAACACTTCTGCGACCTTGTATAAAACCTTATGATTTTCCTCACAAATTTCTTGTCTATCTCGCCTCGTATAAAGTGCAGGAGGATTAGGACCTTGTGTATATAGCACACTCGGTGGTTTCGATAGACGGGTCTTGCTCTCTCCCTCGAGCTTCACCACTATCTTGCTAATCGCTTCATCGCTCGTAAGGTTTAGGATAACTCTGCCGCTGATAAAATCGAGGTTCGTGTAAAAGGTATGAGGGTTGTCGAGCTGTATTCGAACAGACATTTTGGTGGAGAAGTAAAAGAGGGTATCGGTCGAAATAGCAGTTTAAACATTAAGTAGTATAAAGGTTGGGAAAAAGAGAAAAAACGATAGAAGGCTTTCATGGGTCTTGGACTCTTGGACTCTTGGTAAGTGTTGGATGATTTTGTGGCTGAACAAGTTTCAAGTGCTCAGCCTCGTTGCCGCAGCTTGAGTCTATCTAATTCTTTTGATGTTTCGTAGAAAGAATGCATGCAATTGAATAGGATTGTATCCGAGAAATCCGGAATACGCTCGTCCCGTACTGGACAATTTATGAGGGATTGTTCATTCTTTGAAGAAAGCTACCTGCGCGAGATGAAGCTGTTTTCAGTATGACGCTCAGCTCACCGGGGTTTTTTTGTAGCTTGACCCGGTCCACATCCTTACATCCATCCCTGTTGTTTACTTTAATCAGACTTCACAACTTCATTCTCAATTCTTTCCAAAAGTTTCTCAACAGCAAGCAAGTGAGTAAGCAAATAATCATGGGTTCGGTACAGGTAGAAGAAGTGGCTTCATCCCGATGTCAATATCACGAAATATCAAATATCTTCACTCAACAAACAATCCCATACAATCAGTTTGTGTAGTTATCAAATCGATGTGATTGATGTATTATGTTTTATTCAAGCTTTATGATAAGCACGATAAACACGAGCATAACAGCTGTTCAGAACTCTCTTCAGCATTATCAAACTGCCTTATATCTTCTATTCCAGACTCCCCCAAATTGAATACAGGAGAGACTCTATATATTCCCCTTTTCCAAACGTCTTCAGTGTCACCCTCCACTGGCCTTTTGAGACTGTTTTCTCTTGGAAACGTCAAAGCTGCCAATGAAAGCTTGATGGTGATGTGGACTTTGTAAGCATACTTTGAACCTTTGCAATGTGCAGCTAAGAACGAGGCTCTATTACTCTTTGGTATTACTGAAATTGCTTGGTACTTGAATCTATTTGGTACATTCAATCTGTCTGGTACAACGAGTCCGCTTAGTATACCGGTTCCATCCTCCCTACTATCTAAACCTCTTACAACGACTGTCTATTTTGCGTTTCTATCCTCAGCAGACACATCGCCACAAACGCCGTGAGGATCAAACCCGCACTAACGTAAACCGGTAGACTTGGGTCGGATGCACCGATATTCGCTGCTATCAAAGGAGCACATATTCCACCGAGTCTGTTCAGGGAATGGCCAATACCACAACCAGTGCCTCTACTGGGTCCGGGGAATGTCTCTGGGGTATATGCACTGCATGTTGTTAGTACAACATAACAAACTCCACATTGAAAAGTCAATAAAGTTGATGGACTTACAAGAGAATTCCAAACATAATATTTTGAAAGAAGGATGCTGCACACCCAAAGCCGAGTTGGAAGGTGCTCTCACTGCGGAGAGTGAAAAGAAAGAAAGATATTCCGGTTACCATTGTTGCAATCGCCATTGGTACCCTACGACCTGCCTTGACGACAAGAAAGCAAGCAAAAAAGGAGGCTGGAACGGCAACGGCACTGATAATTACATAGTCCCGATATGTATTGGAGCTATCTCCTGTTTTGTGACCGTTCGATAGGTATTGTGGTAAGAAGGCATTGAATAACGGATATCCCATTCCAATACAAGCCCAAATGAACCATAGTAAAGCCTAGACGGGGTTTATTAGAAACGGAGATTCAGAATACTAGGTGCAAAACTTACAGTATTCAGACCCAATTGAGGATTTCCAAACAATGGAGAGATCTTTTTTTTCGTTTCCGGTCCGAAAGTTGTAATTGCTCGACGAACTTTCACCACAACACCTGACTTCACTTCTTCGACTACCTCTTGCGTCCCTCCTATCTCGTTGAGAATATCTTCAGTGAGCCAAGTCACTGTGCCATTCTTATGCGCCAGTGCACGGACAGATCTCACAGCTTCTGCTTGCTTATTTATCCCAAGGAGGTATTTCGGCGACTCGATGCTATCGAATAACAAACGAACGAGAGCCAGCGCTAAGGTTATACCTCCCAAGATGTATATGAACAACCGCCAACCATGATTTGTGTGGGAACTTGCTCCAATCAAGAGCCAAGCAAGTAGCGAAGCCAGCACTTGTCCTATTGGCCACCATACAGACAACAGTGTTAAGTAACTGCGATTGTTGTGTGGTAAGAATTCAAGCTATTGAGACATTAGCAAGCGGCGCTATGGTATCATAAGTGGAAGCGATGTCTCAATATCTAGAGCTGGATTAGATGGTGAGAGTTCTCACGTACAAACATGGTTCCATCCACGGGAAGGCTCCCCCCCACCCCAACCCCAAGTGCTCCAAGAAGACTGGAAGCAGCGATAAAGCTCTTCGCGCCTGCCAATGACAAGGCAAAAACTCCAGCAATAATCAATGTTGAATTGAATACCAGTTTTCTCCCTTTGATATCCGATCCGATACCCCACCCAGCGGCGCCAAGTGACAATCCAACATTCAAGGAGAGAGTGGCATATCGAACGAATTGTTCCGTGACCCCAAAATTGGTAGATAATGAAGGAAGGATCAGTGCTACTCCCTGGAGCCAGAGACTATTTTTTGTCAGAATCTACCAGTAGCAGCGAGTGAGATGAGTAGTTTACTTATCAGCAGCCCACCCGATACCACACAATACAAACAAATACCATTGATACTTACCCATACCAATATCACTGATTGCCAGTTCCAGAATTTTGAACTTCACTATCGAAAAGTTAGCATACGTCTTATCTTTAATGACTTATGCTACCTCGATTAGTACACACGTTCTGAACCTGAAACCGTCCCCGACCCTGTTTCTTCAATCTCATCTCTCAGATTTTTAATAGTCCAGGGAATTCTGGACGTCAATTCATCGGTACTCGTTTGACCGCTTGCATCAGATGATGACAAAATCCCACCAGTCTTTTGAGTATTCTGAGGGTCCTCAATTGATCGATCATACTTTTTGGGGATATCAGGATACCGATTTGCATAAGCTAGAGCTACAACCGCATCTAGATATTCGGCTCTAGGTTCCCCAACTCGGAGCCCGAGAAACTTCATTTTCGCTTTGGGCTGAAGTTTTTGTGCAAATACTGTTCGAGAATGGCGCTTTTGGTTGATCAGGTATGCGATCTTGTGAGTTGAGGTCGCTGTGCAAAGAACGCTCGGGATTTAGCGCTTTTTGGCTGATCGAAGTATGTGATACAGTGAGTTGTTATATGACACTTTCACGTTAACAATGCGATTAATGTGTTTTGGATACTAAAATTGTATTTAGATTGATGTTACTACCCGAAGTCGAAGTCGTTATTGGTGATTGTTTTCGTCGGATAACATGATGGAGGCGAGTAGGTATGTTCTGTCCTTGTTGTTTTCTTATGTATAAATGCTATGAAGAAAAGAATTTGAGGAGAATGCTTTATTTACTCTAGTGTACTCGTGTATATACAGGATTTCTCCCGTTCGATCAGCAACGTAACTAGTCGAGTATATACTTTGGCCTCCTTCTAACCACATATACTTTTTGGTGGATTGCTAAGTTTAACGGAATCTTCCAGCATCACTTACACTATATGGCATATTGAGGAAGGTAAGTGCACTTTTGAGGCTGGTTAAGTGTTTTCACGCGTAAAAGGAAGAAGGCGCGTCACACACACCTCAAGTTTATTATATATTGACTGGTTATCTCTTACCTCAGACAATTTCCCTCTTGGAGGGTGGTTGTGTGGTGAGGTAGGTGGGTGGGTCAAGTGGGGGGGGGGGCTAGTAGGCCTACGATTAGCTTCCGATACATCCTTTAGAAATGATGTCAATATCAAATTCCCTCATTCCGAAGCGAGATCCTTGGCACACCAGTATAATTAGTTTCCAAAATGACATTATATCAAATCGATCAACGGTGAAAGCTTGGTTAAAAGTACTAAACAAGGCACCGAACCAAAGAACTTGGTCGACCCCCCCTTATGATCCTCCTCATGATCCAGCCACCCAGATTGAGGATAGGGGCACTCGATTAGCGCACCTCCACTTCTTGTCTGGATAGAACAGAAACCTTGAGTTGGAGCTATGTTCTAAGATCATCTTGATTTTCTGCTTGTTCTTTTTCTTTCAATTTGAAGCTATTAAATGATCAAATGTATGATGTACGAGATCCCAGTTCTATTATATCCTAGCCGGTATCCGGTATTCTTTTACGTAGGTATCCATGCTCGAGTATATCACTTCGAGAATCCAGGTGCTAGTGAACAGACAGACTATCAGATACACTAAGAATTCAGTACCTACAGCAGACATCAACATTCTTTTGTCGTCTTTCGATTAGATCCTCATCCATATTTTGTGTTCTCTTCGACGCAAATTAGCTACTTCATATATATGAGTATACATATCTTACTCATAATGTATTCTTACCTTACCTCATCGCATATCAAATATCAATCCCATCTCTCCTCTTATTGGCTACTCGTATATCTCGAAGCATATCATATTGTTCTAATGTATATCAAGATATATCAACATAAAATCTAAAATAAATCAGAAGATCTAGATATAATAACAACGTACTCGAGTAATCAATCTATATAAAACTACAGTATATTGTAGTCTCCAGTCCCCCACTCTATCAATTAAACATGGAACTTCTGCTTTATACTTATGCCCCGCTGGCGGTAACAGTATAATATTATATCAGACGTAATACGAATGTCCATCGACATCATTTCCTTCCTATCCCCTCCAATCTTCTCCTTTACATTGTGGTCCCCTCCTCCCTTCTCCAGATATATCATCATTATTTATCACTATATATATATTGAAACCCCCATCATCAAATAGCAATCGCAGGAATGGCCATACTGCAGCATCCAATCCTTTCATCCTCAAGATCATCCTCAGCAGCTCATCTTAAGACTTAACATGCATACATACCTATATATTTTACAACCACGAAAGATAGTACCAGTTGTTCAATTTCAATTTCAATTTCATACACATATATATATACAGTCCAAGGAAAACGGTAAACCCTTCTGTATACTCGAGTACTGCAACTTGAATTGCGTTGGAAAGTTTAATTTCCTCCTTACTCGAGTAGTTAGTTAGGACCTAACCTGCACTTATACAACCTACAACCGATATACCGGTACATTACTATATCTCGAATTGCTATACCTGTACTCAGATTTGATTTCATTGCCTCTCTTCTTCATCTTTCGTAACTTCGTTGAGGTTATTTATACACATAATTATACTATCCGTCATGTACGAGTACAGTACGAGTACAGAACATGTCGATATATCTCATTTACTCTACTGGATGGATGAGTGATTGAATGAATGAATGAATGAATGAATGAATGAATGAATGAATGAATGAAAGAATATATAAATAAATAAATAATATAATATAACTCACCATCGTAAGAACACCAATTGCAATGACATACTTCTTTATTTTCCTATCTATCTTGGAATTCAAATACACCAATCTATCCACCCATAATCACTTACTTGCCTACCTATAAACAAACAATCATCCAACCGCTCTAGTAATAAAACTACTTCAATCTCTTCCAATCCACCTCCTTAACCTCCTCCATAACCTCTTCACCAAACATCACCAACCCCCCTCCCTCCTAACCCTCTTCTTCCCTCTTCCCTCTCCCCCCCTCCACAAAACTTCCTCTTCCTTTTCCACTTCCTTTTCCTTTTCCTTTTCCTCTCCTCCTCTTTCCCCAGCTCCTCCCCAGCTTTAACCCAACCCAGCTCTTCGTCCTCAGCTCCAACCCACCCAATCCCAATCCCAATCCCAATCCCAATCCCAATCCCAATCCCAATCCCATTCCTATTCCTATTCCCATCTCCCACTCCCATCCCCTCCTCCCCCCCTCTCCCCGTTCCCCTTTCCATTTCCCTTTCACTTTTCATCCTCTTCTCTCTCCTCTCCCCCTCCTTCTTCCAACTTCCAACTTTCAACATTAAGTTTATCTAATATCATAATCTCCTTGATACATCAACATCAACATCAACATCAACTCCAGTACTCAAGTACTCCAGTACTCCAGTACTTAACAATTAATCAAGCCCTATTCTCTATCTCCTATTCCCTATTTCCTATTTCCTATTTCCTATTTCCTATTTCCTATTTCCTAATTTAACATCAAAACGCATAATTATATCATTACCAATACTTTCAATTTAATTCAGGGATTTTATTTTTGTAATACCGGTATTCTACAATATTACTCGAGTACAAGAAACAACTTTTCTTTACAAATAATAATAATATTAGTATAAATCTTGTAGTTGTAAAAATAATCTTACAATTTTATATAACTTTTTGAAAAGTGATTCAAAAAGGTATACGAGTAATAAAACTTTATTAAATTCAAACTTATAAATTGATTTATAAAAATAAACTAATATTCAGAATTAATTATAAATTTAAGACTCAAACTCAAATAACACACAGTCCAGTCATACACCATCATCTAATCACACAATTTCAAACTCAGATCAGAATAAATTTAAATTGTCCATTTCATTTCAGTTCAAAATTCATTTCGATTCACTACATATCATATCATGTCAATGCTATTCACCCTCTCCTCCTTTCCTCCTATGCCTTTCTCTCCCCCCTCTCCCTCTGCCCTTTCTCTCATCTTCTCCACCCTCAAATTTCAGTAGCTGCCTCCTGTGATTTGACCATTCCAACAAGGTAAACCATCACACCGTACCGTTCATGCCATTTGATCGAATACTTCTTTCTCAATCCATCCATCCATATCCGCCCCCTCCCCCCCCCATAATTTCCCTATACTACATAGGGGATATGTGTGGCACTGATCTGTGTTCTTACACAAAGGACGAAGGTATTACTTCATTCTCCCTCCATCCAATCCATCCATACCCTCCTGACCAATCCCATTCCATCCCACCATTCCCTTCCCTTCTGTAAGTCTCCAAACCAACCAAATATTCCTTCCATCCAGCCAAAGTAACCCCTTATTCCCCAACAATCCATCCTGTTATATGCACACTACCAGAATTAGAATAGGATATACCATTTAAACGTTTGTGTTCCCGTATGCTTCTTTCGACCTTGGTAGATAGGTATCGGTATTGAAGAGTTTCCGAAAAAATTTGACAAAGGAAAAGAAGAGTGAAGTAGTTGGAAAGAAGAGAAATTCGATGTGTCTTCGTGCTCGTCCATCAGTCGTATTTATTGCATGCGTACGTGCATTTCAATCATCATGGTCCATCCAGCCTCCAACTTTCTACCTCACGCAGTCTGTGGTTCCGGAACATCGATATCTGGCGAATAAGTATTACTTAAGCCTGCGCTTTCTGGTGCCTGATTTGTCCCCGTATTCGCACTCTCTCGTTTCGATACCCCAGATACACCACTATCACCCTCGTGAGTTTCACGATCAAAGATGATGCCTTGTATATTGAGACCATGCTTATCGCTTGCCGGAGTTTTCAAAGCTTCTTCTTCGACTTTCTCATCAAGATTCATGAGTGCTGGAGGACGATGTCGCAATTGTCGAGCTCTGGCAAGGGAGATGGTCTTTTGTTGGTAAGTCGTGGTTATAGGTTTGGAATCGTCTCGGTCGATAGTAGCTTTCATCAGTGCGGCCATCCACAATCTGCCCTGTTTAATATTTGGCACTGCGAAGTAATGTACAGTGGGTTTCGTAAAATTGACGGCTTTCGAAAGACCAGTTCGTGGTGGTACGAGTTTGAAGATAAACATAGAATCGCCACCACTTTTACTTAATGAGGATTCCGGTTCAGCGTCTGCCTCCGCTGATGCAATGGTTCCTTGCGCATTAATCGGGCTTGTAGGGCTGTTCGTTGCACCTGTCAAAGTGGCGTGGAGACCGGTGAGGCGGTCAGTGTCGGCTGGTAAGACTCGATGGAATGAAATGTCGATCAATCCCTTCTCCTGTTCATCAGTCTCGGAATAGTAATAAGACAGCCGGCGGCCCTTCAATATGAAAAGTCGAGGCTTCCATGTTGTCATAAGATTTGAACTTTTCTTCTTCATCCATCCGCTGTAATCTGCACCAACCATTTGTTCCTGAGGCGTTTTCTTTTCCAAACCCCGAGTATAAGCACTAGTTTCCTTCTTGGACTTCTTCCTAGATGTCTTTGGAGTAATCATAGCCAGTTTATCGTCTGGCGGATCTAGTTCAAAGCTCGGGCCACCCGAAGGTGTGCTTGAACCGGTCCTTGATGGCGATTGAAGTGGAGATTCTTTTGTTGACGTTGATACAGTCTCTGTTGGTGAAGTAATGCGAGATTTCTCACGACCGGTGACAGCGTCAGAGATTGCGCGCATACTAAAATGGCTAGAAGGTCCTGTCGGCTTGACAGGTAACAACCAATCGCTAGGATGACCTTGTCGAAGACTGGGCGATTTTGGAGATTTTGGCGACATTATGTTATCCATAGATGTTTCTGGTTGAAGTCTGGTGACAAGTGGAAAATCGTCCTTCGGGGGTGGCACTGGTCGAGGAGGTGTATTAATAGAACTTTCTGAAGGAGTTCTGCGACGACCATTTACAGATAAACCGTAGTACTTTTGTGCTGCCGAAGGCGGTGTTGTTTCTCTCGTCGAATCAACACTACCAAATCTGGAATGTCTTGAATTTGTTGTTGCAGTCCTCAATCTTTGCTCATCGGTGTAACTCGAATTTCTAGAGTGTCCAGCTGTGCTACCTCTCTTACGTAGAACGTTTCTCTGCCGACCATCCAATTCACCACCCGAGAAATATCCCCGGTCTGTATCTAAATTAGTTAGGGGCTCTGTAATTTCATGTGGCTGATCTGCAGATCCTTTGGTGGTAATTTCTGTGAGACCAGCAGAGGATAAGGGGCGATTCGAAGATAAGGGACGTTGAGATATGGCGGATGTTGCATCACCAAGGGACCAATCTTTGTTAAATGACGCTTGCTTTCTGTGTGTAGATATACCTTGGCTTTTGTCTGCTGCAATGGCACCCATAAGTGAATTCGTGGTACTAAATTCACCAACAGAACTTTGTCTCGAATGATGTAAATCCCTAATTGATGCTGCAGAAGGTCTCTTTTCGCCTGGGGTTCTCGGGCTGCCTTGTGAAGTTCCGGGAGATATTGGAGATGAGTTTGTAATGGAGTCGTTTCTAGGGGCACGTTGATGAGATTGTCGGATGTTGTTTGACGATGATCCAGGTCGGTTGCTCAAACTGAGGTTTCTTGGTAGCATTGTTGATGAAGTAACACTACGGCTGCGATGACCACCATCCTCAGAGCCAATCTCACTACCAGCATATGTACCAGTGTTCCTTCTGGTCGGAGTTTCACCATTTATTTCGTCTTGAAGGGCTTTTATCTTCTGCCAGGTTTTCAGTCTTCGTCCAACAGAACCTAATTCAAATTCTTTCAAGAAAACTGATGTTTGATCCATGCCTAAGAGAACATCCCCACTGATTTCTTGATCTCGAAAAACTTCACAGTGCTTCTTCTCAACTCCTACAGTAAACAAGTATTCTGCCACTTGCTCGGGTGTCCATATTGTAACCTCTTCAAGTGTGTGTAATTCTTCCTCTTCTTCGTCCGTTTCCTCGCCATTGATATATGATAATCTTGCATCCGGCTGGTGGCCACTATATTCGCTTCCCGAGTCGTTGATTGTTTTTGGTACGGAACCAACAATGTGGTTCATATCTGTTATATGCTCATCAATCACACTCAAAGTCTCATTCATGACTGGACTATCCTGGCCGTGGGCATGGGATTTTGCTGCTGAGCTCGCACTCACTGCACTCAATGGCGGTATTATTTTTGCGGCAGCATTCATTGGAGGTTCAATCGAAGTCAAAGACGAGGAAGATTTGCCGGGTGACAAAATATCTGGAATAACTTCCGGCATTTCGAGCAGAGGTGGAGATTCACCGGGGGCGCTTTGCGCAATCGATTGGAGAGATTGTTGTGGCAACGGAAGTTGGAGAGCTCCTGGTTGAGATATCGAAACAGTCGAAAGATTTGGATGTGAAGGGGATCCACGAGGGGCTAACCGGGTATAGACTATTATGATATATCAGTCTCATTGCTCAATGCGACATCATTCCCGCCTAGGAAGCTTACCTTCGGGGAATAAACCACTCGATCCGTTTACCAAACTCCTACCAAGGTACCATCCGTCCCCAAATTCGTCATCTCGCTCTATTAATTCGACTCGGTCTCCTTTCGATAAACTGAGCTCATCAGAACTGCGGGCAGGGAAATCGTCTAGCTGAATCATCAGTGACAGAACTCCCTTACATGACGATCTATTGGAGCTATTTGATATTCATATCTATCATTCCTCCATACCCCATAGCAATCAAGGTGGAATTGACTTACGAATTACAATCAACGTCGATCCAGGTTCTGGTCGTATTGCATCTGGTCGATGATGCGACTCCATTGTCGTTGGAAGTTCCATCTTGCTTGTTCAATTCTGTTCGCGACTCCTCGAATCTTTCTTGTCCTCCTTCGCTATTTACAAACCAACCATCGGAGCTTATCTATGCTTTCAATCTTCGATTTAGTGTATGCTTAATGGAATCGGTTTATTGTAACAGAATGGAATGCTCGAAAATCGAAGGTCTGTTGACTCGGATCGTAGTTGCAAAGGTGTTTCCGAGTTGGGGTTGCATTAACGACAACAAGAGTGAATTTGTTGTCGCAACAAGGGTGGCAGGTATAGTACCGTATAGTACAACGAGTGATGTGTGCACGAAAGGCAAGAGAATAGACGCCTGGTAAAGTGGATTGGGAATGTTTTGGATCAGGGGGACATGATTGAGTTGTGCAACATAAGATATAAATTTGAAAATGGGTTGGCGGGATCATCCAGTGAATGAGTGAATGATGTTATCGGGTGAAGTAAGGTGGATTGATTGAAGTGTAATAATAATAGTGAAAATGAGTGGTAGTGGGAGGGGTTGAGAACTTTTAGATGAGAGCAATGCAATGCAGAGAAGGGAAGAGGAAGAGAAATGGACCTAGTATATGATCTGGAAATTCTATAGATAATTCAGCAGGTGGAGTCGAGTAAGGTAGGTAAAGGTAAGGTAAGTAAGTAAGTAAGTGAGTTTTTGCCAGTCTGATTCTGAGTATAGTTTGTGAGTTCTTGTGAGATAGATCTGTCTGTGTTGAGTCTAAAAAGTTCTCCAGCCGTTTTCGGCACCGGATAATAAATGAGTGCTTTGGGTAAGTGGGTGATATAATCTACGATAACCTTACCAATTTACCTACTAGGACTTTGCCGCCGTGAACAGCCAACCAAATCCATGATTTATTCTATCAAGTTGATCCCCCGGCCCTAATGTTATATCAGATACTCTGTATACAAGGAGGTATTGATTCTCTACTGTACTAGACCATGTAATGCAATGCAGGTAAAAGGCAGACAGTATTGTATTCTCTCCTTGTAAGTACCACATAAACAAACATTCTCTAGACTAATTGAAATATATAAAATTATATCTACTGAGTGTACCGGTATATCTATCCATTTGAGGGGGTATTCCTAATTCTAAATCCCCCAACCGAATCATTGGCTATCATCGATCTTTTCTCTTTCATGCTGCACGCACTGGTTATCGGTACAGGGTACTTCTCTATCGATGCCGAACCTTCCCTACAACGACCAAATCTATATTTGAATTTTGTTGATACATTTATGTAGTTTGCAAAAGTAAAGAAAATATCAGACATCATTTAGGCAACCCCTCGTTCGTGGAGACTTCATATCATAGTAAGGTTATGAGACAGGGCTCGATTTCCTTTCTTCTTCTACAAAACGAACCTCCTTGAAAACTACTAGGAACGAGGGCGTGGACGAAGGGCGAAGGCGAAGGCGGAGAAGGCGAAGAAGGCGAAGAAGGCGAATGCGAGGGAACGAGGTGAAATTTAATACATCAAAAGAAATCTAATGCTTTTCAAGTCTACCTGGAATTGTTACCAAAACGGACTCAATGAATTCTCAACAACAACGAACCTGAGACATGCGCCGGCCGCCCGATAAAGATGGCCATTCTGCCATGACCGAACGAGACGTTGTCTCTTCTAATGCCACCTTGAATGCCTTTTTGGGCGGGTCTCGACAAAAACCTTGGATGCTTGCAGGAGGGGCTTCAGTACGACCGACTCCACGACGTCCTAGCATTACAACACCATCCGATCAGAGCAATTCTAATAATACTCAAAGGTACGACATATTCAATTCACTGTGGATTTCAAAGTCAGAAATTCATGCTATGGGCTAGGTATCCTGGTCCTGTTTACAAATACTGTTTGCGACCTTTTCATGCCTGTTGATATCAGGCAGGCATTTATCACATACAAACAAAACTCCATTGAATGATTTGAGGCTAATTACAGTGAATTTTTCCAGAGGGTCGACCGCAAATCTACTTTCGCCAGTAACAAGTAACGAATCATCAAGTCCCGGATTGGCGAACAATCATACGCCTCTTCATACTCCACACCCCGCCGCTGTCTCCGGCACGCATGGTTCTCCGAGAGGGAATGCTGCAATCGCAACAAGTCAGGCTCTTCAAGACGCATATACTACACCTTCAAATACCGATATAGTCCAGCCTCAACTTTCCCCTGATGCATCGAGAGGTGAAGTCGACGAACCTCGCACAGTGGCAGTATCTGCAAGGTCTCCTTCGGAAGAAGCCCCTCAACTGCAGACCCCAGCAAATATCGCATCAACCCAAAGATCGACCAATGATATACCCTGTAGACAATCTTCAGATCAAAATAGAGGAAACCAAACACCACCCGTTACAACAGGAAATTCAGCGAGTTCACGCACGATGCAGGGTACTGTAGATCAGGCATCATTTTCTCATGCGCAATCACATCCGCGACGAGCATTACCACCCACGATGCCTTCCTTGAAACCCCGCGTTGCATTGCTAAAGAGTTACATCGAACATTGTGGGGGTATGGCCAACTTGAATTCTGCTCTCGAAAAGCCAAGGTTCAGCTTGATGGAAACTGCCTGCAATGCTGAGGATGCTTTTTATGTCGCATTACATCAACTGTTCTGTACATGGGATACTAGTCGTAGAGACATTACAGGTTTGCCTGGGCTCCCAGACTCAGCGACTCTGGCTCTTGCGTTTCGGATATTGGGTCAGCTGATACGAGACAATGAGGCTATGGCACCAGCTCATCTTAGATGGTTTGCCAAGTTCCCGAGTCCATTGGTGGACCTGGTAACAAACTCGCAACCATATCGGCGCACTATTCGAGAAGTTGGAATATTTCTCTCAAATTTGGCTTCTGATTGGCCAAACTTAACCAAGCTGTGTGCTGTTAGAGGTCATCCTCCGTTGGTTGATGAGCTAGTAAATCGATTAGGGCTGTTATCACCCACGTTACAAAACATTGTATTCACTGCGATGAGGCGGAATCTTAATATTGTGGATAACGAATTTGGTAATCAAATGGAGAGGGTGTTTGAACAAGATAGAACCGAACACAGAGAACTCGCTGCTCGATACAATACTTCTCACCCACCCTCGGAGAGAGAGATCAAAGAAAGGACTAAAATCATAGTAGATAAATACATGATGATTTCACAGAAATTGCGTCAGAAGAAGCAGATGGCACCGCAACCTTCAACAACAGCACCGGCGCCGGTGCCTTCCTCGAACACTTTTGGGACGGGTCAGATCCCAGTGACTACAAACGGGCCGTACTCCTATCCAAACCGTCCTGCTTCAAATCTCAACCAAAGTGCCAGTCGTCAACAAAATGATGCCCCAAACCGTCAAATTGGTCAAAATTTAGGCCAAATACGAACATCATTCACTGGACCACCGTTACTTTCAACCATGACGAGCGCGATTGGCAGCCATCCAAACATTGCGCCTCGCGCGAATGCAGATACGCCTAGTCCAATTCCTATGCAGGGTCTATCAATGGGGTCGCCAATGCAACACGGGTTTCCCTATTCGTCACCAGTTTTGCAAAGTAATGGTACTCAGTTTCCATCGCCTGTCTTGCGGAACAATGGCACTCAATCACCAACGATCATTGCACAAAACCAGGGACTTCCTCAAGGACAACACTATTATGATCCACGATTCGACCCTAGACAACAAGCGCATTACCCACAACAACTACTGCAACAACAATTTGGTCAGCAAGGACAGTACGGCACAAACAATCCTCAACAAGCGAGTTTTCAGCAAATTCAACAAGCTCAGATGCAACAACAGCAACAACAACAGTGGCTACAGCATTCGTCTGTATTACCACACAATCCTCAGCATCATACGTTACAGCAGCAGATATCTCAGCAGCAGACATCTCAGCATCATACGTTTCCGCGGCAGATATCTCAGCATCAGATACCTCAGCAACAGCAAGCTTTCGCAATGCAGCATCGTCCTCATCTGAGAAGAGATAGCAATCTTGGCAATGGTCAGCAACAACAGCAGCAAATTTCACCAAGAAATGTCAGTAGAAATGGTAGCAGAAATAACAGCGTTTCTAGTGAACATGTGCTCCCATTGGCCAACGGTTCTGTTCCTATGCAACATTTCCCCCAAGGGATGCAAATACCACCCTGCCCAAGACCAATACCTATTGAAGAGCAGCGCCGCATACATTATCGCATGTCTGACCCGTTGAAAAGACCTATAATTCCTCCCCTTGGTTTTGTTCATCCCCAAACGATTCCAGATCCAGACTCAAATACCCTCCATCAATCACATGTTCGCAGTCCTCGCTTGGTCACTGTCGACGTTCCTAAACTTGGAGGTGACGACACATCTCGCAGATTTTATCAATTTGTGAAGGATTTCCCCATGGCTCCAAGGAAGATACCCTTCGAGCTTACACTCAATAAGTTCACATTTCAAGTCCCCACTGATGCATTAACGCATATTTCTCGCGATAGATTGATTGGCACAGATCCTTTGACAATCCGTGAGGTCAGATCTAAATCTCTGCAATTCCGATTAAGATGCGTGTCGACAGCCGTAGATACAGAAGAATTTCCGGTTCCGAGTTGGGTAATTTCGGATACTGTGTGGCCTGAAATGATCTTTATGGATATCAACAGCAACGATTACTATCCAAATACCTTGGAAATTCGACGAAAAATGCACCATGGGAAAGACCTACCGATCGATATTACACCTTATATACGTGCTGGAACCAATGAGATTACAATATCGATGCCCAAGTTGACTACAGCAATCAAACAGAGGGAATACTTCGTTGCTGTTGAAGAAATTGAAATTTTACAGCATGATGAAATTATGGATATGTGTAAGGAGCAAAGTATCTCTGCGGCAACAGTCGTGGAAGAAATCAAGAAGAAGCTTGCAGGCCCGACTGAGGAAGACGATGAGTTACTAATAATGGCCAGCGATCTTTCCATTGATCTTACTGATCCTTTCACCACAAGAATCTTCGAAATCCCTGTCCGTGGTAAAGATTGCCTGCATCGAGAATGTTTTGACCTCGCAACCTTCTTATTGACACGCGTGAGCAAACCGAAACGACCAGAACAGCCTTCGTTGGTTGACGGTTGGAAGTGCCCACTTTGCTTCTTCGACGCACGTCCATACAGCCTTCAGTATGATGAATTCTTGGCCTCTGTCAGAGAGAAATTACAGAAACAAGATAATCTCGATGTTAAATCAATACTGGTTACGGCGGATGGTACCTGGCGGCCAAAGCCAGAGCTGCACTCTTCACACAAACGAAAGTCGACCACCGGTGGAGATGGCGATGATGATGATGATTCGATAGATGAAGATAGGCCAAGCAAAAAATCTACACATGGCGTCAAGACAAGCGTGGTGGAAATAATTGATTTGGATGATGATTAAGATCTCTTTTACGAGTTACGTTATGATTACAAGCGAATACATGGGCACAGTATGGCGTGGAGTTTGGCAAAAATAACCATTTATTGGTTGGATGGATTAGCTTCTTTGCATAGGTGCTTTCACTGTGGCGTTGAGTTTTATGGGGGGGAAAACGAATGGAAAACGAGGCGATTCAAACGTTTGGCGTAATCTTTTTTTGGCTTCTTTCATGGCAAAGCAGGAGTACAAAGTTTGAACATCTTACAACATAACATGGCTTTGGCGTATCATATGTTGAGATTGGCTGGGGCTTTGGATGGGATGGAGTGGCATGGTATGGCATGGCACTGCTTTATTTTTTATGAGAAAAATACTTTTAAGATGGATGTGTACAATATATCTTGTGTTGAGAGCTGAGACTTTTATTGCATCTTTCGGCTGAGATGATAAAATTAAGACTCAATTGATAAATATTGTTAAATTGATGATGAGTGGGAAGTGATGATTTTGATATTGATATTGATATTTATATTGATATTGATATTAGTGAGATGAAGTTGCTCATCCATTCAGTAATAAATACACAACACAACGTAAACAACTAGCCAGTTGCAGGAGCAGCTGCAGCAGCATCATCATTCATCAATATACTATATTCGTTATCACTTCATTGCCTCTTCATCACCCTTTCTCGATCCATTCATTCTCGATTCATTATCCATCATTCTCTAATTCTCTCTATACTCATCCAAATCCTTTTTATATAATTATCCATCTAGTCATCTATCTACTCACCTAGTCACCTAGTCTCGCACTACTCACACCTTGTACTATTTATTTCTACTTTTCTATTATTCTACTTTTCTACTCTACTTTTCTATCATCTTATCATCTTATCTTCAGACTTCAATCTTTAATTTCTTATATATTTGAGTATACTCGTATGTACTTGTATATATATGCATACTACTTCCTTCGTACATTGATAGCGGTTTAAATTTTATACTTATACTAGTAGTATAATAGTATAATAGTATTGTGTAGATGTATAGACGTATATCTAATTTATCTTATAAGTATATAAGTATATAAGTAGATAAATAACCCAACAAACTACCATCTCAATCCAATCCAATCTAGCGCTCTCCTCTTAAACTTCTTTTCGCAGGCCAGGGTTTCATCTTGTATCTTTGCGAGTAATATCTACCGAGTATAACAACTTTTCCACTTCTCCCTTATATTCCTCTTCTTTTCCTCTTCTTTTCCTCTTCTTTTCCCCTTCTCTTCTCCTTTTAAGTTGTCTTTGTCTTTATCTTTCTCGTTGGCTTCTGCTTCTGCTCTACTGTCTACTGTATAAATTCATTCATTAGTTATGTCATGTTATGTTATGTATGATATAGCACGGCACAGCACGGCATACTGGCAGACTGCTACTACTGATTATTATCAACTGACTAATCAAATAGTCAACGAATCAACCAATTGCTATTTTTGCTTTGTGTGATATGTTGTTTTGAGTTGTTTTGTATAACTTGTATTGTATAATATCACATCAGATACACTACATCTCATCTCATCTCATCTCATCAAAATCTAGACAAAAAATACAGAAAACAATCGCATCGCATCACAAGAACATACTCGAGTATATATATTACGCACACACATATACGCGCAACTCATATCATATATCATATACGAACGATATCGAAACCTCCCACGAACAAATAGTATGGTATGAGAGTATGAGAGTATGAGACTATAAGAGTATGAGATTATATAAAAAGATCACTAGAAAGATAATATGTGAGGGTTTCCAGGCGCGCGTCTCGATGCATCAAAGGATTAGAAAGAGATTTCGGCTTGTGAGCAATCCCAGTAGAACAATGTTTCTCGAGTAGAAACTCTGTAGTAGAAACTCTGTATATTGAAATAGCACTTGCTCTTACTAATCTAATGTAGTTAGGGCCATGGACGTCACTTTCGAACTTTCATCATCGAATGCCATATAGACTCTTGGTCTCCTTCCCAACCCTACTTATCACTCCTAGATATATCGGCCGCGAAAATCAGATTAACAGCACTCCCTCTCCCGCAGAACTACTCCCCACAGACAAAAGTCATGAGCCAAATATCACAAGAAATCCCCAATCATAGACCAATATCGCAGCATCAATGGGCTCAGATGTATGTAAGGAAGTAGAGATCTATTCATCAAAAAGTATCAACGCCTCATTTTCCATCCCAATGCGTACACTTTCAAAGTCCTATTGAGAGTAACCCTGCCGCATCATATGTCATTCTTTTCGTACTTGCCCATCATCGATCCTATCATACAATGCTTCCTCTGCTGTATATCCGTATGCGACCCAACCCATTGTACACTTTCGTCGTCATTAAAGGTTTTCCTCCATCACACCACCCACCATCACTCTTCGCCCGTTGAACCTTTCTCAATACCAGCGTTCCTTCCCAACCATAACTCATTCATTACAAACTACACACAACCCAATTAGCACCATGCATATCCATCTCCCACTCCCACTCCCCCAAGCCATCGAAAAACACTCACGGAGGCAAAAGATAATCGCTCCAACTGCTCGAGAAAAACGCCACGGCAATGCCAAAAATCCCAATACTCCTCACCACGCTAGCATTCTCCGGTGCCGTCAATGCCGTATATGTGCTTGCGACATAACCCTTTGGTTGAGCGGTGCGACGAGCGGGGCGCTCGACCATTACACGTTGTGCTTTGGGTGCCATGTTGGTAAAAGAGCTTGCTATGTGAACTTCTTGGACTGGCGAAGGGGTGTGGTTTTCGTCTTTCTGATTATGTTGTGAGGGGGGAAAGGGAGCGGTTTTATTTTTTTTAGTGATAGGCGGATTTGATAGGAAGCTTGAGCAATCTTTGATGTGGTGGTGATTGAGTTTTTGGCAATGATGATGATTAGTAAGCACGAGGGTTAAGAACGTGACTTGGCGAGGAATTATGGAATGAGATGGTTTTAAGACGATATTGAAGAAGAACATTTATCATGAGAGAAAGTACTTTGTTTTTTGCCTACAATTAGGTTGAATTTAAGCTACCTTACAAAGATCAATCCAGGTCCAATAAATTGCATGTCTTGAGGAAGAATCGATTTCAAACTCATCATTCATTATCCTATTGTATTGTACTCGAGTATCAATACTCGACCTCTTCTACACATTCCCATTTCAAAACTCTACTCTCTACTCGAGTATAACAACCAGACATTAATACAAAGACAAATAAATTCGAACATACACTGCTACTGTACTGCTACATTTAGATCCGGATCCCGACAGCTACTCGAGTAGGGTAGACCCCCTTTTATATATTTTACAACTGTATTCCAATATGGCATACCGGTACAGTATTCATAATTACACTGTATCCATTGTTATTCTACTCTATTCGAGTATTACGAGTATTACGAGTAGGTAGGTAGGTAGCTAGGTAGGTAGGCAGGTACTTTTCATATCAGTATCAATATCAATATCAATACCACTCACACTCACTCACTCACTCACTCTTCGAATCTTCATCTTCTATACACAAGTCCAAGTCCAAGTTCTACCGAGTATCCGAAAAACTCAACTCAACTCCACTCCTCCACTCCTCCATTACTCCATTACTCCATTAGCAAAAGTAATCTTACCATTTTGTTTCGAATACTGTTTCGAATCCAATGCCATTCCATGCTATACTATGCCATGCCTCCTTAACCACAAGTATTAGGATGAAAAAGGTACGAAAACGAAAACACATTCCAATCTATTACAATCTAATATACTCGTAATCCAATCTATGAGACAGCAAGCAAGTACTCATATACCAGTCTACGTTCAATAGAAACAAGGAGACTTGAAAGAAATAATACAAGTTCCACTTCGCTTCTCCCTCCCTCCTATTCCCTCCTATTTCCCCGTTCGCCTCTTTCTTCACTTCTGGGATTTTCCCATCAGACTCACATTCGATCACACATTACACATCACATTACATGTCACATATTATACCCTCTCATATATACTCGTATATCAAAGCCACCAGCCATCATACAAAGACCATTATATCATATCATTATTACGAGTACAAAACACTTCCATTTATACAACTCATCTCAAGATCACCCGCACGCTGACATGCAGACCACAAATTTCTCATTGATCCATGAAATGTTCATCGTTATGCTTATGAAATGCTCTACCTCATATATGCAGCGCGCGAGCTTGTTCTAAAACAGTGACTTTGTAGTCTAATTCCCCAACGCCAAAATGATGCATGCTTTCAAAAAATCATGTACGATACCGAATACCATGGTGCAATTCCGGTATGAAGGTCCAGAATACAATGTTACTTCTAATATGTTTCCATATACGAGTTGCAAGATGTTGGGTCTGAAACGTTCTGCAATGTACATGCGCTCCTATAATGTAGCATGGAGCTTTATCATAGTAGCATCACGTACGTGTAGACACATACCAGATTTGACATTTAAGCAATGGTGGCTTCATGAAAGGTAATCAGTGGCGACCACGTGGAGCTCCTCGAGCAGGTCCCTTGTTGGGTCCGCCACGGCCGCCTCTTCCACGACCCGAACCTCCGCCTCTAGGAGGTGAGTTTCCAGATTTATGCTTTGGCTTCTTTTTCTCTCCGCCACTACCACCACCACGACCACCACGACCACCACCACCTCCTCCCCCTCCTCCACGACCGCCACGACCGCCTTGGTTTCGAGAGGGTGCTCTACTATTTGGGTCCCCTCCAACGTTGGCTTGAAACTGGAAAGGTGTCTGATTGAAGGATTGCATTCCACCAGCTTGGGAGAATGAAATTTGTCCATTTCTGGGACCCATGTTGACTTTTGGATGTATGAAATCATCATCATCATCATTATCATCATCGCTGTCATCCAACTCGATAGGATCATTGGCTTTTCCTTTGATGCTAAAACCTTTCTTTGCACGACTCGGAATTGAATAAGCCTTACCTCCTGCAGACATAGCATCATAACTAGTAGGACCATCAAGATATTTCTCCAAATTGTATTTTGACCAAGAAAGTCCACCAGAGGCAGGTGTACCATGATGGATTCCACACTCAGGGCCGAAGTGACCCGAACGACCACAAAAGTAGCAATATACCGAAATATCTCGAACCCTCTTAATCTCATCGGGGCCAGGAAGGAAACTTCTCCAGATGAAATGGCATTGATTTTCATGATGGCTTGGAGATTGACATGTGATACATTTGATATCCTCCTTGGCAGCACGCAGCTTTTCAGGGCAATGCGAGATCTGATGACCCACTCCTCGACACTTACCACAGACAATAGTTTGAGGGCATGCTGGAGTCAGGTGATCACCCTTGCTGCCACAAGAAGAACACGCATTATGAGGACATTCAGCTCGTTCGTGTCCACTGGAGCCGCAAACCAAGCATCTTCTGAGGACGATGCCATCAGTGGCTGGGAAGTACTTCAGAATTGCAGCACGATCTCCTGGAGTTAGTTCCGGACTTGAGCCCGTTTCGCGCGAGGCCTCAAAATCCTGGTCATAATCAACCTTACCGCCAGAACCGCCATTTGAAGGGATATCCATTTCGCTTCCAACTTTATCGGCTCCAGTGAGGATCCTGTGATCTCTGGTCGGGTCGATAACGTTTGTAACCAGAGTCGGAACAAGCTTTGTGCTCTTTTGGCCAATGAATTCTGTTGTAGAATTGGAAGCAGAAGCATTGTTATGTTCGATGGGAGCCTCGTATTCGACTAGACGATTATTGCCAATTGACGGGAGAACATTCGAATCATAATGATCAACTGCGCGGGCTAAAGTTGGCGGTGCAGATTTGCCAGAAGCTCTGGCTGGAGCAGCGTTTGGTTCAGAGTTTTTTAGAATTTCTTCAAGGGAGAGAGTTTTCTCCATAAGGGAAGATGCAAAAATCTCTCTCTTTGGAACGTGGTTATAGAAATGAGTCAAATAAGCTTTGAAAGCAGCCTTGGCACGCTTTTCTGTCAGAATATGTTGCAAGTCTTTGTTGTCTGCCACAAGTGCACGAACAACATCAGGATAAGTGATGTGTTCAATCATAATGGGTCTGCCTTCCATATCATGCATTTCTCGCAAATGGACGTCACTGCCGCGCCACGAATACTTCCCCATAGGCTGATCCTTTGGGTTTGGAGTAGGGTAAAATGTCAATCCCTCTTCAATATACTTCATGCAGCTCTGTTGAAGTTCTTGTGGTAGTGGCCAACCATGAAGATCTATTAGGGTAGAAACATCATGGGTATATGCTGTCATCACGGCCAGCTGCTTATCACCCTTTAGCTTCTTGAATTGATTTTTGGATGAGATCGACTTGTGGTTGGATGCTCCTCCAAATTTTTCAACAGTATTAAGATCAACCTTAGCGCTCTGTGGACCGAGGAAACCTTGCCCGTTATTATTTGCGCCTTGCTCTGGTTGTTTAAAGGAAGAATTCTGGGATGAAGACGGTTGCTTGCGCTGGAAAGATGTTCGTAGCCCGTTCTGTACACCTTGATTCCAGGCTACCGGCTGTCCAATATTTGCCCCAGACTTGACAGCTCTTGCCGGTTCGTCTTGCAATGGCGAAGATGTGAGATCGACCTCAGCTTGGGCATAATAGGTGGCAGCTGTCTCTGTATCTTGCTTTGCCCTCTTTCGAGGTTGCTTCAGAGACTCATCAGAAGAAGAATCAATTGAGATAACTTCTCTACCTTGCTCTGAGGATGTGTGCAAAGCGCGTTTTCTTCCAACCACATTCGATCGCGAATCCGTTACATCTTCTGCTAGCCGATTCATTTTTGATAATGCTCCCTTGGCAGACAAAATCAAAATAATATCAATGCGAAAGGACGCGACAACCACAAATATTCGTTCGTATAGGTATAGGTAGGTATAGGTATATGTAAGAGGTGTGTGTACTTTGTGGGCGCGGGGTCCTACAAGAATTAGTGGAAGCTGAGATATTGAATTGTTCTCGTGAACATAAGAACAAATTCAAAGCAACGAGAGAACTCTTAGAAATTGAAATGCTTTCATCTAATGAAAAAATCTTATCTCCTTAAAGTCTCCAATACGTTGTTGAATTATTTGTTGTACAAATATTGCTGCAAAATTTGCGAATGTACCTAGGTACCGACCGGTATTTGTTATACAAGTAGAAGAGTTTCTGACATTAATTACTTGTCTATGTCGCTAAAAATAATCATTTCGCCGAGACTAACCATAAAAGTGAATTACTTATTGAGGGAGACCCATTCATTGGCTCCTTTTATAGAACATTCCAAAGGTTCTCGACTTATTTGCTCTCCTTATATTATTGAATTCTATTTTTGCCCGATCCAGATATAAATAAAATATTATTTAATATTAACAAGAACCATACGAAGTATATCAGAAAGGGTTATACTCGAGTATTAACTAATAGCTTGATAGCTATTAGTCTTTTCCACCCTGAGCCACCCTATCCAAGACTAAGACTAAGACTATTATACATAAAAAGTTAGACTGATCCGATCCCCGAGATTCACATCCCCCCCCCAGACCCAAATAAACGACTAGAACAATTCTCAAAACAGAACAACAACACCAATACTAAATATCACCAAAACCAAAACCCCCGTTCGCCCCCCTCCCCTCTCCCATTCTCATCATTCACCACACATCTCTACATTTTACATTTTACATTCTACATTCTATACAATAACTTAAACTCCCCCCCCTCCCCCCGTCTTTGTTTATTCTCTTTCTATACTCATTTCATCATTCTTCTCCTTCTTTACGCATCACGCACGCTCTTAACACTCCAGAAACTCCCAGATTCCTTCTGAATCACCGTTTGAGCATTCTGATTCTTGATAATTCAATCCAAATTCAATCCAATTCAGTTCAAACCAAATCTCAATCATTTGTATTCTTTTTTAATCCAGGGTATCTCTTTTTTTCCATTATCTAAAGTGCCTCACAATTACTCAAAGTAAGGCTCCAAGTTTCACCAAACTTCTGCAGACCTACCTACTAGGTATCATTTCGGAGATCTGCGTCCCTCACTTTGCTTACTGCATAAACACCAAGCAATATCCAATGAGCTCATCGCTGACATCGTGTTCATAGCTAGGTGCTCCGACAGCCGCCTTCAGTCCTTTTCTATCCCTTTTCGAATACACATCTTAACAATACGATAAGACGCTCTCGCGTGAGCCTTTCTCCAACCTTCAAAATTTCTTCCGCAACCACCGCCAAGCTGTCTTCCCCACTCCTCCTCCCTCGCACCATCTCTTACGACGCGAGTTCAAATCCACCTCGTCCGAGTGGTCCATATCAAACGATGAACGAGCATAAAGTTGGACGAAGGAGGCGGTCGAGCAGTTTGTTGTACCAGGAGCCACCGGAAACGATTGAACATATGAGCGATCAAGCAGCGTTACCCAATCTAAATGCCAACTGGGTTAATGCAAAAGGTCAGAGATTCCTGGAATTCGATGTGCAGAGTTGGAGCATGTAGATGGATACGAAATACATTGATTCCATTCATGCTAACCAGTTCATTTATTAGGTGCCTGGACGATACATCTGGTTCTCATCGCATGTCTTAAGATTCTGTTTGACATAATTCCTGGTGTTTCCCAAGAGACATCTTGGACATTAACAAATATCTCGTACATGTTTGGTTCTTTTCTCATGTTTCATTGGGTCCGCGGTGTACCATTCGAGTTCAACGCAGGAGCCTACGACAATTTGAACATGTGGGAACAAATTGATAATGGAGCTCAATACACACCTGCGAAGAAGTTTCTTATGAGTGTACCAATCGTTTTGTTCCTAGTTAGTACTCATTATACCCATTACGACCTCACTTATTTTATCATCAATTTTCTCGCCGTTCTTGGAGTTGTAATACCAAAATTACCTTATGTAAGTTCACTCAACCAAAAAAGCGATGAGAATATTTAGTATCAGAATATTGATATACCTTTATTAGAGCCATCGAACTAGAGTTGGTCTATTCTCCGGAGCGCCAGAGGAAAGTTACAGATAATATGATACATGGGTCGAATCATTGCATGCAATTAGGCGTTTGTACGATATCTTGAGGTTTTCACTTTTTCTTTCAGATGATGATGAGAATAGGTACACTGGTTAACACAAAAGAATCCCGGATCCCGGAGAACTGTATCTAGAAATAGGGATGGAGTTTAGGTACACTTTACAATTCTTGGCTATTTTTCAAAGTGTTCTAATATGGATTTGACTTTATTTTCTTTTTCAATGGTGACGGTATTTTTCCTTGATCGATTATTGGTGTTTCTACGAGTATATGGATTCCAAAACGAGATGTTGGAAGTAACCAATATTTCGGGTTTCTTTGAGTCTCTTTTTACTCTAATCATCGCTTTCGGTGGCAAGCAAAACCTCGGAAAGACCAACGTTCCGAAATCGGTTTATGTCGAAGGATGCCGAGGCACCCCGGTCTACCATATAAGTTATATCACCAATTTTCGTGAAGATTCCCGTGTCGGACCAATCGATATCATCAACACATATGAATGAGAGTGAGAGTGAGAGAGAATGCCTTGATCGTTGATAAGTAAAACCAACATTTGGCTCAGGTGGCTTTCCAAGGTTAAGAAACCGTTAAAGAGATCGGCCCTTAGTATATCAAAAAAATTCACAGAAAACGTACTAAACTCTATCGCATCGCCAAGCATCATCTTCGATTACTTGATGACCACATACCATCGTTGATACGGGTACTGGTACCGGTCTTGAGCGATGATGTCTATGGGGATCATTTTGTAGGGATTTCCTGCTCAGATACTTCCAAGTTGCTGAGGAGATAGGTAAGCTTTTTCCCCTTGATATACTCGATGTTATGATCTATTCTATATGATTACATACCATCAAGTTGGTACTGATATTGATACATGCCACAAACGAAACAGAGTAATTTGGAAAATGGTGTAGGTACTTCAAGTTACTGAGGAAATTTGGCAAGCTTGAGCGATATCTCCTTAGTATAGTATACTGGGTGCCATCGATTTTTACAAAACTACTAGGTGCAAACCTTTGAGCTGATCCAATGCTAGATTGACTTAGCTTGAATTATCAAGTGGAGAATTGAGCGATTTACTGCTGGGGAATTCTTGGAATTTTGAAAATATCATTCCTCATTCAAGGTCAAATTTGTTAAGTTTGATCTCAAATCATTGAGACTCGATGTTATGTTTGGCTAATTCAATTCATATAATTAAATAAGGAAATTTTTGTATCATTATTTGTTATTGAGATTTCTCGAACTCTTCAATTAAAATCAACCTCATCAAATCTAAGTGCAAATTATCGAGCTGATGATAGCTTGAGTTCGAGCAAGGCAGTAAGTACAGTGTGGAAGAGTTCCCTAGGTGCGACCTCCGTAAGTTCCCGAAGCAACTGGACCAGAGGATCTGAACCAAGTAGTTCAGATTATCTGGCATTGTAGGAATGAATATGACAGGTGCGACTAGCGGGTCTATATACCTCACTCTCCATCATGATAATAAGATAACCCTCTCCACACCACAACCTTGAATCCTGTCAACATACCCTCCCTGTACATTGCTCCGGGAATTTTTTGGAACCTTTGCTCAAGAGTCAATCCTCTCAAAAGATTTCACCTCAAATACTTTTAGCCCCTGGTCTTCCTCTTAGCATCTCCTCCAAACCTATTCAGGTTAAAGTGTTGAGTTTGATAGCCTCTGATGGACCGTTGTGAGTTAATATCAGTGGGTAGTCCATCAACTACCTAGATGATAGTTAAGATAGTGCCTACGGGGGCCGGTGTTGCTATCATTAATATTCACACCCCAACTGTGCCAACGCTAGGGCTTGGTGAAGGGAAATTGAAGACGCCAACTTTTAGGGCATGATAGAAATCTATAAGTACGATCTCCCCCCCTCTCTCGCCCTCTCTCGCCCTCTCTCGCCCTCTCTCCTCCTCTAAAATATCCTCGTTCGTCCCCCAAAACGTGAAAATATTATCATTCTTATTCTACACTGTCCAGATCTCTTCACATCACAATAATTCCAATCACAATCACTATGAAGCTTAATTTTGCGCAAGTAGCTGCGATACTCGCGTTCTGTCAAGTCGCTGTCGCTGGCTCTATCGTCCAGCGCAATAATGACAATGACGTATACATTGGCCAAGTTGTCAATGTCCACGCTATATATTGCCCACAACCAACCACCATCACCCAAGCGAACGGCAACGTCGCTACTGTCACAGAACCAACCACCATCACCCAAGCGAACGGCAACGTCGCTACTGTCACAGAACCAGGATGGTTCACCGTCACCGCTTGCCCAACTGGTTGCACCAGCAACAACATCAATAGCCCACCTGTCGCAGACCCGGTCGCCCCCATGATCACGGGCTCCGTTGAGGCAATCTCCACCCCGGTCGCGTCATCAAGTGATAGGATCACACCTGTCACTTCTTCGAGCGTCACGCCGGAGCCAGAGACTACCCCTGTTGCTCCTTCGAGCATCGAGACCTTGCACGTCGCCTCCCCGATCGTCGAGTCGGAGACCACACCTGTCGCTTCGGCAAGTGTCAAGATCACCCTTGTTGCTGTTGCTGTTTCGAGCGTCAAGCTTGAGACTACACCTGTCGCTTCGGCAGGTGTCAAGACCACCCCTGTTGCTGTCGCTGTTTCGAGCATCGACTCCACACTTGTCACTTCCTCAAATGACAGGACAATCACTACCACCGCCACGCCTAACATCACCGCTCCTGTTGTGTTGTTCCCAACCACCACCGTGGTCGCTAAGACCTCCTCCAAGGCCCCATTGGCCAATGGAACCCTCATCGCCGCTGGAAACTCATCCAGCTCCAGCTCCAGCTCCAGCTCCAACTCCGGCACCACCACCGGTGCTAAGACCTTTCAGGGTGCAGCTTCCATCAACGAGATCAGCGTGGCAGCTCTCGTTGTCGTCCTTGCATTTGTCATGGCTTTGTGAGCGGCGAGCGCAGTTGATGGATCGAGAAATGGCGTTTAAGGAACAGGGCGTTGAGGGATTGGGAAAACGGGTCATATGGAAAAGGCATGGTATCTTGGAGGTATTGGATTTATATATATATAATACTCGTGGATGTATATAATTTAATACTTGAACGGTTGAATCTCTAAAATTAGGTCTGGTTTCTATGACTTCGACTACGAGTATATATGATTAGTGTGATATGAAAGATTCAAATCAGATGAGAGGTTCACTTTACACAAAGGATTCACTTTATCTGAGAGATTTAAATCAGATGAAGACTCGATCGATACAAATGATTCAATTAATATAAAAGATTTATTGATTGTAAAGAATTCAAGTTATTTGAAAAATTAAAATCAGATAAAAGATTCAAACCAGATGAGAGACTTTTAACCAATATAAAGGATTCAAGTTATTTTCAAAATCTTCGAATATACTATACTATTCTCGAAATAACTTAGATCTAGATCACAAAGTTAACCTTTTTGTATTCATCGAAAAGGTTCAGATGAAATAAAAATACAAGACAACATCTTTAACAAAATAGATATAGAAAATGTATTTATATAACTTTCTATATTACTGTACCCCGCATCCCCTTACCCCACTTATCGGGATCCCGATGACTAAGCACTGCTTATCTATCCTATCCATCTCAAATAATCAGCTATCTTCATATTCTTTTATCAATAAGGTAGCTTCAATATATATGATTGTCCTATCATTACTCTAATCTAAAAAATTCCACTATAAGATTTGCGATGATACTCCGTTTGTAGCCGGTCGATCAATCGCTATCTTGATCCACCCCCATCCCATGATATTTTCAACTTCCGAGTCAACCTCCTTGCATACTATATCTGTATATCAAAGTCCCCAAGTGATCGGATTCGTATACGATATTCAGAAAAAAAACACACGACCCAGCGTCAGATTCCATTACCACCAGAAATTACGGGGTCACTAATCAGGTCACTCACTGGCAAAGAAGAAAATCAATAAGCTTGAATATAAATCATGGCACCATCAGCAATGACCGAGACTCTTCTCCCGATCCAGAAGAAAACAGGAGAGGAAGAAGTGTCGAAACTTGAAGCAAGAGATGAGAAGACACTTGAACATGTTCATTGTGGAGAGGATTTAACGCCGCTGGAGGCTATTAGTCATGGGGGTGTGGTTATGTCTGGTGAGATATGATTTTCGTTATGTTTGAGTGTGGATGGGAATGCGAGAGTGGTGGGTATAAGAGTCGAAAGACTTTTGGATTATTGAAATGAGGGTTTGGATATGTTGATGTTAGGGGTAGAGGTAGATACAAGAGGCCCAAGTAGTGGTGTGGTGCCTTGTTGAATAGGTGCGGGCTGGAATTATTCTTATGGACAAGTTAGTTTCTGTCTGTGATTGATTATGCAAAATAAACCCGGACAATCACAAATACCTTCTATCAATTCGATCTATACTCTCTTATTCTCTCTCTCTCTCTCTCTCTCTCTCTTTCTTCTTTTCTTT